TCAACTAGAATGAATTCGATGGCCGACTTTTCTTTTATAAATAAACCCACGTCTCGGTAACTTGAGAGATCATTTACGTGAGAAATTGCGTTTTAGAGGTTTGTATTTAGGAATGTTTTTCTAGGAATTAATGATTATATTAATTATTTATTTCGGTGATAATTTTTGAAATATATATACTTGCTAATAAACTGTATTTTTATATAGAAGTAACTTTCTGTAAGCTTAGTATTGAAATATGTAATGCAAAAAAGATGACTGCAAAATTTTGAATCAAAACTTTACAAAGTTTAGTTTATAGATCGACAATGTATTTTTATAACTATATAGATATTACCTTAAATTGTTCTTGAATCCTTGCTTTCTTTAAATTTTTAAAAATGATAATACAGTAACTTTTAAGTCACGCAATATTCGATATTAAATTCTACTTGTCTATATCTATTCTTCGTTATTCACATAATATTAACTAGTATTTATCTGCGAATTTGTCCGTGGACTCACGAAATGCTACATTTACAAACATATCTAGGGTCTTTTAAAGTCTAGGTCACGAAACTTCATGATCCACACAACTTTTATGACGTAATCTCGTCGAAACTACAGAAAATTTCGAAATAAATTATAGCCTATGTCTTATTCTGAAGTCTAAGCTATATTATTGTGAAGTCTGAACAAAATCCGTGAAGTAGTTTTTGCTAGAATGAGTTACATACATCTGTATCCATACATGCTCTCAAACTTCCTCAATAGATTGGCTTGAGAAAGTTTGTCGTAGTTACTAGTTCCTACAAGTAGTGTTTTAAAAAAAAATACATATGTATACACAATTTTTCCATGAAAAATATGGTTCTTTAAACCGTAATTGACAAATTTTAAGTTCATAATATTAAAACACACAGATTAATATTGCGTCATTACAATTTTATCAGATTCACAATAATAATTCCACGCTCGTTTATACTGTTACGAGAATTAACGACGGCTTGTTAAAAGGAGACATAAATTACGTAATGAAATATTTCATGCCTAATAATGGTTCTTATGTTTTTTTAATGAAGTTTAGGCAGTAAACGACATTGAACGTATGTTTTTTATGTATATATACATATATTGTTAAATTATAATTAATCAGTTATTAAACTAGCAACTCTCAAGCCACCTTCATAGGGGGCGCTATTAGTTACGATCTGACACTTTTTGTTTTAAAAAATTGTCAAAAGCGGAAACTACACTAATTAGTCTTAAACAAATAAATCGGCCATCGGCCAACGAACATCTTTTTTAAAATCATAACGTATTTTCTTTTCTAACAATATATGTATATAAAAGTAAAGTAACAATATATATAAAACTTAAAAGTAAAGTTAACTAAAAACATAAAATTTTTCATATAAACAATATAGCATTCATATATATCTATAAAAATAAAAACAAAAATAATTTCAATAATAATATTCAAAGTAAAAAAAAATCATTTCTACAACAAAACTGCCTCTCAAATACACTCATTATAGTTTTTTAATATACTTTTCGACTCTCATTATATCTGATTTAAAGACGAGTGTAGAAGTACCTACTAACTATGAATTAAATCTTCCATACATGATTACGACTGGTGTAAGTGACCGCAGTCGCGTGTTGGTAAGACCATTATGAAGTTATCGCTCTGCCGGATGAAGATAAACAGAATTTAAAAACTGTCCTACGATTTCACTCAGAGAATGCATGTTATTTTATTTATTTTATTTATTTATGTACCAACAACAAGTAATACAGAAAAAGAATAAGAAAGAAACAAAGTTATACAAAGGAAAGCTTATCTCTATGAGAGATCTCTTCCAGCCACCCTGGAGTGTGAGTAATATTAAGTTAAATAACAGGAAGGTAGGTACAATTTTAATTTTAGTGACAAAGAATAATTATTACTTTACATAAACATACTTAAATATACATAAAACTATTATAAACTACATATACTGTTACTAGCTAGTGAGAGTATAAACATTTCCCTTAGAAAAATTATCGATATTAAGTATCGTATAATGTTACATAAGTACAACACTATTACGTCAAAATGGAGCGGTTTTTGATTTATTTCAACCTACATTATGCTGTTTTTTTTTTGTTTTAATAGAAATAATATGGTGTTATTTTATGTATATGTAAGAAAATAAATAAAATAAGTATAGGAAAAACGGGAAATGTTTGCATAAATATATGTACATTATTAATTAATAGTATTGAATAAGGCTTTCTTAATCATGAATTTATAATATGTAAATATCGAATGCATACTTTCATCAGAAATTAGATAACAGTGTATAAGTACTTAAATTATGTATATGAACGCTGTATATAAAAAGTCTAAATAAAAGTGTATAGTATACAAATGTTTCTTTTGGAAACTATATGTAGCTCTTAATTTGCATTTCCACAGTGTTATTAGAACGATAACATAAATATATCAAATACACTTAGTACTAGTTAGCATTAAGAAATAAAAAAGAGAGAGTATGCCGTTTTTTACTAATATACGTTAAGACAAAACTTCTCAACATTCAATGTATACATCGTTGCAGGGAGAGGAGCTTCAACAGTGACTGGGACTTGCGACCCAGGTGTAGGTGTAAGGGGGCCCTATCTAACGCGCGTTAAACGCTCACTTCCACCGTCAAAGCTCCTCTCTCTAACTAACCAAATTTGAAACGAACGTAGTAAGGCTGCAATTGTAATATGATATTAGTTTATAGTGTGTGAATATTTATTAATGAAACTATATTTTATATCCCAAAGAGACGGCCTACCTGATGGTAAAGAGCTAGCGTATACCATTGACATCTGCAACATAAGTGTTGTAGACCTTAAAAAAGCCTATGGCCTATTTAATAAAGGCTATAAGCCTTATATTTAATATAAACCTATTTAAACTCAGTTAAATTTGACCTGGAAACTGAGGCTAAGGGTATAAATACAAGACCTGGAAGCACTAAATCTGTCAAGAACTGTGTATTCTTCCTTCAACCCCTATGATCTAACACCTAGATCATACTATGAAAGATACACCATACTAACTATAATGACAATCTCTGAACAATTGGGTCTGTTTAAGAACATAACATTTTTATGGCCAAAAAAAGTTTTTTTTTGTGATGTCATTTTTTGGTAGTCATAATTTTGATTATATTGATTTTTAGAATACTAGAATAGGTATTCTAGTAAATTTCTATAATAGGTATTATATTTATAAATTAACATGTCATAGAAATTTAACAGTTAATATTATATACTATAAAAATAAATATATGTAATTGTAAAATTGAATTAGGTTCGTAACATCTCTCATTTTTTTTTAGTATCCAAATAAAATCTTTTTATTTTGTTTTCTAAACCGAGAATTACACATTAAAATACTTCCTATATATGCAAATTATACGTGTTGATACGATTTCATCTTACACGGCAATTATAGAGACACGCATTGTTTATGCTCTGTGGACGACCAGAAAAGTAGGCCTCATCCGGCTGTCATATTAATAGATTTTATTGGTTTTTTTCTCATTTATTATTATCGCAATAATATATTTTATTTTCCAATATCATGTATTTTATTTCATGTTATCGTTTTAAAAAAAATAATATTTATGCTGTTCGTTAGTCTCACTAAAACTCGAGAACGGCTGAACGGATTTATCTTAACTTAGTCTCGAAATGATCGTGGAGGTTTAAAAGCTGAAAAAAATTTATTCATTTCCGGGAAAACCCTAAAACAGCACTTTTCTATTTCCCATATAAATGTTTTTTTTGACATCAGATTTAACAATTTACTATTATGTCAATCATTCTGTTCGATTGAAACAGGAAAAATTTAATAAATACCAAAACATGGTTATTTAAGACGAAATAGAGTTAACCCAGTGAGCTATAGATACATATATTAATAATGACGAAAATAACGCGGACGAAGTCGCGGGCAAAAACTAGTTTTTTATATATATTTAATGTATGAAAATAATTATTAAAAACAAATAAAAAATATTGCTAGTAAAAAGATTGCTAGTTATACTAAAATTAAAAAATAGATACAATGAGTATAGGTTATTAGTTATCACAATTGAGGAATAATTTCAATAATCAAATAATATAATTCTAATAATGTTTGAGAATAATTAATGTATAATTAATTACGCTAAATACCTACTAATATTTGTAGATTTTAAAAGTCAAAACACGTCGCTGTATAAAGTCGTTTAAGAAAAACAAGATGAATCAGAATATTAAATGACCAATATTGTTTTAAATTATTCATGAGATTTAGTTGAAATTAAAAAAATAGGAGTAAGTCGTGCAGGACGAGATCTGGTGAAATTCTCATAAATTGTGGCGGAAAATGAGAGAAAGGAATTACTATCATTGAATACTTAAAGTAAAAGCAACTATATAATATATTTAGTTAACATAATGAGATCTAAGATTTTCGCAAGTACTCATTTAAATGAAACTAATATTTTCGGATTTTACTTCGCGTTTTTATTTTTGACTGTAAACTACATACTCCCGACGTTTCGCCTACTTTTCAGCAACCGTGATCACGGAAATATGAGTTTCATTTAGTATATTTAGTCCTTTTACTATTACTCTTAAAAACTTGGATAAAATGTATAAAATCAAGTAATTTTTAATGTTGACCTCTTGATGCTATGATTGTTTTAGTTAAAGAAATTATCCGGAACAGAAAAATAAATTAATAAAACGATAACTTTTGAACATCATGACTATAGAAGAATTTTTTTTTATGTATATAAATACACCTAGATAAAGTATGAAATACGAGAGAAATTGCACCTTGTTTAGAACTAATTTCATATCTTAACACGAAAAATACGTGGTTAAATAAAATCATGAGACCGATCTGTAAATAGAAAACAAAAGAATATAATAAGAAGCAATTTTCATAGAAAAATTACTTTTGTTATCAGCTAACTGTTCATAGCAGTTATCTAATTAATATTACAAGTGGCACCGCAAGCGTGGCGATGGATCGCTTTGTTGATTTTGAAATTTTTATACGGGTTAATTTTACCGCCATTACTCATAAAGCTATTGAGAATTTAACATTATCATGTATACTAAATTAAGAAATATCTAGTTAAAACTCGGTCGTTTGTATTTTTTAATCGAAATTAGCTTTGTTTAAATATAGAACACAATAGACAAAACATTCGAATTTCAAACGTTGAGATTCAATAATCAATTTATTACACGATTAAACGAGACGTAGATAGCCTATAAAGTATGATTTTTATTTAAATACTACTTACCCAAAGTTACCAGGATAGCACAAAGCTAGACGCCGACAAGCATGACCGCTGCCTTTCCCGCTAAAATGCTGTCCACCATTGAAGATGACTTCTGAGCAGCACGCCGACGAACATCGTCCACTATCAGTCAATTCTGACATACAGAATGATCGTGACTCTTCCTTATCGAAAATTCTCTCATCACAAGGCAACGAGTACCTCCATTCAGGGCTGGGGTTCCTATAATTATATCTTGAGTCCCAATGCACATCTGGACATCTCTCGACATACGCTCCCGCCAATTGTTCCATATATTGCTTGTAAAGACGCTTCTGTCTTTGGCTCTGACTGACGTGAAGACGTAGAACGTTGAGGAAACACATTTTTAACCACACTTATATTCGTCTATATTGATGCAAATTAATTTTAAACAAGTTTTTATTTGAAGAACAAACTTCTCATTCTAATAACTTGTCACAATTTTAATGTTTTCAATTGTTATGGTACAACAATGTGTTACATATAATTATTATCCATTAAATAAACTTTCGTATTGAAAGTTCATAATGGAAGTACGTTATATTGTTTATAAACAAAACATTGTCTATTAGTCTGTGGTCAGCTGCGCGGCGTCGCTAGTGAGGCGCGCGGTCACACTGCGTTCTGCGCCGGCGCGAACTACATAATAGTTTTACGTCAAATTAATCCCCATTTCCCCCAGATAGTGCAAAAAAACGGAACTGCTTACAGAGAAAATGCGCCAGAACTGAGACAAAATGGAAGTCAAACGCCGTTGCTAATGATATTTTAATTTTTTAGTAGCTTAAAATTTGTTACACCGGCATAATCTGTGTGTGAGAAAAAAAATTGTGTCATAATTTTTGAAATGTAATGTAATGACTAATGAGTTTGTTTGAACAAAGATACCTGTATGAATAGTTGAAGTTGGCATCGTAATAATAAATACGGAGTACCTAATTAAAATAATTTTTCATTCATAAATCTTGTCACATGGTAGTACAGGCGTAGATTAATTATTGATTGAGAAACAGAAAACTCTGCCTGGTATGACGATAGAAATTTAGGATTAAATTTTTTTACATAAATTACAAATACGCTTGTTCTAAATTTTTATTATTTATTATTAATAATATTATCCATGTTAGTTGATATCAATTTTCTATTGAACATGCACTAAAAATAGAAAATTCACTTTGGAATGTACAATAGTACAATTATTACTATATCACTTATCTATTATTATTATTGTATTTACTTTATAGAAAATTTATCTTTATTTCCGTTTCTTGACAATTTAATACATAATTTAAAATGCAGTAATTATAAAAACTAACAACAAACTTTTTTTTTTCTTTACAATAATTAATGATTTTCGCTATTAAATTCATTATTTTTGTTTCAACAACAAAAAGTTCTGTGACCATTTTTTTTAAATTTTTATATCCACATAAACTGTCTTAATAAAGTCTAAAGATATATTATACCGTTAAACTTATTTAAACCCCTTATTTCTTTGCTGCTTCTGAAATAACTTTACGAATGTTGGGTTTCAGTGGTTACAAACACTAATATGTTTAAAAGTCCCACTGTTCTGTCTCTGAGTGGGAGTAAAGTCAAATATTGACAACTATAGCCACATACAATTTTAACAGAAATTTTTATTACCTGCTTTAGTTATATCTATCGGGTACATTGAACTTGTTTTAAATTTCGTCGTTTAAGTACTTGATGTAGGAGCCCTTCCTCACATAACTAAAGCTAAAAATCTGGATGAGATTATAACAAGATAATTGTGATACCTTTTACGATAATTGCTATCGTCCATTACATTATTTTTAATAATCTACAACTCTTCAATGTACAAAATAAATCAATATGCGATAGCGATAGATCTACTTTGTTGAGTTTTTTCTTGTTTAGCAAAACACAAAGTCTCTCTTGCTCTATTCCAATGAAACCTTTAGTATATAAGAGGAATGTTTATTACACTAATAATATACAAAAAAATAAAACATCTGCTTTTCGTTACTAGACTAACTAGATTCAATTCACTAAATCATAAAGGTGAAATAATTCTTTAAGCAATTTAATCCACTGAAACGAATAGGTATCTCAATGGAAATCACACAACCACCCCAGCAAGTTAGTTACTCTTATCAAATGTTTGTTTCAAAGAGCCTATACTTTTGAGTATCTAGAGGCCGAACTGTAGCATGTAAAACAATCTTACTACCAACACCCAGTCTGTGCCTCTCCAAAATAGCATGAAACCTTTAAAGCTACCAACAGTCGTACGGCAACCTGTTAATTAGGTAAGTACAATATGTCAAGAGAATTTCTGACAGAATAGGCAACATCTTAAAGGTTTCCATCAAGACAATAATCTATAAATCACAGAAAAAGTAAGCCAATTTTTCAGACGGATGCATAGCATAGCGTGTTAAGAAAGACGTGACTGCTAGTCTTCCAATACAAAATCAGTACAAGGGGATTCGGTGGGGCTCTCATCAATAAATCTCTTCTAAGCAAAGCAAGTTCCATGTAACTTCCTTTGTAATCACTGTATTTTAATACATGAATAAATTTTTGTGGAAAATTTATAAATAAATCGATTGTTGATACAATTATTTAGTTTAACAAATCCAGTTATTACTTATTGATTAATTGTTGACGGATTTTTATTTCTTATAAAATACCAATTATTTAGATATCCTATCATTAGAGTTAGAAAAAATATGAAGTTTTCGTGTACTTTAGCCAGAAAGGCAGTTCCAAATATAGCTATGTGCCTCTATTAAAGTCACAAACAAATATTTTTTAACCAAACTATGATTACATTAATATTTGTCTCACTTATAATAAAAATACTATTAAAATAAATAGTTTAACACTTTAATCACACTGGCGATACGTTTATTTTTTTTTTATAAACATGAACACACCGCGATAAAACCAAGTTATCAATATACTATAAACTTCAAATGAGAATTTGTCAAAACTCAAACTGACGTTTGATTGTGTCGATCTTGACTTTCAGTTTCGCGCCTAAAATAAATACGAAAAAAGTTGACATTATACATCTTTTTATATAATATTTTGCATGTGTTCTATTAAAATTATTAAGTTTAAATAGTGTTTTGTGACTTAATATATAGTTAATTGAGACTTAAGTTACTTATATCGTTAATAATGGCAGAAATTGATGAATTAGACCAGTTGGATGAATTATTGCGAGCAGATCTTGATGTGGCGGCAAACGAAGGTGAAAATAAAAAGTCTAATATCAAAGAAGTGAATATCTTTAATTCAACGGACACTTCAGAAAAACAATCTGAAGACTTGCCATCGAAATCAGTTATCCACAATGGAGACACGGACTCTTCTGACGACGAAGAAAAAAGAAATTTTACAGAACGAAAATACAGTGACTATGGAACTCTTATAAAGAAAACATTAGACGATCGCGAACAGGAACAAATAGATAAGAGAATAGAATTTCAAAGCAGACTGCGGCAAGCCAATATACATACAAAAACAAAGAAAACCTTTACTATTAATGTAGAACCCGTAGAACAAAACAATAAAAATATGTTTTGTGTTCCTGAGAAAAAAAGTACTACACCTTCTGATGTTTATACAGATCCTATATTCGGTATCAGAATCACCAAGCCCTTGATTTCCAGTGCAGCGTTGTTAGACAGAATGCAAGGCCGAGAGGCAGTCAATATGCTCAGAGTTAAAAGATATGTTGAAAACGAAGATCTATCAAAGGATTGGGTTATCGCAGGTGTAATTGTTAGAAAAAGTGCACCTAAAAAATCACAAAAGGGAAGCAATTTCTCAATATGGACACTAACTGATTTAAAGGATGATTTGAAGACTGTATCAATGTTTCTGTTTCGTAAAGCTTACAATGATTTATGGAAAACATCAGAAGGTACTGTGGTTGCGGTTTTAAACCCAAACGTTCTAGATAGATCTCAAAATTCTACCGATCAGGCCTGCTTAAGTGTAGAGAATTCCGATAGAGTTATGATACTTGGTCAATCAAAGGATTTAGGTATCTGTAAAAGTAAGAAGAAAAATGGGGAACCTTGTTCAGCATTTGTGAATTTAAGTCAATGTGAACATTGTATATATCATATTAAACAGGAATATCAAAAATATTCACAAAGACAGGAACTTCAATCCTCTACTATGGGCAAAGGACTTCAGAGTTTACAGAATAAAGTGTTCGGTAAAAGTACATTTATGTATGGTGGCAAATCTTACTCAGCTTTACCACCAAGTGACCATAAAAAGTTTAAGGATAGAGACCAAAATAGATTAATGACCCTAAGTGATTATTATAAAACTGAAGGGAACAGTCTAATGGTGAATAAAGCACCTTATGGGGCTGGACCTCAAGTGAACAAAAGTGGTGTTTTACACAGTCCTACAACTCAAAAACTAAGTGACTCACAAAGATTGAATAACTTGTCTAATACTAATAGAAATAGTAGCTCCAATACAAACATTAGTTTGGCACAAAGAGTAATGAATTCCCCAACTCTAGGCAAAGGTTTTGGTTTGAAAGGTAATGGAGTTATTGATTTGAATGTTTCTTATGGTGAGAAAAGAGCTGAAAAGGCTAAACTAAATGCTATTAGGCTCATACAACAGAAAGGTGGCATAGAAAAACTAGACCCTAATAATATAAAAGGTACGGAGGCTGGCAAGAAAAGAGCATTGGATAAATTAAATAACTCTACAGGTGATGAGAACGATTGTAAGAAGGTAAAAGTTCAAGAAAATGGAATAGGCCCAAAAACTGTGATGTCAGAGAGATTTAAGAAAATTCTTGAAGCAACTTCTTCACATCAAAATCTAATAAAGCAACATGAGGAGAGCGAACAAGATAAGTATTTCAATAAACTTGAGAAAAAAGAAGCAATGGAGGAAAAAATGCTCAATACATTTAAATTAGCATGTAAGGCTGTGAGGTGCGTCAAGTGTAAGTATACCGCATTCTCAGCGGCCCAGAAATGTAAAGATGAGAGGCATCCTCTTAAAGTACTAGACACATTCAAAAGGTTCTTTAAATGTGCTGATTGTAACAATAGAACGGTCACATTGGAACTCTTGCCACTTCACTCCTGTAGCAATTGTAGCGGATCAAGATGGGAAAAGGCACCTATGATGAGAGAAAAGAAAGTTGCTTTGTCCGATGGACTCTCAATAAGAGGAGAAGAGGAATCATACTTCGGAGGACAGGTGACCACTGGGAAAAATATAAATTTACTTGTACCCGATAATTAGGTTTTTAACAAAAATATATTTATTTATTATAAAGACTGACATTTTACAACATTTATTGTGACAATGAAATGGGTTATAAATAAAAAACAATATAAAAATAAAGCATAATATAATTTTATTACGAAACTTCCAGTCAATAACACTGAACCATTCCATAAACAGTGTCTGATTTAATACGATTAGTCATAGATGGCGACAATTTCACTGTTATGCCAAAATAATAAACTTTGCTAATAAAAACTCGTCTATAAGTTATCATAAACGGCACAAAGTTACGCGAAATTGTAACCTCTATGGGGTGGAATAAATGGCTTTTAAAATTTACACAGCCTTTTGATTATTTACTACATGTTACAAAACAGATCAGTGGTGCTAACAGTAACATGTACCTTGTCTCGTGATACCAATGTATTTACAAAACTTCAAAGAGGCAGTGGTCCAAACTAAACATCGTACAAACTAGTCTCGGTGACAACACACTTACAATTGCATTTACAGCCCGTATAAAGCTTACATCTTTATATAAAGTACGATCAAAAATAACAAGGATACTTGACGAAGCTATAGAAACGATTCAACCGTATAAGGGATGTCTAGCAGCCGGTTCTAAACAAATTCAAATCATGAAACTCAAATACAAAAAAAAAAAACAAATTATTACACCACACAAATAGCTAAGCCGGTTAAATTTACAATTCACAAAAATATCCACATATCTATGCCATGTATCCATATATAATTCGGACTGCGACCGCTATAATTTTAGAACATTTATCTGTACAAATGAAATATAGACTAACTGTTTACACAGGGTTAGAAGGCGTTCCTGGGATGGTATAAAGTGGTGTGTAGTCGACCACTGCCGCGTACATGATGGGTGATCATTCCCACTCGGTGGTGGCCGGCGGCTTGGCCGTCAGGTCGTACAACACACGCGATATACCCGGCACCGTCATCAACTCCTTGCGCATTCTATCCACCACCTAAGAAAATAACCTAATTAGTACGGACTCACCTCAATGGGAGCAATCCTTGCTTCCATCAAATTAAAAAAACTATTTTTTTTTGTTTGACTGTTCAAACGGGGTGAATAAGAATAGAATTGAACCTTGAACACATTTATCAACAATCATCCCTAAAAATATTGTATTAGTTTTGATTTTAAAACTTGAGTTGCGTTCTGATTATTCTTAAGAACTACACTAAACCATGAAAACTATACATATTTAATTATTTATAATACGTATAAACTAATTGTCACTAACATCCTGCGGCATAGCGGGCTCGCCAGGTAGGGCTGGCACTCCCGTCATAAAGTCGTTGGTGATGAAGGGGCGCAGCACGAGCGAGCGCTGGCAGGACGGCGCCCGCAGCCCTGCGTCACGGTCGAAGTGCACCGGCACGAGAACCACGGGCATCTGGGAGATGAGACCACCCAGACCGCTGGACATCAACACCTGGGAAATATATTAGTATTTTATAGGAAAAATGATAATGGAATCAAACTTTATACAAAAATATAATTCAACTGAATTCTTTAATATCTCATTATAATTGATTTACATTTAAATTTTAAACTAATGTGCCCTGACAGGTATCTGCGAATTAATCATATTATACATTTAACTCCATTGTAGGTCATTTAGAAAGATGTCTTACAAAAGTGCTAATTAATGTTGTTTAACTCGCACTTTTTATATTTTAACTGGCAAAACTTATCCAAAACCGTTTGTCAAGTAATTATATGCATAAAAAGCAACAATGGTATTTTGCAACATTAATTCCTGACAATAACTTATAAGGTAACTAACTTTTTAAGTCAGATGTTACCTGTGTAGCAAGATCGTCCGCCTGCCGTATGGTGGAAATGACCTGTTGAGAAAGAAAAGTTGGAGTGATGTCCGTCACCTGCTCCTTGATCAGACCGCCGAACGCATAACAAACCCTGGAATATATATAAAACCTCAGAAACAGAGCTAAAGACTTATATCTCAGTAATTTACACTAAAATATACTTTGATTTAGTGCTGGTATTTATGATTAATAATATCCTTACTGGACAAAAAGCTTCTTTACACTAACAATTTTTGTAGCAATTTATTAAAATAAAATAAAAAATTGCTCTAGGTTCACACCTACATAACATTTTATTGTAATTACAAGCAGAGATTTTGGAACTAGAACATTAATTATTATTACAAATATATTGGTAATATATTATACCAGTTCCACTTGCATAAACTATTTACACTCTTGAGTCATGACTTATAATTCTTTTAATCAAAGTTAATTCATTCCACATACATAGTACTTAACTGACACTTTATGGCCTTAAAATATTTCTGATATATACAGAATTGCATTACCTATAGATCTCTTTGAACCTTAAACTTTCTCGCACTCATACATAATTCAAGTATCAGATTTTATTGGAGGTGTATTATCTGTTATATAGTATGTATGTACCTGTTAACGTTGTGACACACTCGGGGTATGATCTTAGCGAGGTAGTTCATGTCCTTCCAGTCGGGCGGGTAACGTTCCGTGGACAACGCCACCGCATAGCTGTATGTTCTATGATCGCCTGTAACATATATACGAAAATAGTATTGGAGCATTACAACATGTAGAAAAACAATCATATTTAGAAATATATATATATTTTATTTGCATTTCTTATTATTATTTCTTATTATAGATAGTCTATAACAAATGTACTCTTATAAACTTGCATCTTTCAACTTTGTAAGACATTCCAATTTATTATTCATACACATACATTAGTATAGAGATAGTTCGAGATAGTTCTCGAATGAAGTTGCAACCTAAACAAACTCATATTAGGTAACATAAAATTGTATTTATATGGAGCCTAAATTACTTATTTAATAGCACATATTGACATATATTGACCCCTAACCTTGAACCCCGACCGATCTCAGCGGCAGTAGTGTAGCGGCGAGGGCGCCCGCAGACGAAATACGCCTCAACTCACTCTGCTCGGCCGGCGTAGTCGCATTGGAGACTCGACCCAACAGCGCGTGGGATTTAACACACATGGACGCGTATTCAACCATTATCTTAACTATCACCTGGAACACATATAAGGAAATGTTAGACACCAGTGTAAGTTGAACTATGACCTTGAATGACAAATCTTTTTAAGTGAGAAACTGTATAATAATATAGTGTATATTAAAAATAATACGATACATATGTTGACCCAAAATAAGTATATTGTTATTCATATAAGGGGCCATTCAAGTATTGTCTAAGCAATATGGAGGGGCGGGGGGGGGTCTTTGGTTTGCTTATTTTGGATGACATGGGGGGTTGAGGAGTAGTACAAGTTTTGCTTATTTTATAGCACTTATGCTATGTTTCTATTTATAATATTAAAAAAAATAATTTTAAAATTTTTTTTGTCTAACTATACTTTTACTTTCTCTCACACAAATAGCTCAGCTTAAGTCTAACAGACTATACAAATGTTGATATGTGTGTGTGTGCGTGTGTGTGTGTGTGGTGACGTCATCACCTGTGTCTCGGCGAAGTCCCTGTCCGCGTAGGGCTCGTCCTGGCAGAGCACCCTCACGGCCAGCCCGGGGCCGGGGAAGGGGTGTCGCTCCACCAGCACCGACGGCAGACCCAGCTCTGTGCCAAGCTGACGGACCTAAAAAAATAAACACATTTATATAGCTACTTATAAAAATTGCTTAAATATAGTTCTTATTTGACTGATACGCTTTATTTATACTTGATGTGAACCCGAACCTGTTTGTATGTCGATTTTGTTATTATTTATATTAAAAGAAATAAATATGTATATATAATAAAGTAAACAGTTCCTGCTTGACCACATTTATATGAATAGGAATAAATATGTATTATATATTGAATACAGGCAAAATTTCTTGCAGTAGCACATCTGTCATATTACAGAATATATACATCTGTCGTATTATATTTCACATACTTTGCTGCGACCGTTCTATTCTGATAGTGTTCACCGTCTGCGGCTTAATATCAGGTGTTGATCAGTTTTTAATGTACGCGCTACATATTAAATAATAAATGAATATTGTCGGGACTACATCGTTGTATGGATAAAATATCATATAAGGAGTGACGTTGCTAACTGCGCGGATCGAACACCAAGCCATGTGAACCAGAAGATTCCCGATACCACACAAGTTATGAAATGGCATTATAATCCTAACATCGGGAGAATCATGTAGTCTTAGGTATAGGTTATAACTTTTAACATGTAATTCTTATTATGTGACGAAACCTCTTAGCATCCAATGGATTCACCGTCCGGGTGCCGGGTCCAGCGAGCATCTATGAAACTTATAAGTAAGTTTCATAGTTTTCCTAGAACCTCTGGCTGCCATCCTACACAATCACCATCTATATCATATATTCGTTAGTTCTATAAGTTGTAGTAGTCCGTGTGTCACCTCGTCCTTGTGGAAGTCCCTGAGCGGCTCCACGACGCGCCCCCTCTGCCGCAGCGCCCGCACCAGCTCCGTGTCGTTGTGGTGCGTCTTGATGGCGGCCGCGGCACCCGACGCCAGCGCGGACGCCGACTCTATCAGGTCCGGCCGGAGAGTTCCTTGGCCTAGCAGCACTTGCTCCTCTCTGAAAACATAAACATATATATATTCATGGATTCACCGTGCGGGTGTCGGGTAAATCGTTGTAGTGAGAGGAGCTTCAACAGTGCCTGGAACTTGCGACCCAGGTGTAGGTTTAAGGGGTCCCTTAACTCACGAGCGTTATACGCTCACCTACACTGTCCAAGCTCCTCTCCCTACCTAATCTCTCTCCTCCTCTCCTACTAATATTATAATTGCGAAAGTTTGTGAGTGTGTGTGTATGTTACTTTTCACGCTCAAACGGCTGAACCAATTTTGATAAAATTTTGTATACAAGAAGCTGACGTCCAGGAATAACATATAGAGTACTTTACATGCCGGAAATCCGCGGGTAACACCGCGGGGCGCAGCTAGTGTATTTATATATGAGTGTCTTTCATCAGAATGTTAGAAATTACTACATATGACCTACATTATTTTAATATAACAATTGAATATAGAAAACAATTGTGAAATGTACTTATGTTAATCCCGATTCCAATTTAATGGAATTTGTGTTTGTGTGAAGCAAGTAGACAGCGGAGGGTTTATTATTTATAAATTTCATTTATTTCTCATTATTAAAATATTACATTAGAAGTCATTAATTTTGATAATTATTCGTGTTAAACTAACACATTATGTATATGTCTTTGTATGTAAACCTGTCAATTTTTAAAAAGCTTCTGAAGGACTATTTCCTGGCATTGTCTTATGGTGACAATACATTTGATATTTGATATAGCATTTGAGGGTGTGTATACAGGGTGACTGGTAAATTACTATCAATATTTAAGGAGCATACTCGGTACATGATTCTCATTCGAATTATGTAAAAAAAATAGGTACTTAATTTTTGACCAAATTTCCGTATAAATAAATAAAGTGTGTACACGTTCCAAGTGTTCCTAGTGTGGACGCGCGCGGCGGCGTGCCGATACAACAACACGCCGCCGCGCGCGTATGTGTGAGTGTGTAGTGTAGCGTAATCTGTAGGGTGTTCATACGATGCGTAATTAATTACACAACTTTTGGTTAACATTACTTAGAAGTTTATTAATATTTATGTTATATTAATTTTTATTTCGTCAAATATCACGTCCTCAAATATCGATAGTAATTCACCCGTCACCCTGTATATGTGTGTGTATGTATGTATGTATGAATATGTGTATGTATATATGATAATTATTATTTAATATACATTTAACATTTATAACATGTGACACCACCCTTCTCTGAAATCACGACTGTGTTTCTAAGCCCATAAGGTTGTCTGGTAGAAAACGCTTCCTAGCGATAAGACCGCCTTATTGTGGAGTACAATAAAGTATATTATTATGTATGTATGTATGTGTGTGTGTGTGTATATATATACTGACTGCAGCTGCAGCAGGTCCCTGACAGCGTGTTCGGCGACCCTCACGAACACGTCCCCTATGATGCGCCTCTTGTCCTCGGGCGCGGTGGCGTGACACAGCAACGGCGTGTGACGGGTGCGACCTCCCGCCTCACGGACCACCGTGCTGCCTTGACGGAACTGAAATATATATATACATACATTACTTAAGAAACAGACATAGGTAGAGAGAGGAGCTTGGACAGTGGAGGTGAGCGTTTAACGCGAATTAGATAGAGACCCCTTAAACCTACACCTGGGTCGCAAGTCCCAGGCACTGTTGAAGCTACTCTCCCTGCAACGATGGACCCGGCACTCGCACGGTGAATCCATTGAATGCTAAGAGGTTTCGTCTCTCTAGAATTACCTAAAGTCAGAACCTTAAATTATGGACAATAAATTTACGTTTTGATGGAGTAAAACTATATAATGATTTGCCAAACTATATAAAGGAATTTAAATCTTTAAATGCGTTTAAAAATAAACTTAAAATATATATATTAGACAATATTAAGTAGTACTAGTCATTCCATGTAACAAATATTAATGTATGTGTGTAACATTATTTAATCTCATGTAAGTGAAGCTATGTATGTTCTTATGAGAATAAAGATCTTTAACCACCATCATTTATCAACATTCACTACATAATACACAGACGAGATATATATACAGGGTGACTGGTGAATTACTATCAATACCTTAGGACGTGATATATGACGATCATATATGACAAAATAAAAATTAATATAACATAAATATTAATAAACTTCTAAGTAAAGTTGACCAAAAGTTACGTAATTAATTACGCATCGTGTGAACACCCTACAGATTAGGTATACACACACACTCACACATACGCGTGCTCGGCGTGGTGTTGTATCAGCACGCCGCCGCACGCGTCCACACTTGGAACATTTGGAACGTGTCAACACTTTATTTATTTATACGGAAATTTGGTCAAAAATTAAGTACCTATTTTTTTTACATAATTCGAATGAGAATCATGTACCGAGTATTCTCCTAAAATATTGATAGTAATTCACCAGTCACCTGTATACGTATGTATGTCGCTGACATTTGACTAATATGACCATTTTATTAAAACTGAACCCACAATGATGAGAAGTGAGGTCTGGGCTTAAAACTAGTCTGTCTACTGTAATAGTGTTAAAAGTATATAATATTAAACAGTACATTTAAAGAGGAAAAAGATTACATTGACCTTTTTTTGAAATTTTGACACTTAACACAATTGCTTGTTCTTCATTCATATACGTAACTACTTTCATGTGATGTGTGCATTTATGTATGAAATACTAAAGATCTCTGTATCTGAATGGTAATAATTGGCTATTAATTTAAACCTACCCATATAACATCATGTTAAATAACTATAATAGAATAGTTAACAAGTTATCTTATTATTAATATTATAATTGCGAAAGTTTGTGAGTTTGTTACTTCTTCACGCTCAAATGGCTGAACCGATTTTGATAAAATTTTGTATACAGGAAGCTGACGTCCATATAGGCTACTTTACATCCCGGAAATCAGAGGGGTAACACCGCGGGGCGCCGCTAGTTAATAATATTTAAATGTAACGCACCTGATGGGACGCGTTGATAACATGGACCTTAACACCCAACTCACGAAGACACCTCTCAACCTTGGCGCTCTCGTTTTTACGCATGAAACCTGAAACATCATAGTAATAGTATATCATTATTATGATACAGTGATGATGATATGACAATGATATGATACGATACCATTGTCGATGTGTAAAGCGATGACTTGATCCTCGCGCAGTGCTGTTCTTAATAAGGCGGCGCAAACTGTGGAGTCAACTCCACCGCTGACAAGGACCTGGAAATAAGTACGTTAAAATTAATGTACTGTTATTAATGTATAGTAAATTTCGTTATACTCACGAGTATCCTATTGTATCCTACTTATTGTGTTGTTACTTATGTACTGTATCGTTACTTATACTCAGTATACTCACCAGAACTTTATTATCCCCGACCGTCTCTCGTATGTATTGTACGCACGCTTCACGACGTGAACGTAGTGTGAATGTCCGAGACAAACCCGCGATATCGAATAAGAAGTTTGACAACATCTGCTTGCCTTTTGGCGTTAGATCCACCTGTGGATATAAGTTATTGTAACAATATATATGAACTAAAATACCTTAACTATGGAGAATAGAGCAGTAATTATTTTTCTCATATTTGTAAAAATTTAATAATTATTAAAGTGAATACATTATTGACATAAAAGTATATCATCTGCCGATTTATAACAATATCCATTAAATTTATATTTGGAAAATATCAAACTTATTGTTGGAAAAACCCATTTATAAACATGTGAATTAAAAGCAAATTAGGCGTAACATTAGGCAATATTTTTATCAATTTTAAATTAATGTATGTATAGTCTAGCAATGTAACTTATTGCTGAAGTATACATACATAAACATATACATCCCTATTCCCTACTAATATTATAAATGGGAAAGTAGCTCTGTCTGTCTGTTACGCTTTCACGCCTAAACCACTGATTTTAATGAAATTTGGTACAGACATAGAGTTGACCTTGAGAAAGAACAGGATAGTTTTTATGCCACACTTTTGAAAGGTTCTCTTGGAAACGCGATATAACCGAACACCACGCGGGCGAAGCCGCAGGCGAAAAGCTAGTCGTTATATATTCCTTTAGGAGAATAAAATATTATACAGACATACCTCAGGATGGAATTGCACTCCATACAGTCTCATCTGCTCGTTGTATATGGCAGCTATGAGGTGGTTCGACGACTGCGCCCCCACGCGGAAACGTTCACCAACCTTCTGGACACTGTCCCCGTGGGTCAATAGTACGGGCTGAAGCTTCTCCAGGCGGCTGGAAATAATATAAATATCATACATTACATTTGAAATCGGGAGACGGCCCAGGGCGCAAAATTTGGAGGGCGATTAGTGGAGGTAGGATAACTTATAAATGAAAAAAAAATAGGAGCTCCATAACTTTCCACGTCCACGTCGTTAGCTCTGAGTCACGCTAAAGGAAAGATGATGGTAGATGGAATATAGAATTCTTAATACACGTTCAGTGTTCACATTGGTTCAGAATAAAATTAATACTCGGTTTTGATTTCTTCAAGTGGGCGATAAAATATTCTTGCCCAGGGTGTCAGTCCCTCTAACGCCGGCACTGTTTAAAATGATTACAAGTTGAATTGTACCTATCATTAGGGTGCTTGACAAGAATACAGCTAATGAAATCTAAGAATTTCGAGAGTATTCGTTTAAATGAAAATAATATTTTTAGAATTATACTATGCGTGTTTTAGTATTGTAAAAACTACATACTACATAAAAATACAGTTCCAGATCTTGGTATAAACATTATAATATATACATAAATAATATATTGATAAAAATATATTTTTTTAAGTATTTTTAATAATTAGGTTTTTATAAAGCTATGAGAAGCTTATGTATGTACATAGACAGATAAATGTAATTATTATCATGATTTATAAAAATAAACATCAATAGGGTATTAAATATTTAAAAATAACTTATGCCAACTCAATAATAAACATAATAATGGAAATCTATTTGTGTTTCATTTGTGAATCCTTGAAATTTATTTTCTAAAGCATATAACTTGTTTAATACTACTCAAATTATTTTCTATATAAAAGCAGATTGCTACCCAATTATTATTCTATCAATTATCAAAACAACTCCCACTTCCACCTCCAAGCTTCTTCAACCCACTTAAAACGTTTTCTAGAACATTCTAATAATACATTTATCTTCTTCTTCTAAGAATACATTTATATAAAGAGAAAATAATTAGTTAATATTTTTTTTACTCCTATATTGTATTGTTAAAAGCGCTTGATATTGATGTAATGATAGTAAATGGTTGCCAATTTTTCTTACATTAAACAGTATGTGTATCAATATGTCTGAATCTCCTAAACTAAATGTATTGAGAAAATTGTTGTTGAAAATATTCAATCATAGCATACTTAACACTCAGTAAGGTAAAATTCTTTCATATAATTTGAAACGAAAGGTAAGCATAGTAGTTGGCAATGTGAGTTTGAGTCTTATAATGAAAAATATAAAATTTAATCATTTTATTTGTATAGTAAATCATTTGATAACTATGTTACATATATGTATAACTAGCTTTTGCCGCGGCTTCGTCCGCGTGGAATAGTGACTTCCGGCAGATTTTTGGTTCTTCCCACATAGTTCCCGTTCTTGCGGGGTTTTCGGAATTGTCGAGTTCCCGTAGAATTTTTAGGATAAAACCTATGTTTTTTTTTATTCACAATGAAGTACTCTTTACCAACAACATATTTTATTTGTTTATTTGAATAGAGACTAATATTATTATGTTGATACAACTTAAACAAATTATTTCGACCCAATTAGGTACCATAAAAACGGTTTTTGTGAGTTAATCTTAAAAGATAGACATATACTGTCGCGGACTGTTTTTGAGATCATTAAAAGAGCTATTATTCTTTAATACATATTTTTTGTGTATCTTGAACCGTTTTCACGGCGCACGCAACGGAAGGCTTCAAAGATGAAATAATTTCTCCCGTTTTTTACACATTTACCACTATATCTTTGCTCCTATTGGTCGTAGCGTGATGTTATATAGCCTACAGCCTTCCTCGATAACTGGACTATCCAACACAAAAAGAATTATTCAATTCGAACCAGTAATTTCGGAGATTAGCGCTTTCAAACAAACAAACAAACAAACAAACAAACAAACAAACAAACTCTTCAGCTTTATAATATTAGTATAGATTAGTTTAGTCTCAATAAAAGTATTATATATAAATTCCTATACATCTTAGAAGGGATCTATGTAAGGAATTAAATGATTTAAAGTTTTTATTTTTGATATAGAACTCAAGAGATAAGAAATGTAAAATTTCCATAGAAATAGAAAAAACAAACATATGTTCAACATTAACAAAAGTTAAATTAATCCCATTTAGATCTATCAGTTATCTGAAGAGCATTCAGATTACCTGGTAAGAAATGGCAAATACTCATATACTGAAAATTATTTAGTTATCCTACTAATATTATAATTACGAAAGTTTGTGAGTGTGTGTGTATGTTTGTTACTTCTTCACGCTCAAACGGCTGAACCGATTTTGATGAAATTTTGTATACAGGAAGCTGAAGTCCAGGAATAACACATAGGCTACTTTACATCCCGGAAAACCGCGGGTAACACGGAACACAGCTAGTACATATTTGTACACTTAATATCATTTCAGTATCAAGGAACACCTTGGTAATGTGATCATCTACATAATAATGACACTTATTAACCCAGCTGCATAATTATTATATAATCCGCAAGATGGTTAAATAAAAAAACATAAGAAAAAAAAATTCCTTCTTTCTTTCTTTATGGTGAAGGTGACTGTCAATGCTTTTTGCAAAAAGTTCAGTGTTGTTAGAAAAATACTAATATCAAAGAACTAAAAGTGGATCATTTATTGGTAATCCAAAAAATGTAATCCATCAAGACTGAATAGAAAAAACTAACTGCGATTAATCATTGACTGGTTAAGTCTACTTTCAACTTTTCTGGTTATAGACGCTACTTATAGTAAAAAAAAAAGATAGTTCCATAAAATTATTGCTTTATAGCCTTTATCGCTATAGACATAGAGGATATTATGAAATGAATTCTTACCGCCGCCAGTTTCTAAAGAATTTCTTTAAGTCTTATAAAATACTAACTTGAACAATGGGCAAGTAGTTTCAACTTCCACCTCATACTGTCCGTCCTCGCGAGCCTCCTTCCTCAGTACGGAACCACCAAACTCCTTGTTCAGCATTTGCATACCATAGCATATACCTGTAAACATAATTAAATTATAATAATAATAGTTTATTTCCTTGAATATGGGTTAAAAAAGGTATTTCATACATTTACAGTGGTCCAACATATTCTGCAGATTTGGCGTGCAAATATTTTTGAATAAACTAATAATACTACTAATAAATTAAATTTACAATTACAAATATAAAATGTATACTTTACAATTTAAATAAATAATTTTCAATATCATCATTATAAATAAGTAGTTATTTGTCAGTTAATTCCTTGAGAGTTAGTAACGTTGAATCCATGAAAGATTATGTATCTTATGTTTTAAGAAAAATCATATGTTATAGATATAAAAAATGACAAAAAATACGATACCAAATTTTTTCGCGTTAAAAACTTTTAGGTAACGTATATTGAAAGAGTAGAGTTTAATAGAAGAGACATACAGTAATACCCCGCTTAACGCGACCCCGTTGTGCGCGGTTTCACTATAACGCGATTTTCAAAAATTTATTCAGGTTGAGACATTGCAGAGTATAGACAATAATGATGACCGTGTCTTGAACGTGTGTCAAACGATTTAAAACAGTGTTGGGTGTTATGAAAGTATTTTACAAGAACGTAAACAAAACGCTACCCAAAAGACAATACATGTATTTTTTCGTAAAAAATAGGAGTATCTATGTATTGTATAGTGTTCTTAGAATAAGAGTGATTGATTAAAATTATTTTTATATTTGTGTATTAAATTTTGACTGTGTTTAATCATAAACCTCGATATACGCGAATTTCAGTTAACGCGATTTTCGTCGGAACGTATCCCTGGCGTAAAGCGGGGTACATATTACTGTATCACCATAAGTTTTAAATTTTAATGTACTTCATTTCATTTAAGTAAATTATAAACAAAACAACTCATTTATTATTAATTAAGTCATCAAAAAGACGTCTCTCACATCTGTTAAAATTAAAAAACCTAATGTATGACTATAACTTAACAAAAGCATACATTATTAGCATCTATTTTTGTATAAAATTAGTAGTAAAACCATGGAAAAAATAGTAAAATATAAATAATAACACTACCAACCTAACAAAAACATAAGTTAACAATACCAACCTAACACAGGCAGACCAATCTTAAATATATCAGCATCATATCTAGGGGCATCTTCAGCGTACACAGAGTTTGGTCCTCCTGAAATGACGATGGCTCGGTATCCAGCCTCCTTTAGATGATATGCTGGAGTATCTAACGGAAGGATCTCAGATTCCACACATAGCTCTCGAATCCTTCTATCTATCACCTTGATTATAAAGAAAAAACATTCAATTATCAGGCATAGAGGTTCTACTCACAGTACCTAATAATTAATATATAATTTTCTATTAATTTTGTGTTCATAAAATATTTTGTTAATTCACGGTGGAGCTTACAAACAAAATAAGTTTTTGTCAAAAAATTGAGTTAAGAAATCATTATCTAATTTTAGTTGATAAATAAACTTTGACCTTCACAACAAAGAATTTATTAAAATAAATTAAGAATCCAGTTAGATACTGTTATCTAATATTTCACAATATGACAAAATTTTAGAATTGGTACATATATATCTTCTAAATGTAGACAGTACTACCTTTCCATATTGTGAGCCGGCATCTAATATAGCGACTTTGTCTCTGCCGTTGGCTGCTCCGTTGGCACCACGATACTGTCCCTCGGTACTGGCTGTGTGCATCTCGCCTACTCGCCAGCAGCACTACACAATAAAACCTCTTTAGAACTCATAATTAAACTTTTTTTTATTTCATTTTCAAGTATATAACCTTTTTGGTTTAAATATATGCAATTGAATATATTTTTTTCATTAATAGCCAGTAAAATTGTACAAACTATCTATATAATCTTTGTGGTATGAAACCTTTTGTTCTTGAAACTATATATTAAATTGATTTATTGGTGGAAACAAAACCAGACAATTCATATATATACAAATGACAAGACCAAATAAAAAACAAAGAATATTAAGACTTTTCACATTTCTAAAAAATAATTTAAAAAGTAAAAAAATAAACTTAATTTCATGATGTAAACTTTACAAAATCATTAAAAACTTAACTTATACTGACAATTTTTGTAATTTTTATATATACTTCGTAGAAATTTTGTCTACACAAAGACTTAAAGACCAAAACTATTGTTTCACACAATATTCTTTACATCAAATTACTCATATATACTTGAGGATTCATAAAATTTTGTTAATATGTACAATTCAAAGCCTATAAGTTTTTTAAACACATAAATATACACCTGATCTGACATACCTCCACATAGATTTAAAATAGAATACACTTGCAACCGAGTAAACAACAATATTGATTCTCTAATTGGTTTATAAGTGCCAGCCGTACCTTATTCCATATATTCTTTAAACGAATCATCACAACAGATATCCATTGATATTATCATTTTAAATATTAATAATTATATACTACATTTCCAATAACAAAAGCTGAATACAAATGTATCTGTATAATCTTTTATAAGTGTCAAGAAAGACTGTACGTAATGAAGTAGTGAGTGTAAATGGTTATTTATAGAAAGCATCCCACATGCTTACTAATCTATAAACAACATTACAGAATATATTTAATGCCATACTTGTTACAATCATGAATATATTAGTGTAACTAAACATTGTTTTGTATGTTTATAAATAACAATTAAAAATTATTTATATTTAAATTTTACTTTAATATCTTTTTATACAAAAATAAATTGTTTTATTTAAGTTTTTAAGATTCTTATTAGATCTATTATTCTTGTTAGTGATTTCTAATATGATATTTATTAATATATATATTATTAATACTTCATAGGCATAATTATTGTATAAAAATAATAATAATTAAATCTTACCTTTAATTCAATAATATAAAGACCAAAATACGACTCTATACTCAAGAGAGCATATGTATTATAAAAAAAAATGTTTTGCTATCAAGAAACTATAATTGACATTACATGATTTATCAGTTTTAAGGTTACAATAATAATTTTATCAATACTGATGTAACATTAACTAGGATACGTAAAATTTGACAATTATCTCCATGTAGCGTAAAATTAATAAACGTTACTCGACAATTGCATGTACCTAAAATAACCTGACTTTACCTGTAACAAAGATATTTTCGGCACTAACCTTTCTAAATATACAAAACATAGCAGATCATACGCATTTAAGTCACTAGACATTTCGGTGCTATAAAAATAAGATGAAAGATAATATAATGATAACAATAAGATAATCCGAAGCTGTTTTGAAGAGTGTAGTATACAAACCGTTCTTCTTAGGACATCGTGTTACTGTGTTGATCAAAACATCCACTACGTAAACGAACAAAGCGCTCAAACCGAATACGACCGACGATAATTATTTTAATTACAACAAAAGCTAAACACTATAGAAAATGTACAATGCTTGAAAAACCGCGATTTGACATTAACTTACATTCTGGGTCACGATGAGAGACACTATTTCAAACGTTCGGTTTAATTAGCTGGTTAATAATGTGCGCCAAACACTAGGTTAATCCAATCTTACCTATAAAAATTCTCTGAGATATCAGAAGAAAATATTCATGAAAAACGTGAATAAATGTGTTCCTCCATTCAGCACTACGAATACAAATTTTTGATACTGACAGAATGCTCTAGGGGGCGCCTCGATTGGCCTCATTTGTCAATTTTATTATTAATAAAATGCACATATTCAACTTCTCATTTGTTTATTATTACTAAGGGTTAATTAACTAATGTTTGTGCTGATCAAATTATATGAATAATTATTAGAAGCTGGTCAGATTTAATGGACATCATAATAATTAGAAAATAATTTCCTAACTTGAATGAAACTCTTTTTCATATTGCTTGTCATTGTTTACGTTTCATTATACGCATTTTACTTAAGGCCGTGAATAATTATTTTTTCCCCGATAATTATTGTAATTGTTACACAAAATACAATTATAGTACTTTGTGTTTTCTAAATAATTATTTATAACGTCATAGACATTAGTCTATATTTATGATCATATGTATATAAAAAATTTACTGTTTTGTTAAACGGAAAAGCGTATAGAGATTACAGGTGCAAGAATAAGACAATCATAGTTTGTAGTTTGTACATTTGTGTCAACTAACAATATAAAATTGTCGCTTGCATTATTTGTAATATTTTTAAAGTAGGATATTAATTTAATATATTAAAAATGCCTGATCATCTAGGAGATGATATGCGAAAAGTAAAGGATGACAAGGAAGAGCCAGAAAAAGAGATCAAATGTAAGATTTCTTTATCGTATAACCCCTAGCCAGTATTTAAGTATACAAATTAATTCTTATTCTTTATTATTTCAGCTCTTGATGAAGGAGACATAGCATTATTAAAGTCTTATGTGAGTAAAATATTGTTATACACGCCTTTTTATTCTTTTGTTTCGTGGTAAATTTTATAAAGATGGATGACTGGCAAGTTTTACATTTCTTTGCGTTTCTAGGGCCAGGGACAGTATATGAAGATTATCAAAGAGGTGGAAGAGGGTATTCAGACTGTGATGAAGAGGGTCAATGAGCTAACTGGAATAAAGGAATCCGACACTGGTTTAGCTCCACCTGCCCTGTGGGATCTTGCTGCAGATAAACAAACTCTACAGAATGAACAACCCTTACAGGTTAGCTATGAACCCATAATAAATTATATATGGTAAAAAAAAATTTGATTTTCTAAGTATAAACTATTGTTTAACTTTTTCTTGTTTTTTTTTTTTTTTTGTTTGTTGATATGTTTTGAAGTTACATTTTATGTTAAATTTTAAATTTTTGAAACCAAATGATTAAATACATTGTATAAATATGATAGATGTTAAAATACTTTTATATGTATGTCAACCAGGTTGCAAGATGTACAAAAATCATTAATGCAGATTCAAATGATCCCAAGTACATAATAAATGTGAAGCAGTTTGCTAAGTTTGTTGTGGATCTGGCTGACTCGGTGGCTCCTACTGATATTGAGGAAGGAATGAGAGTCGGGTGGGTATTTCTATGCAAATTATTACTTTACATAATTTTTATGTAATATAATGAGTTATTGTGGTATTTTTAAGTTACATTTTGCAGTAGGATAATTGATTCAATGCTACGACCTACATTACTCAATATCTGAGTATTGTCAGAAATATTTGGTAGATTTAAAAATGTATCATGTTTTGGTCTTGATTGTTTTATGTACTTGTTCCATTTTAATGCTAGATGATAATGCATGTTTAAATAACTGTAGTGATTGTATTAGTAATTAAATGAGATCTTGTAGTGAAATGTTTTAAAAAGGATCTATTTAGCTTTCTAAAAATAAATAACTGGAAAGCCTGTCTAAAAAAATCCTAAACAAACATATAGTTGTAGTATAAATGTCCTTGTAAAGGTTATTCTACATGTGGATGCCAGATAACATTGTCTATTTAGAACAACTTTAGTTTTAAAGTAAAGAAGTAGACTACTACCAAAAGAAATAAAAAAATATTTTTTGCTTTTAAGTCATACATGATTAAATTATGATTATGACAAAGAAAATTTTTTGAACTTAGTGATATAGAATTATAGAAAATATTTGTATATTAAATACTTAATTCAAGATTGTAGAAAAATTATAATTGGTTTCATTGTACTTTTGTCACCAGAAAAAACTGTATAAGTCTTGTTGTTACAAAATATTTGTTCCAAGTTCAATGTATATACAAATACTGAGTGTATATACAAATAATTATATAAAAAATATAATTCCAAAAACTATGAGGAAGGTATAGATAGTAATATTTTTTAAACATTAAAATAATTACTTGCACAACTCTCCCAAAGCAAATGTTCATTTATCTTTCACTCCCTAACCCTAGTTAAGTTAGGGAGATATTAATTTGAACTACATTGAAATATGTGAGTTGAAAGGAGAGAGGAACTTGGACAGTGGAAGTGAGCTTTTAATATGCGTTAGAAAGGGACCCCTTAAACCTACACCTGGGTCACAAGTCCCAGGCACTGTTGAAGCTCCTCTCACGACAACGATGAACCTGGCACCCGCACGGTGAATCCATGGAATGCTGAGAGGTTTCATTTCATAGTTAGTTTGGATTATTTCAATGTATAATTATAAATATTGTTTCCAGAGTCGATCGTAACAAATATCAGATCCACATACCTCTACCACCCAAAATAGACCCAACTGTGACGATGATGCAAGTGGAAGAAAAGCCAGATGTTACATACAGTGATGTCGGAGGCTGTAAGGAGCAGATTGAGAAGTTAAGAGAGGTTGTCGAAACACCACTCTTACATGTAAGTCATGAAAATACATAATAGTCACTTGTATGATAGAATTTGAGTATTTTTAATAACTTGCCGAGCTATACCTACATAAAACCTACAATGATGTTAACGACACTACACCCACTCTGAGTTTTTAAATTTTAAGCTGTGCTAACTGTAATATGAGTGTCATAAAAAATATGTTTAATTCATATAATTTAATTTCAATAACAGACACATTGATATCTTTATGTTAAGTTGTTTCATAATAAAAATAGTATTTATTTGTAATATTGTTGAAATAATTTGTTTATAACTTTCAATGATAGGCCATTACTGAAATCATGCACCATTTAAACACCAATACTTACTATCAGATAGGATGATAGCTAAGCACTATCGACTTTTAATTAATATAGCCCGAACTCACACAATATAATAAATAATCTTAAGAATTTAAACCTATATATTTGTTAGCAAATAATCATTTTAATTTCTAATTTTGTGTTTAACTCTAAAATCTTTTCGAATAACCTTTTTGTCTTCCTTATAGTGACAAATTTATATCAAACATTTAAATTAAACTAAATTCTTCAGATACTATATGTTTACATCTTAGATATTTTTTTATCAAATATGTAGCTTTTATTTTAGTTAAATTGAAATAGAATTAATTTACATCCCATCCATCAAAAATGTTTTACTGATTTTTATCTTAATAATCATATTGTATGCTGTACAATATATCTTTTTTTTATTCAAACCCTCTCTCACTCACTCTATATTGAGTCATGGGTTTTACTTCATTTCATAACAAATAGGGTTCCATTTTACGTTAATTATAATTTTAATTTACTAGCTGTTTCCTGCGGTTTTGACCGAATATAGGGTTTTACCCTTATGATTTTCGCGTTATACTTTTGAGATTTTATTCTTTATCTCTAATTCTCCTAAACAGAACCAAACGGCATAGTAATGAAACCATATAAGAACAGTCCTCTTTGTATTAAAAATAATTTTGTAAATCGACGTTTAAGTAAAGGAGTAATAGTGTGATAACACTTAAAAAGTAGACTAATGTATCGCATTTCTCGTCAAAATCAGTCAAATTTAGTCCAAGTAATTATCTAGAACAAAGAGACACTCATTTATAATTAATAGATGTGGAAATAACTGAAACGAATATTTTTCGGATATACTACGCGTGCTTTGTTTATGTAAAAAAGTACATACTCCCGACGTGATCACGGTTGCTGGTAAAGCAAAAATAAAACTCGCGGAAATTTTAAATCCTCAGTATATAGAAATATTTTTTATAAGTTGCCTATATCATCAACAGTCATACATTTTTTTATGTACATATAATATGTATATACATAATAAATTATTTCCACAGCCAGAGAAATTCGTGAAGCTTGGTATTGAGCCACCAAAAGGAGTGCTCTTGTTTGGACCTCCTGGAACTGGGAAGACATTGTGTGCGAGGGCCGTGGCTAACAGGACAGATGCTTGCTTTATAAGAGTCATCGGTAAGAATATATATAATTAATAAAATATCCTAAGGAGACTTGTGTAGGTAGGAATAAGCTTGAATAATAATGAACATTTAAATTCAGTGGTGGCCTAGTGATTTAAAATGCTCGCCTCTCATGCATGAAGGCGCGTTTTTGATCCTGACTCTGGCAAGTACCAATGTGATTTTTCCGAGTCATATGTACTTTTTAAGAGTATTTAGAAATCACTGATTAATGCATTCCCAAAGAGGGTTGATGTCAACACATAGTCAAGACTATTCACAATATGTAAGGCAGACCCAGGCTCAAGCTGGGAAATTGCCAGGTAGAAGAAGAATAATGAACATTTAATACTTTTAATATTCTCTATTGGGATTTTCTTTAGATAATAATTTTTAATAATTCTTTAGATAATTTGATTATATAATATTTTCTCTGGACAGTAAAGAAAGAGCAGCATTCTTAAGTACTTGGTGTTGTTCTGATACAACTGTCCCACATTATACCCACAGTGAGCAACTTTGATAATATTAAGATATTTAACAAAGCTACACACTGTGGGACATGCAAATTCAGTATATATTTTTTGTATTACTAAATATATTATTGTGATACAAAAATAAATTTAATTTCTTAGTGTATAAGGTTTGTTTATATAGAATATGTATTTTAAATCCTTATTATTCTGTCAGGTTCTGAGCTAGTTCAGAAGTATGTTGGTGAAGGAGCTCGTATGGTGAGGGAGTTGTTTGAGATGGCACGGAGTAAGAAGGCTTGTCTGATATTCTTTGATGAAATTGATGCAATTGGAGGTGCCAGGTACATATGTTAGAAATATATATAGTTGTATATATACCATAGTTAAAGGACCTAGTACTTGATAGTATATTAAAAGAGTGATCGTATAGTTGAATTAATGTTTTTATATATTATTTAAGATGTAACATAAATATGAATTTAACTGTAAGAAATATAATTTTGTCATATATTAGAAATGTCTATTTATAATATACTAGCTTTTATATCGCATTTCCAAGAGAACCTTTCAAAAGTCTGGGATAAAAACTATCCTATATTATTTTTGAAGGTCAACTCTATCTCTGTACCAAATTTCATTAAATTCAGTTCAGTGGTTTAGGCGTGAAAGCGTAACAGACAGATAGACAGACAGAGTTACTTTCGTATTTATAATATTAGTAGGGATTTAATATATGTATATTGTTATGTTTGACCAGGTTTGATGACGGAGCGGGTGGTGATAATGAAGTGCAAAGAACTATGTTGGAGCTGATCAACCAATTGGATGGGTTCGACCCAAGAGGAAATATTAAGGTAAATACAATGATATAAAATGTTTCAAAAGTCATGTTAGTGATGTTGTAATAAATATAGTTATATATATTAGTACAAGCATAAGTTAAGTTTCCATTCAACAGTATAGAAACACTAGTTGTGTCAATAAAACTTAGTCACACACTATAAATCATTTTTCAATTCCTTAAAACCATAAACATACTAAACATAGTTGGTAGTATTGATATCTGTGAAATCTAAAGCCCATGGTTATGCATACAGATTTTGTTGCATTAAAATATATTATGAACTAAATTAGTTACTGCATTTAGTTTTGGCGTTAGAGGGACTGACGCCCTGGGCAAGAATATTTTGGCGCCCACTTGAAGAAATCAAAATCGAGTATTAATTTTTTTCTGAACCAATGTGAACACGGAACGTGTATTAAGAATTCTATATTTCATCTACCATCTTTCCTTTAGCGTGATCTAGAGCTACAACGTGGACGTAGTTATGTAGCTCCTATTTTTATTTTTCATTTATAAGTATCCTACCTAGACTAATCCCCCCAAATTTGGCGCCCTGGGCCGTCGCCCCATCGCCCCCCCCCCAACGCCGGCACTGACTACATTGTAATAGTTTTAATATGTATATGTATACATTCCAGGTATTAATGGCGACCAATCGTCCGGACACTTTAGACCCGGCCCTCATGCGTCCCGGTCGTTTGGACCGCAAGGTGGAGTTCGGTCTCCCGGAGTTGGAAGGGCGGGCGCACATCTTCCGTATACACGCGCGGTCTATGAGCGTCGAGAGGGACATACGGTTCGACCTGCTGGCTAGGCTCTGTCCCAACTCTACTGGCGCTGAGATCAGGTACGGACACACACACACATACAAACACGCACACACAGACAGACACACACACAGACACACAGACAGACACATAAACAAGCACATGCATGTCCTCACGCATACACACATACATACAGACACGCCCACATACATGCACACACACACACAGTCACACACGTACTTCTTCTTCTTACTAATATTATGTATGAGTATGTCTGTTTTGTTTTCAGTATGTCATATCTACTTAAGTCTTCTATCTGATAATTTCCTAGCTTTAGCCAGAGTCCGCCTTACGCGTTGTGAATAGTTTTGGCAATTTTTTTTACGACCGGCCGCTTGCCTGACATCAACCCTCTTTGGGAACCTAACACGCACACACGTACATACATTCATATATATACACGCACATGAACAGCAAACCAGACAGAATATATTTTTATATTTATTTTTTATGCTAATGCAACCGAAGAGACGGCCTACTTAATTGAGGTAGTACCGTTACCTATGGACATGCAGTATAAATTTGCGTATGTGTTACCTTTGATTGGGGTGATAGTTAATAAAGGGAGGGAAAGGGTAGGAAAAGGGAACAAGCAACCGTCTCTCTCACTCATCGGACGAAACGCAGCTATTATAGATTATTTCACTTTGATCTTCTGTGAGAGGGTGGTACTTTCCCGGTCGAGCCAGCACATGTTCGAGCTGTAATAACTTGACAACAAGTATAGGCTCTACCACTCTAACATTTAAGTTAGCCACGTATGAAAAAGATATTCATTTGTTCTTAAAACAGACAATAGTCCATATAAAGTCGCGTAACACGAAATAATTGAATGCAGATAAAATCATTCCTGAATTTATAACCTAGCACATTATTGGCAGCTTGTTACCAAAGAACTTTTCAAATAATAAAATGTCACTTACACGAATGTAACGAATAGTCATACTAATATGTTTGTTGCAGATCGGTGTGTACGGAGGCCGGTATGTTCGCGATCCGCGCTCGTCGGAAGGTCGCCACTGAGAAGGACTTCTTAGAGGCAGTCAACAAGGTCATCAAGTCGTACGCCAAGTTCTCAGCCACGCCGCGCTACATGACCTACAACTAATATACGTTATTAGCAATATATATATGTATCTTCATTCGATTGTCAATAAAATATTAAATTATATGCTGTTTCATTTCATACTAGCTGCGCCCCGCGGTGTTACCCGCGGATTTCCGGGATGTAAAGTAGCCTATGTGTTCTTCCTGGACGTCAGCTTCCTGTATACAAAATTTTATCAAAATCAGTTCAGCCGTTTGAGCGTAAAGAAGTAACAAACATACACACGCACTCACAAACTTTCGCAATTATAATACATATTAGTAGGATGACACTAAAACTGCTGATACAGATAAGTCTAAAAGTTTACATTAGTGTCAAAAAAAAATCAGTAGAACGGGATGTCATTTCGTACGTACCTGCAAAGTTACCTGTAAAGTTTTCATTGTTTGTTGTAAGATATACACGATATTATCAAGAATGAGTATGTTATAACAAAAATAACTCATTGTGATATATTTTTATTTATTTAATTAGTTTATAAATACTTATTATACCTATATTATACTTTTTCATTAAAACAATCACCATGGCTACTACTGTTAATACTGTTTTACATCTTAATACTAAGTTTTAAAGCATTTGTTTTCACTTAATCTTTAGAGTAATGCAAATTAAAATAACAATACCAACATAATTGGACATAATCCAGCACTATATAAGTACCTGTGTGGTTAAAATTATGTTCAATTTTTATTCTATTTTACCTGCAACTATGGTTCAGAAGGTTTAAATTAAGAAAGTAAGGAAATGCAATGAAGGACTCTTGGTTGTTATTTACTTATAACAACAAACAGAAATATTCAACAATAGGAATGGAATTAATGCCAGTCATATATTTTTGTGATGGTGCCTGTGTTATTGACAAAAAAAATTATGATTTATATAAAAAATGCAAACAATTTCCGTTAGGTATTCTCTTTAAAATTATAAGTGTGTTACAATTAAATTGATAAAACGAGCTTCTCGAGAATCAACAAATTTTACCGTAGTTCTAAAACATGTCGGTCATTATAATGGCATATAATTTATTAAAAACGAGTCATAATAAATGACTAGTCACTGTAAAAGAAGTCGTAATATCATACTATTTTGTGAAATAGTTTCATATGAAAACCAAAGTTTCGTAGTGTAACTACGTCACAATAACCGGTTACATTAATGAATGGATTCTACGGACTTATATATTTTTAGTTTTTCACATTTGATATTGACGAAATCTATAAAAAAATGCCTGAAATCTAACAATAGAATAGGTCATTCTATTCTTATGCACGTATTCATTACATTATTTTTTACGTTAAATTTTAAATGGAAACTTATCGATTACTATTCATATTTTGTCTATTAATGCACAACAACATATACTAGACAGATGAATGGATTGAGAGAAAAAAATTATGAGAATTTTTAAGCACTCTACTGCTAGTTAATTACTTCTACAAAGTTAACACAGTATACCTTCCATAAAAAAATATATATGAAGCCATAGAAATCAACAATTCAATATAAATTATGAAATATGTTGTAAGGAAGCCCTTTATAATTGTTTCGTTTTCAGAAGTAGTGTTGTGCCCATATGATGTCGTTACTTAATACATATTTTGTAGCTGTGAAAAACTTGAAAATGTAAAATAAACATGTTCTTTGTGAATTATTTTTAATGTGGAAGTGGTTATAACTAGTTTGATTCAAATATTTGAGTTATAGAAATGTAAAAGGAAATCAGTCAATATATCCATGTATGTTTTTAAAAATATGCACGATTAAAAGGATAAATCTTCCCAATAGACTAAAATGCCGTCTTATGTCTATGTTTCATAAAATGATTTTTGACTCAATTGTTAAAAATTCTAGTTTTAGTGTATTGTGAGCTCACCCAAAATACACTTTTTTTTTAGATGTTCATTCTTAGTACGTATACTATTTATATTAAGTAGAGTTCGTTTGTTTGGGGCTGTGTAGAATATAGAAAAAAGTAGTACAGCAAATTATTTATTAAATTTAAAGTAATTTACATAACAAAGTGTACAGAGAAAGAACAAAAATAGATAAAAATAAAATATTTATACATTCATAGTAATTCAGTAGAATTTTTTCAATTACTTATTATAATTATAAGAATAACAAATAATTGTTATTCTGTATTACTGCAGTGTGAAAATAAAATGAAAAGTCTTGTCAACGAGAACACGAAAAATAAAATTATGAACCGTCTAATCCAACATGGTCAAAATTCTAATATACAGAGCATTATTTTTCAACCGACTTCTAAAAAAGAAGGTTATCAATTCGCCTGTATTTTTTATGTTTGTTCCCTAATTTCTCGAATACTCCTGGATCGATTTAAGAAATTCTTTTTTTATAAGAAAGATTGCATATTCCAGGTGTTGTTATGGTCACAAAGACGGGTTTTTATAATGGGATCCTTTAAAATTTAAGAGAATCAAAAAATATATTTTTATATAAATGGAATATTTATTTAAATTTCTTTTTAAAGAAATCAATTCTTTTCATATAAATGTTCATTTGAGAAAGCCTCTCTTCCAGTTTCTTCACGTTTTCAGTTGACTTTTGACCATGTCGTGCTGTAACTCTTTGTCTCTAACGCATTTAGACGCTTGCTTTCATCAATTTCAGACACCTAAACTCTAACTTTCTCATTTAAGATGAAATTAAGGAAGGTATCTCCATCTTGAAACAGGTAACCTTTTTAACATAACTTTTTTATAATTAGATAAACTTTACGACGGATAACAGCTAAAACTTTTAAAAAATCTTGGAAACAAGTTTTTATTGAAATGACGTAAAAAGATGAAAATAAACTTTTAATTAAATCAAAAGACTCAATTAACTGCTACGTACATTAAACAATTTAAATATTATAAAAGCTTGTCTCGAGATGTGCCTGAATCTAACTGGTTATGACGCAATATTAAGTGACTCGACATAATAAGAAATGTCTCATAGAAAATAAGCAAAAATAAACATTGTTTTTTTTTATTATATTACTATTTACTTAAATTGAAGATTTATTTTTGAAATTGTCTTTGTGAGGGTTCAAATTGAGATAAGCGTTTTATAGCGGCAACATTTTTAATTATAAACATTTAAAAATGGGGGTAGATGTGAAGAAATTGACGTAATAGGTTTTCGATAACAATTTCTCAAAAGAAAATTTTATTAAGAGTGTATAAATAATTTGGAAATTGTATTTAATATCAAAAACATTTTTTTCAATCACGCGATGTTACCGTCAACTGTAAGTTATAACAAAAATATTAATTTAAACAAGCACTGAATAATTTTAACTTAAATTTGTTTTGCACTCAAAATAATCTTTTCATACAAATTGTTCATATAACAAGTGTTAAATTATTTACTACAGGATCCTTACATAGACGTGGTAGAACTGTGTGCACTCTTGCAATGTTTAGGATTTGGTATTAAGTCCCTGGATACAACCGATGGAAATCTTAGCGGGGAAGGAACACGCACTGTTACTATCAACTGCCAGGTACCTCATCAGATTGAAAAAATAATTAAACAATATGTAGCGAGCAACATATCTGTAGATTGCATAATATTATGAAAAACCTTGAATCATCTTTCATTCCTTCTACACCTATTTAACCTACATTGAGATCTATAAGACAAAAAAACTATGAAATGATTTAAATTCAAATAGAGTATTATAAAGCGCGTCAGGATTAATATATTTTCCAGGCGTCGGGAATACATGTAGTGCTGGACAGTGCAAATTTTAGTTGCTCATGTCCGAGCTTCATCAGTCAACAGAATAGCGGCTTCTGGCAAGTATCTGGTATGACGGGAGGCAAGGAATACAGCAAGGTATATCTTTATTATAAGGACATTATATGTTATAACTACGGTTACATTATTTAGTACTAAAAAAATTATTATATCTTAATAGGAATGTGGCAGTGCCCTACTTGGATCTCTCCCGAAACCTCATAGAGAACGGCTTACAAAGGAACTACAGGATATAGTGCGGTGTATCAAAGAACATAACGAATCAGATGTAGAGAAGAAACACGAAGCATTGTCCAATAAATCAGCCAGTATGATCGAGCTGAAGACACCTGAAAAACGGTAATCTAGATTTCAATACTAACAATTTAATTATAACCTTCCTAATAAAACAATAAGAGAAAGTAATCAAGACATTGTTGAAAATCACAAAAGCTTGATGATTACTTTTTTATTATCTTATCGAATTAACATCAAACAAAACGTTAATGAATACAAAACAATGCACAAACAGACAACAGCTGAAACCCGAAACGCCTACACGCTACCGCTCGTTGGACGCGCTTACCGCCAAGGACGACCAGCTGCCCGCGCCCGGACCACTCACCAAGGACGATGACAAAAAGGTTTTATGTTATACATTGTATCTTAATAATGTATTCCTTTTATCGCTCGAATTTGTAATTTATCCTGTCCAGATAAACCCTTTTGAGATTTCAATGATAAACTTTATTTTGACTCGATTTTTGATTGTGAAAATCTTAACACAATTTATGTACATCAGAACAAAGATAAATGTTGTAAGTTTTTGTATTTATTTCAAAGTTTAAGAAGAAATAATGCTTTTAGTGACTAACTAATTTAATAGACTAAGCATGTACCTATATATAAAAAATGAATATATCCGATGTGAATTAATCCATACAAATTAATATATTCTAAGTTACAGTATGTGTGTCAAAGACAAAGCACGTATACTTTATCCTCAACTCCTGAATCGTCTAGATTACGTAACAAGACTTCAAGGTACTTCAACATTCTATCATTCATTTATAACAAAATGCAACAACATTAATTTGAACCTATTTGTAGCCCTATTCCAGTACTCTCGCAGTCTTTAATTGACAATTTAATAGCAACGGAAAAAATTGCGGATGATCTCAGAAAAAAAATATCAAGTATTATTCATGATTTCGTAGAAGAAGCTAAACATGATATTTCTATGTCTTCATTGGCTCTGGATGTATCTAAGATTTCTACATTAAAGGTATCTACACTCTAAACTAATTAAATTCACGTTAATTTCACTTTTTATTATGTACTATTTTTATAATATGTTACTGTATATTTTTAGGGTCCAGAAAGTACTAAACAATTCGCATCTAGCCCTAATCTGTCTGGTTTAGGAGTACACGATGATTATATGAAAAGGTTCAAGCGTGTAGAAAGCGCTTCAACGTCAAATTTGACAGCTAAACCGGCGGCGAAAGAGGGAAAATTATCCAAACTAAAAAGAATATCACCAAATTTATTCAAATTTAAAAACAGTCCTAGCTCTGTTAACAAACGAGACAAATGTGATGATGTCAAAAGTAGCAAAACAAACAGTGAGTTAAATAGGATAAATAAAATAATTTACAATTTATTATAGCATCATGTGAATAAAAAATAACACATTTGATACAGGTTTAACGAAATCGAAAATAGCTACACCGGTGAGGGTAGAAAGGAGTAAGGCGAATAGTCCGAATGTTAGTGGAACGACAAAGAAATTTGGCCAGGTGAAGTCCACAATACCGAGACTAGCTTCGAAGAAGGAGTAAATAATATAATAATTTAAACATCAACCAACTGGCATGGCATGTTCTAAAATAAATACTAGTTATGTTCATTAGTGTTTCATTTTCAATCGTTCGAATCCTCGTATGAGCTGCAACTCTGCATCAATTTTTCTACTTCCTGCTCTAAAAAGCTATTTCTTTTCTCAGAGTCCACTTTAGGTGGTAAAGTCGATCTCTTACTCGCCTCTTTTTCCTTTTTGCTACACTTATCTTTCCTGCCACCGGCATTGTCTCGTTTCTTCTGCAACTGAATTGTAGCAGGGTACATAATACTCTGTATTAAATCATCCTTAGTCTTCCGATCTTTGTTATTACAGACACGGTTGCTTCTTTTCTTAGTCTTTTTACTGCTACTTTCAATAAAGTTCTTGTCTTGTATCCCATCAGAGTTATTTGATTCTGAATCTGAACTTTTCGTTGTTTTAAGTCTAGAGTTTATTTCTTTTTCCTGGCTCTTAGAAGTCAATTCTTTCAAAGTATACGGCCCTGACTTTTGCTTTTTCCTTTCTCTTTTTGCTAATTTAAGACAAATTGTAGCTTTTGGATAGCCACTAAATAACTGATAGCAGGAGCCTTTTTCCAGCGGCGTAAAAGAATTAAAAAATCTTCTAGGATGTATGTCATCTGGAGTTTCTGTTAATAAGACGTAAGCTTTTTTAAGGAACGTTTTTTTGTCTATTGGATTTTGCATGTGAAAAAAGTTTTCAAGTTGTTCGTGTGTTTTAAGTCTGCGTATAGCATTTTTCTGTACAATGTTGTAAGAAACAACGGCCATTAAAATATAAGCTGGTTCGTTACTCAGAATGTGATCCCAGAGGATTAGCCATTCAGAACAAGTCAATACTTCGCTAAACGCTGTTTCAAGAATTTTCAAAGCATATGTCTGACTTGTAACACCCAACTCGCAGAAATGATTAAGGAGTTGTCGGTCGTGTTCAGCTAATATGTTTTCAACCATCGCCAAGATGCTAACTGGCGGAAAAGGGGCATATTCAAACCAAAGCTGACATTGATTTAATAAAACCGTTGCGACAATCTCAAACAGTAAAAGTGGATCTTTCTGCAATATTTTAACAAATGGAAAGACAAAACTTGGTAGAAATTTCATAACTCCAAATAATGGGCACCAGTGAGCCAGACATGACAAAAGTCTTTTGAGATTCTTTAATGTAAGGGAACTGTGAATAGTGAATTGACTTTCAATGTCCTTATATGATGAATGTATGCCCTTATCAACTAAAACAGAATATGCTGTTCTATTTCTTGGTGTAGCTAATAGAGACCGCCATATTATAGATCTGAACTTATCTGGATATTCACCATATTGCATTAGTATTCTTCTCAATCTAGCACTGTCCATACATGTCCTCATCTTTGCTTCAACTTCTACTCTGGTTGGGGAATGCTCTTTATTAGACTTCTTAATTGAAGTGCATGCAAATTCTTCATGTATAGGTTTCTCGGTTGGAGACTGCTTAGATTCCAGTACATAAGAAGTATTATAAATATTAATCTCCCCCAACTGAAGAACACATAGAAAATATTTTCCAGTAGGACTCACTACAAATCTGCGTACATTAGATGAATCTGGTTGTATAGTATTCACAACCTTTAATGTTTCTAAATCTAAGAAAATAAGATTACAGTCACTACTTAAGATTGCTAGAACTTTGTTGGCTCCACCATCAAACATTTGTGGTATAAAAGCCATTTGTTGCACACCAGCTATATCATACTTAAGTAAATCTATAGACTTTATTGCTTTCCATGTATCCATACTAAATAGTATCAATATAGGTGCCAATCCGGCCATTGCCATTGCTCTGCCGTTCATAGTAAACGCTATATTCTTTAAATGCTTCAATTCATTTGGTATTATCTGTTTCACAGATTTCATGGTTTCATGTCGCCATATTTGAACTGTATCATTCTGAAAGCATGCTACTAAGTAATCACCGGCCGGGGTGAATAAAATCTGTTGAATTTGAGCCTCTACATAAGTATTCAATGTAAAATATTTTGTGTAGTTTCTTAGTTCCCATAAAATGGCTTCTGCAGGACTGGCTGTGAGCAAATTGTTTATCTTATTATTAGAAAAAGAGATGTGTTTTATAGGAGCTGTATGACCCAGTAATGAGACAGTTGTTGTGCCAGATTCACAGTCGATGAAGTTAATTGTAAACTTTTTTGCACCAGCAACAACTAATGTGTCCAGATTATGAGGTGAAAACTGAAGTGCAGTACAAGGCCCCTGACTTTTTAATTTCCAGAATTTAAGGTCCGAAAAGTCTAGTACAAATATATTTCCAATGTTATCAGCACATGCAAGCTTCTCATGAACATCCTCAAAGGTGCCGACGGAAAAACGAATCCGATGGCTTTCTCCATTAGAACCACGGACTGTATGATGCAGTTGTAAGATCACTCCATCCTTTGGTTTCGATTTAATCTTAATATCGAACTTCTCAACATTATCATATTCCCCTTGATTACCAGATTCCATTTGTCAGCTATACATCATAATTCAATCTAACAATCATTATTTACTATCATTGAAGTAAATAATTTATAATTTGGCGGAGTCAAAACCAAAACAAAAATAGATAACTTCATAAGTTTAAATGTCATTTTCGTTGCTATGGTTTCTGAGTTTATGACACTTTGTATAACACAAACTCAAATTATAGAATATTGATTGAAGTTGTATTCCCTAAGTATAATTTGCATAATAAAAATTAAAATATGTTATGATAAGATTATTAAGTCCTAATAATAATTAGGAAAGCATTTATTTTAAAAACTTTTCTGTTTGGACAAAAAAAATACAAAAAAAAATTCTTTTATATATAATTTTACATATATATTACAACAAATGCTTCTGTTATGTGATTAAATAGGACACTTACTCTCTAGTTCCCTAGATACATATATACTAACTTGTGTAGCATGGAACTACTTACAATGTTTCAGTCACACTGTTTTCCTATTTAGCTCATCTTTTGTTGTTCTGAAGGTGCTTTATTTAAGTCTCGTTATGGTCTGCTCCATAACTAGAATGACTGCTTTAATATAATAGTTTTATTTGAAATAACGATATTCTTTTTACAACTATACCGATAAACCCAACATAAATCCTAAAACCTCAAATTTTAACAATATTACAATTTAAATGAACCTATAGATACTAAAATTGCAAGAAGTTTACAAAGTACATAGATAAATTAAAAAATGTAGATATGTATTTATTTGAGTTTTGACCAGTGTACTTGTATTAAGTTTTCAATAACTATAAATGTCATTCGCGGTATACTTCGGTCGTGTCGATTTATTTATAAATAGGTACTGCTTTCTGTTTGTGTTTCAGATGAAAGAAATGTATTATCGCAAATGATAACAACAATGATAGTTAAACAAATCTAAAGACATTTTAACCTTGACTCAATGAAAGAATCCAGTTCGTATTCGCCGACCGGTGACTAAACTTGTTTTGCTTATTTCCATAACTTATGTAAAATATAACTACGGAAAAGAGGAGACACTTTTGTTGTGAAATTCATAGCAACCTAACGTGTTGGTAAAATGAAATCCTTTATAGAGTATTCTGCGAACACAGATTTTCCAATTGAAAATTTACCTTACGGTGTATTTACTTCGCCCAAAAATGTGAGTTTAATTTAATATTGTGTAACATGTTGCTATATTGTCGTCTGTTTATTTATTTTACTTACGTATGACAAATTTACCTAATTTACTTGTTAGGGCATAATTTTTTAAATATATTCATACCATAACCTTTTTATGATCTACATCTTAATTAATTAATTTCAATTTAAATATAAACATATAATTAATTACTATTTCGACTTACAGAAACTAATTAAGGCCTTAAATTATATTTGATCATTAAACCTCTTGAAGTTACTCCTGTTTGCTTCTTAAATCTTACGGCTGCGTTCGCAAATCTTAGTCAAATTGATTAATTATTTACCATATACTTGTCACATGTTAACAACATAAAAACAAATTCTTTTTATTTGATACGTATTTTTCAGGCTCAAAAACATATCGGAGTCGCGATTGGTGATTGGATTCTGGATTTACATGTGATCTCTCATCTATTCACAGGACCTCTACTGAAGGGAAAACAACATGTTTTCAAGGTACGTCGTAATATGGTAATTGGTAACTTGTTATTGTTTCTTAATAACAACAAGACGCCTAAACGTGTAAAGTAAACAACATAATAAAATTATAATTTTATTATGCTACCAGTAATTCATATAAGTTATAATTGGAATTAAAAAAAATTATAATAATTGTTTTTTTTTTTTGGCAGGATGACAAGTTGAACTCGTTTATGGGATTAACAAAGGCGCACTGGGTTGAAGCAAGGGCCACTCTTCAGAGCCTTCTGGATGCGAGCAATACCAAATTGAAGAATGACTCCGAATTGCGACAAAAGTAATAACTCATATATATTCCATGAAATGACATCCAACATAGATATTTTTTTGCAAATTCTCCTTACATCATTGGAAATATATACATATGGAACACCTTTTGAAATGAAAACAATAATGACATTTACGACTCGCTAGTATTCATTTAAATGAACTTTACATTATTCGGACTAGTCATCGTATTTAATTATTTTTAAAACGACGAGATGTGGTAAAAAAAATATTAGTTCCATTTAAATGAAAAAACAAGGTAGACCCTAACTATTGTCAAGTTACTACAGCTCGAATATGGGCTGGCTCCCGTAGGCTGTAGGCCGTCTGCTCGTTAGCCACCTTTCACATAAAAAAACGTGTAATTCCAGAGCGTTCGTTAAGCAATCCGAGGCCACCATGCATTTGCCAGCTGAGATCGGAGACTACACGGACTTCTACTCCTCCATCCACCACGCCACAAACGTAGGCATCATGTTCAGAAGCAAGGAGAACGCTCTCATGCCCAACTGGTAATGTTTAAATGAGGTTCCATTCAAGTATTTGTGATAGAAATACGGGTAGTTTTGATTTTAGGCACAAAAACTTGTAAATCTTTTTATTTCAAATATTTGCATTTCTTATTTAAATGTTTTACTGATAAGTAATTTAATTAGCTCAAAATAATCAAAGGGACTATCCTTAAAAAATATATATATCATCATCATTTTGCCACAAACAACGACATAACACAAGTAGCTCGATCTCGAGCAAAGTTATGGACCAACTTTTCTTGGTTTGTTTGTCAGTTTTCCATAAAATATGTGTATAATATCCATTTGAATGTCAATTCATTTCTAAAATAGTTCAGTAGCTTATTGTGTTAGCGTATCTGACCGTTAGAGTTCCATAGTTCAAAACTTTCATTCAAGAACTATACCGCCAATACTATGTTACTATTCACCCTTTTCAGGAAACACTTGCCAGTGGGTTACCATGGACGCAGCAGCTCCATCGTCATTGCCGGCACTCCGATCACAAGACCCTACGGTCAAACATTGCCTATCGAAGGTAACAAAGCCTAAAAAATAGATTTAAATGACTTTAGTTTGAGTTTAGGAAGATCACGAGTAAGTTATGGTCCAAAACTTAGTAAAGCCTAAAAAAGTATATGAACAATTTAAATGTCACTTCCGAATCATATTATGGAATATGGGCCAAAATAAATTATTGACATATTTTGCAATGTTTAAAATTAAAATCGTCATTACAAATGACCAAATCTCAATACAAAAACCTATTTTGCGTACTACCCTGCCGATTAGTATTACTTATGGTCTGTGGTTCAGTTAAAATCAAAGAGCATCTGTATTTTTCAGGAGCCGATCCTCATTTCGGTCCATCTCGTCTCATGGACTTCGAGTTGGAGATGGCTTGCTTCGTGGGCGGTCCACCGACAGCACTTGGTGAACGAGTCTCCGCCCGCCACGCTGAAGAACGCCTGTTTGGATTCGTTCTAATGAATGATTGGAGTGGTAATTGAGGTTTTTTTTACTAAATACCACTTAGAACTGTTTCACAAATTGATTGTCCTATTTAGAATTCCAAACTCCTTTGAATTCTTGCTATAAAGCCATATTACGGCTAAACAAACCATTCGTTCCATCAAGAGTTCATTAACACTCGTGCCTTTTTTTATCTAATTATAAGATTGATATGTTTTGTATTGGATTATCTGTTTGACTAAATATTATGTTACATATTTTCTCACAGCTCGTGATATCCAAAAATGGGAGTACGTGCCTCTCGGTCCATTTACTTCCAAGAACCTGGGAACATCCATTTCCCCCTGGGTCGTCACTATAGAGGCGCTGCGTCCGTACATCGTGGACAACTACCCACAAGACCCCGAGCCTTTCGCGTATTTGAAACACGACGACAAATTCAACTTCGATATCAAACTCGAGGTGGATGTTAAGAGTAAGGAAATAATTAATTCCTGCCTCTTATGAAAAAGAAATAAGTATTTTGGTCTTACTTTTTTATAAAGACAACTAAATAAGTAATTTAAATGAAACTAATATTTTTCGGATTATAAGACGCATATTTTATTACTTTAAACTACATTCTCCCGACCTTACGGTTACTTTCCAGCTACATCGGAAGTATGTAGTTTTTAAAATAATAAAATACGCGCAGTATAATCCGGAAAATATAAGTTTCATTCAAATGGACATTCTTTAAAGAAGAAGAAGTTAATCAATTCTCCCATTGTAGCTGACAAATCTCCGGTATCGAACACCATCTGTCGCTCCAATTACCGCTTCATGTACTGGACCGTGAAACAGCAGCTAGCGCAGCAGACGGTCACGGGCTGCAACCTGCGTCCTGGGGACTTGCTTGGATCGGGCACCATCAGCGGGGATGTATGACATATACCTTTACTTTCGCATCAAATTAAAAAAAAAACTGTCCTAACCTATAGTAGTATTGCCAGAGAAAAAAAACTTCATCGTCATAAACAAGAATGTCTCGTCAAACTTCTTAGAAAGCTTCAAAATAGATAGTGATTTATCCGAAATTTCTTGCAAAAATATATGTCACTAAAAAGTCTCCAGTATATCTTATAACATTAATTTCAAACCACCCAATAAATTTAATAGATTACTATAAAAAAATTTAGCTGATAGTGACAGCAATTAATTTTATCGCCATGTTATACTGAATCTAGGCCTCTTACAAAATATCATATGATTTTAGATAAAATAACAGTTGTTGTTTTTTTCAGACATCTGATTCATATGGCAGCATGTTAGAGTTGAGCTGGAAAGGAACCAAACCAATCCGCTTACAGAATGGCGAAGAAAGGAAATTTTTGCAAGATGGCGACACAGTAATAATAAGAGGATATTGCATAAACGAGATCGGTGTTCGCATCGGTTTCGGAAAATGCGAAGGAAAGCTGCTTCCGGCTCTACCTTTTAAAGAATGATCGATTTTCAGCACATGACCCAAACACCTTTTTGAAGATTTTGTTTTTATATCACGTTGTGTCACTGCCATATTGTGTGTTTTGATGGCAAAGATTTAATAGTTAGTTATCAATAAAAAGTTTTTCGTATTTTTTTGTTACTTATTGCTCACACATCACTTACCTATTATTATTGATAAATAAATACATAAAATGAGATCTAAGAATTTTTCGAGTACTCATTTAAATGAAAATAATATGTTACTGATTATCTTAACTTTTACTTTTACTATATTTTTTTATAAAGACAACTAAATAATTTTTTAAAAGAAAGTCATATTTTTTGGACTATACTACACGTATTTTATTATTTAAAACTATTTTCTCCCGACGTTTGGGCCATTTTTCAGCCACAGCTAAAATAATGAATTCAAAAATATTAGTTTCATTTAAATACATAAGAAACAAAGACTGCGTCTCCATTCAAATTCGGGAATCTTCATAATATAAAAAAACAAAAAACTGCAACTCAATCAAGGTATTCCCATCTGCTACGCAAAAAATTGCAGAACAGGACATTCTTATTCTTAAAAAGAAATTCAAGAATCATTACAGATAATAATTAATCTCATTACATATCTATTAAATATTCATAATTTACAATCAAAATACATACATTTAATATTAAATAACAGTATGTGATTATTCAAAAAAACTGTACATCGGAATAAGTAGGGCTTAATTGTTTGAATTATTTATTCCTTCATTTTAAAAGACTCTACAACTTTTATTTTATTAATATTATTATGTTACAACATTTCCTTACATAATTTAATAACCAAAACTGAAAAAGTTATTCATAAAAGTATTGTATACAATTGCTAACAATAATGTGCACACAGCTTTAAATGACGCTCGCGGTTGGACTGTTTGAGTATACACCGGACTTTAAAAATGCATCAATGATTCCGCGGTCAATAATTTGAAATTGCCATAATTTTATTAAATTTTATTTTAACTTATTTTTATTAACATAACACTTGGTACGAATTGTTCATTCATAATATTAAAGCCATGAGTCATATATGTGCCAGAACAGAAACAGAGCTCACTAATTTGTTGATCCAAGGTTAATATTTGAGAGTCAAATAAAATTTTAGACAATCACTGTTAAAAATACATATGCCGTTATAATATTTCAAAGAAAGGAATGACAACATGTGACCTTTATATTTATTTCATATTCTATAATTACATTATAAGTGATATTTCATTTAAATTATAAATAACATTATTCCGTTTTGCATTTATTTTATTAAAAATTTTCTCGTACGTATGAAATGAATATTACAAAATATGTAGTCAACGAGGCATGATACAAGATAAAAAGTAAATAGAACAAGCCCACCTTATATTAATATTGCTTGTGGTGTGGGTAATGGGTAGAAATATTATTCATGCAAACGCTCATGCGCCCTTCTCTTCGAGTTCACGTTATAAATAATAATATTAGTATGTATATCTGAATACACTGTACTATATTGTATTAAGGTATAACAATCCCACCCCCGTTTCATATTGTTAGGTTGGTACCTAGGTATAGAAATGCATTCTATGGCAGGTACTTGTAAACGAAAGGATGGAATCTAATAAAAAGAAGACTGTGAATCCGTCTATTATATCTTGTCTAAGTGTGCGTGCGTCTGTGTATGTTGTGAAAAGAGATTGAAGTACTTTTTACACACATACTTCTATACCCGACAATTTATTATTAGGAAGGGGCCAAGTTGGGTTGAAATATAAATAAACATAAATATTTATTTTTACGTACATATGATAAAATAATAATTTAAAGCATGTACTAAAAATATCGAATCGGTAGACATGTTAATTTTAATATATTAAAAAAATAATATCAAAACACCTGTGCATCAAAAATCAATGCAGGTGCAATAACAGAACATGTAGACAGTGAAATATAATCGTCACTTGCATAAATAACGAACATGAAATATCTAGTAGAAGTTATAAGTTAACTTTGAACCTTTTCACTTGGAATGTATGAACGTTGGTGTACAGTTTATAAAGTTGTATATATTTAATTACGGTATAATAAAGCATGCGGGGGGGCGAGGCGGCGCGCCGCGCTCTCATATTCCGTATATTGATTGTGTGCGAGGGGGCCGGGGCAAGGAGGGGGCCACGGCGTGCCCCACTCTGTTTTTTACGACACGGCTTTCTGTGTAACATAATAAGTATTTAAAAATTTTGTGAAATGTTTCGGTGTTATTTGTGAAAAATTGGGAAGTAGGAAAAGCGATTACGAGGTGAGATTTTTAGGATGCAATGGTTTAATTCAAAATTCGCGTTTTGCCGAATATAATATAAATAAAATTTTATAGCTCTAAATTCCGTCGGCGGCGCGTACCTACAGTATTACACTGTCATACCGCGTACGTATAGTGTTTTTTACGGGCATCGTTCTAAAAATAAGTTGTAATAATTATAATTTTATGTAGCGGTCGCAGCAGAGACGGTTTTCTGGTGATTTTTTTTTTAAATTTCGTGCTGAAGTGAGTGATTTGTGTTTGATAGTGTTTGTGGTGGTGCAGATGCAGGGGCTCGTGAGCGACAAGACGTTCCACTTGAAGTGGAACAACCACCTGCAGAACCTGAGCCAGCTGTTCACGACCATCTACTCGTCCTCGGCGCTCGCGGACGTGACGCTCTCCTGCCGTGATGGGACCCTCAAGGCGCACAAGCTCGTGTTGTCGGCTTGCAGCCCTTACTTCGAACAGATATTCAAGTGAGTCCAACCCGTACCCATTACTCATTAATTACCACGAACACTGTCATGGAAATTTACAAGCAATAATAAAATATAATTTATATAAAGTGTTGTAAATTAAATACATTTGTTATGTAAATGATACATTCATTACTTATAAAAATAATTTTTATCTAATGATAAGAGAAAAAAAAGTACACATAAAATAAAGATAAATTGTTATTTAATTATAACTGATAAAATTTATGTAATGAGAATTTAAAAATTAATTTCCTCTCAATAGGGACAATCCATGCCAGCATCCGATTGTGATCTTAAAGGGGATACCATTCTCCGAGATCAATCTCTTGGTGGAATTCATGTACAAAGGATCGGTGGATGTCCAAGAGTTGGATCTGCAGTCGTTGATGCACACAGCTTCCGAGTTAGAGATCAGAGGACTTGCATATGAGGCTCGTGATAACGCAGCACAGTTATTAAACGTTAACTTGGAGTATCCGACATACACTCAGAATGCTACCACAACGGCAACGACCACAGCGACCGCAGTCTCAACATCACAGACATACCCACAGACAAGAACAGATGTAGAGAGATTGAAACAGGTGAGTGAATTCACTCATTAATGATCACTCAATGTAATTCACTCAATATTTGAAAATAACTTCATAGTATTTTCAGTCATAAATATGTTTCATATTGAGGTATATATTTTGAAATAAGATCCATTCTTTATGTTAGGATATTGTTAGAGACATTTATAATTAATAACAATAATACATTCTTAGATACTTAAATACATATAAAGAAATAAAAATTAAATTATAATTACTGTAATATAATATAAAAGCAACATATACATTAAACGACATATACATTGTAAGACAAGTAATATATGTAAAGATATTAATTAACATATTAAATGAGAAAAATATATGTATGTTTATTATTCATATAAATATCTATTGCTGAGCGAATATATCTTGTCTTTATATGAATATCATATAATAACTGACAAAACACAGAAATGCTTTTAATACAATAAAAGCAGAATAACAAGTATTTCATCTCAGTCACATAAATATGCTTCACAAAGATTATAATGTGTTTATTGTTGGAAATCTATTTATTTAGACTCTGTTTAATATTCCAAAAATAACAAAAGCAGGTAGCCATCCTTATCTCAGCTTGGGAATGGAAAAAGTTTAACAATTTATCATTATGTATAATTTGAGACTAAGAAATAAAATTATACGGCATATAATGCATGTTATATATGTATATTTATATTTATATTTATGATATAAACATATTAACATTTGTTAATAACCGCATCGCGTCTGCCGGTTTAATGCCGGCGTCGACCTTTTTTTTTCTGATTAAAAAAGTTCAACCCCGATTTAGGAAGGGACGCGCTATGTATAAACAAAACGCAACTTCTTTATTGAAGTAAAAATAATATTAAATATTCACGGAATGGTATTATGAAATATGATATATTATTATATGTTTATCAATATTATATATATATATGCATATATTTAATTCATTAGCAATGAAATCATATGTTATTAAATTGTTACTGCGTTGTTTTAAATTATAATAAAACATTCATTGTTTGAACGTTCCGTGTCGACTTATAATGAGTAATAAATAAAAAATTACGCCATTTTATAAATATATATATATATTAATGTGATACAGATTATAAATGATATAAAAATGTATCCTTTAGACGGTATATTCGTTCCCATTGTACTAAGGTATTCGTAAAAAAGTAAAAAAATATTAAATGTCTGTGGTCGGGGCGGTCGGTGTAAGCGGCATATTGATAAAGCATCGCTATGTACAAAATATTATTTACATTGATATATAAATATACATATATATCGTTATATATATTATTATTGTACTGGGTGTAAGTTATCGCGTCATTAATCATGTAAACAATGACATCAGCTATTTATTTATTATTAAATAAAACTTTCTACATATTATTTGAGAATGTGAAAGTTTAAAGTCTCACACTGAAAAGGTTTTAATAAATTTTTCTTGTTTATGAACGTATAAGCTTATTCAATTTTTCCGTGTGTAGTATCGGGTTATTGTAAACTTCTTCGTTCTGTATTTTAACATTTTTGTATATTATACGTAATTGTCAATAAAATATGTTATTTTAGTTTACCCGCTGTATATAATTCGTGAATCGCACGTGATTGCTAAATTGAATGAAATGACGTAATAATGAGTCATTTTTCTCGAAACAGTGGAATTATTGTTTTATATAATATATATATGTTTTATATGTTACGAATATAAAAAATTCTATTATGTTTTATGATGCATCATAAAACCTTAACGGAAGGATTAGTTAGGCTATAGTTTTAATATGCCGCAAAAGCTTTTAATGGTCGGGTTTATTAAAAAAAACACAACTCGTAAAAGGTTCGTCCATTACGTGGAGTGTTACAAAAAATATAGAATAATATATGTATAACTTAAAAAAATAAATATTATCTATTCAAAATTGCACGGAAACAATTACTAACAATAGATGAAACTTGCATTACAAATAGTAATGGCGGGAAGTGTTAGTCATTTATTAAATTAACATCAGAAACTAATGTTATTTTATCACAGATTATAATCTACACGTACGTATGTAAAAGGCGCGAAAAACTACATTTGCAGAAGATGGTAATATATTTAAATATTTGCATACTAAATGCTAATAAGTGAATGTTAATTTTAATTTTTACGTCGTAATCGTTTTGTTTTTTAGTAATTAATTAATTAATATATATGTATATATATTTTACTTTTTTTTATATATTAATATTCATTCATGCAAAGTGTTCTTTATGGTGTTGCAAGTAATTTTTTTTTATATGGCAAACGTTTTAATTATATTTTTAAGTTGTAATGAGTTTTAATTAATTAATTGCGAGTGCTTTCATACTCGGAGCTAGACCGGTGAATCGATAACGAGTCTGCATCTCGCTGTGATATTAAAATAAGATTTTACATACATTTATAATTACTATAATTTTTTTATATTGGAAAGAAATAGGTAATTAAAATGTAAGCTGTATGTATGTATTTTCAAGATGATTGTTACGGAATTTATACAAAACTATTTTTTTTATTTAATTAAATCTACATTTTAATAAATTGGTGCTGCTTAGTGATTGTTTCGATTAACGAACCTTTGTTCTTATTTATTTGTATGTTCATATATTAATAAATTAATTATGATTACTTATATAGTCATTTAAACATTTTTTTAATATATAATTATATCTCTTATATGTACTTGTTTATAATTTATTTTAATGTACGATTATTATTATTTTTATATCTGTATTTACAACAATAATTTTTATAAGTTCAATGAAAAAAAATGTTAATTTAAATTTAAGAATTCTAATACCCTTAGTACTATTTGAACTAGTTTGAACCATCAAACCGGTAGTTTTATAGTTTTTTTTTATCGATAAATTAAAATATTATAGTATGAAGTTATGTATATGAATGAAAAATTCAATTTAATCAAACTAATTTTTATTCACATACTAATACTCGTATATATTATAATAATTATTATATAACATTTGTTTTTCTCATTATAAAGTTACTAGAAACATTTTTTCTTCATCTTTGCCCGTGATCACGGTTGCTGAAAAGTAACCGAAACGTCGGGAGTATGTAATTTTTTAGACGCCTAGTATAATCCGAAAAATATTAGTTTCACTTAAATGAATACTTGTTAGTCTTAGTCATTTCTGTATACAAATTGTACGTAATACGAAAATTCTAATAACAAACTTAGTTTAATTTTACATACAAAATCGCTCAAAATCTACATTTTCCATCTAATTTCTGATAATATTCCCAAAGTATCTTCAGATGGTACTGTCTGAACTATTTTCCATCATTTAATGATCTTATCGTTATAATAAATACGACTCAATAAATTTAAAATATAAATATTTAATTTACGATAACTTTTGACTATAAAATACAGTATCGCGTAAGTGATAATTTCAAAATCGTGTTTCTGCTTCACATTTTATTATTAGTTATCATATTATAACATACATTATGGAAATTTTATACATTATTTATATATATTTTTTATGTTAAACATATTTTTAATTACCATGGAAGAATTTTTAATTACCATTTGATAGTTAAAATAGATTTACTTAAAAATAAAAGAAAATAATTGTATATTTGTAAGAACCTTCAAAAAAGTCGAGATAGCTTTGTTGCCTATCGATTTTGCAATATAACTTTTACTGGCCGTAATTTTTCCCTTATTGGATTTCCAAGTCATCCCCCAGCCGAAATAAATGTATAAAGTATTTTATTTAATACAATCAAAAAAGCAATCATCCATTAACATCGATTTTTAACCTTGTTGCTTACGTCAATAAGGTTCAACGAACTGACAGTTAATATACATACATAGTTTTTATTTAAAACAATTATAATAGAAACTTATTTGTAATAAAAAAAATACTGGCAGCTTTATTTTTTTTTATGAGAGAGTTTAAAAACAGAACAGTTCTCAAGTAATGCGACCGGCGAACAGCGCGTTTTATATAAAAGAAGTCAATTATAAAATGTATTATTACAATAGTAAGTGGAGAGTTCAACAATTCTTTAAGAACCGTTACACAGCTCGCGTCTGGTGCTTACGTATTATGAATTAAATAAATTGAAAACATTTCCAATTGTTTTAATGTTCCATTTTTAAAAGTATTTTTTTTTCTTATTTCAAATTTAGAATACACGTATACATATTTTTGTTTAATATCTTTTCCCCTATAGTTTGTTTTTGATTCGATATATAATTATTTTTAAATTAAGAATATTTCGAAAAAGGTTCAATATCAATCCATCCAATCAGTCGTCAAAACATGTACCTAATTTAAATTCCTATTAGTTGATTTCTAAGTACAATTAATCAATGTATTTTCTTTAGATAATACGTATTATATAGTCGATGTTAAAAATAAACCTTCAAAAATTTTAACTTAAAAATATATTTACATTTGTAAAGGTGTATATTGAAGTATGAGAGCAATTGTCATTATGTAAGTCGAGAGTTGACACTTCTCTTAACATTTTCATATATTTTATTATTATTATAAATTTATATAAAAAACATATACAGGGTGACTGGTGAATTACTATCGATATTTGAGGACGTGATATTTGACGATCATATATGACAAAATAAAAATTAATATAAAATAAATATTAATAAACTTCTGAGTAAAGTTAATCAAAAGTTATGTAATTAATTACGCATCGTGTGAACACCCTACAGATTAGGTATACACACACACACACGCGTGCGGCGGCGTAGTGTTGTATCAGCACGCCGCCGCACGCGTCCACACTTGGAACACTTGGAACGTGTACACACTTTATTTATACGGAAATTTGGTCAAAAATTAAGTACCTATTTTTTTTACATAATTCGAATGAGAATCATGTACCGAGTATTCTCCTTAAATATTGATAGTAATTCACCAGTCACCCTGTATAATCGATAATAATTATTACTAATGTTATTGTAATTACCAAGTCTTATTACTTATCACATGTACAAATAGTGTAATACGGAAACGCCGGCATTAATGATCGTTCTTATAGAAGTTTTTATTGGAATTCTCATGAAATTTGACCGGAAATGACGAAACGTGAATATTGTTTTATATGTATAGCTTGAATGGTCACATTACAAAAGATGTATAGTTTTCATTCATAAATTTAAGTGAATTATGTACATAGGTTTATAAATGAACTAGCTTTCCGCCCGCAGCTTCGCCGCGTGGAGTTCGGTTATATCGCGTTTCCAAGAGAACCTTTCAAAAGTCTGGGATAAAAACTATCCTATGTTCTTTCTCAAGGTCAACTCTATCTCTGTACCGAATTTCATTAAAATCAGTTCAGTGGTTTAGGCGTGAAAGCGTAGCAGACAGACAGACAGACAGACAGAGTTACTTTCGCATTTATAATATTAGTAGGGATAAAAATTAAATTTTAAAATTATTTTAATCATAGAGAAAACGTTAACACTGATCGTTTTTGATAAGACAACGAAAAACTCATAATAAAGCTACTTTAATGAATAAAATTCTCACTTATATCAAGACGTCCTTAATCTGAAATATATTGAATTTTAATGAATATAAAAAATATAATTTTGATTGGCTATCCTAATGCTTTACTTACACTAATCTTACTACACACGTCGCGTTAACGGTTTTTCATTCATAAATTTTGGAATGTACTTCAAAATTATCCTTAGTAGGTTCTATTCAAATTTATTAAGTAGAGAGATGAGATTGGACGGTGGAGGTGAGCGTTTAACGCTCGTTAGATAGGGTCCCCTTAAACCTACACCTGGGTCGCAAGTCACAGTCACTGTTGAAGCTCTCCCTAAAACCATGGACCCGACACACGCACCGTGAATACTTCAAATGAGGAAAGGTTTCTTCTTAACGTAGACTATTAGAAAAGTAACAAAAAAACTCCTCATCTGTAGTAATGGAAACTTATAGTAATTTTTCAGATGTGAGGGTAGATAGTGTTATATGGTTGTACGACCAATAATAAAATTACGAACAAACTGATTTGATACTTATAGATATAGAGATAGGGTTTAATATAATCTACTTTATAACAAATTAAAATTAGTTTCAATAATTATACAGGGTGACTGGTAAATTACTATCAATATTTTAGGAGAATACTCGGTACATGATTCTCATTCGAATTATGTAAAAAAAATAGGTACTTAATTTTTGACCAAAATTCCGTATAAATAAATAAAGCGTGAACACGACACGGCGTGCTGATACAACACCACGCCTCCGCGCGCGAGTGTGTGTGTGTGTGTGTATACCTAATCTGTAGGGTGTTCACACGATGCGTAATTAATTACATAAGGACTTTCGCGAGTATTTATAAAACAAAACTATTTTTTTTTCGGATTTTCTAAACTACATACTCACGATGTTTCGGTTACTTCGTAGCAACCGTCATCAAAATTGTAGTCTAAAATAATAAAATCGCGTAGTATATTAGAAAATATTAGTTTTATTTAGTTTCAATAAACTTAAACGTATTTTTATATTGAAACATTTTTAATTATTTAATTAACCGAATTTTGTCAAATATTATGAATCGTCAGCTAAACTTCATTCATTTCAATCTTATTTAAACATTATTAAAAGATTTTTCTCAAATACCACAAAATAGGATTCAAAGGCATACAGAGCTAGTGGCAACACTATAATAATATAAATATACTAGAAGACCTGGCGAACTTCGTATCGCCTTATAATGAAGAAATATCTTTTACGTTTTTTTATTTATATTTTTGGAGTTTACCGGTAAGCCATAAATCTCCGTGTTTTGAAGTGCGACAGAATGATTGACATATTAGTTAGTTGTCAAATCTAATGTCAAAAAAAACGTTTGTATCAACAACTACTAATAAATTAAAAATTAATTAAAAAAAACATTGTCCAGCGAACAAAATTGTGTATCTAAACCATTCCCAGCTCCCCTTGAACACACACAAAAAATTTCATCAAAATCCGTCCAGTCGTTTGAGAGAAGTTCAGTGGCAAACACACTCACAGAAGAATTATATGTATATATAAAGATAGGGAGACGAGATATCCATACCCATTATAAAGGTAATCTGACTGAAAGAATTCTAAAGCTGATTATGTATATATGGGATTGGAAAAAAATTAAAATCGTTTCCAATTAAAATTCCAACCAGTATATAATTCCAGATCCATGTGTACCATCAGTCCATGATAAATAAAACATTTAATATGCGTTGTATCTATATACATTATACATATATGGAACTGGAAAAAAAGTTCCAATCATTTCCAATTTCAAAAAGCATATAATTCCAGATCCACATGTACCAGCAGTCGATGATGCGTGCTGAGGAGATACGGCGGCGGCGGCGCGAGGACATGCCGGGGACCCAGACCGCCGTCAACAACATACTGGCGGCGGCCGCCAGGGAGATGGAGGAGGCGAGGCACGCGGCGCGCGGGGAGAGGGTCGTGGCCAGCATACAGACTGAACAGGAAGGTACGGCACACTGGCTGGGTAGATGCTTTTTTTTTTAGTTTACTAGCAAGGAGGTTGGTTATGTAGTTGCCAGTACTATTTTTTTTAACTGGTATACGAGCAAGGAGGTTGGTAATGAAATTTGTCCTATGATCAGACAAATATTCTCTGAAAATGGTTCTATATATGTCAGATTCAGTCAGAAATCGCCAACCTATCTACGGTAAGCGTGGTGATTATAGCTCTAACCTTCTCCATGTGAGTGAAGGCTATTGCTCAGCAGTGGGCTCTGATAGGCTGATGATGATGATACAAGCAAGAAGGTTGATAATGAAGTCGCCAGTACTGATTTTTTTTTATCTGGTCGTCTAACAAGCAAATGATCAATGTTGTTGATGTTGGCAGAATTTATATTAGTTTATCTGATCATTAAACAAATAAGTTTATGTTGATGTTGGCGGTACTGATGTTTTTTTTTTAATTGTCTCATAATCAGACAGAGATTTTTTGAAATGGTTTGTCGGCGTTATTTTTTTTTTATACGTGTAAAAAAATTTTCATTGTCTCATGACAAAAGCATTTTTTTTGGTTTTATACGAAGCATTTTTTTAAATGTAGTCTTATAAAAAAACTTAATATTTTTTTCTTATTTGTGTTCCATAGCCCTGGAATTGGTATTTTTTATAGAAGTGTTTGAGAAATAAATCAAGAAAAATATTTTTTTATATACATATATCATTAATAAGTTATAAAATCTATAACACAAAAGTACCTACAAGCTCAGCATTACAGACTAATTAAAACAGCGCCTAATATTTTTTTATTAATATATAGAGATTTAAAGTAAAAGTGTATGATTCTAAGAATTTTTAGTGAGACTTTCGCGAGTATTCATTTTAATAAAACGAATATTTTCGTATGTACTACGCTTTTTTTAATTATTATAAACTACATACTCCCGAAGTTTCGGTTACTTTTCAGCAACCTTGATCACAAGACAAGATAAAGATAAAATGTTTCATTAAAAATTATGTAAAACTTACCTTAGAAGGAGTTTTAAACGTTGCACTAAATACAGATAGTACAGAGTTTTTGATAAATTAACTAAGTATATGAATGAAAAATTGAAAGAATCAAGTCTGCTTATCAAATATATTTCTCTTTTATATGTCTCTAATACAATTATATTGTTACATAATATTTAACTAATAAAATACTAATTAAAACAGGTATTTCCATATACTTAATATACAATAATAAAATTAACCACAGGCGAAATTGGTTCTTAATCCTACCACTGGGAAATATCTCAATTAATATAGCTTTATTAATATGAAAATAACTGGAAATTATACCAAGAATAGTGCTAGTTATTAATTGAAAATTATATTAAATTTCTTTATATACATATAAAGTTCTTGATAGAAATGAATTATCGAAATACATGCATCAATTTATAAGAAATATTTTATAGTATTTATTATATCTATGTATACTAATAGTATTGAACTATGCATATATAACATCTGTGTGTATGTGTTCTTCTACCTGGCAATTTCCCAGATTTAGCCAGGGTCTGTCTTACATGTTGTGAATAGTTCTCGCTAATTGTTTTTACAACAGGCCGCCTGCCTGACATCAACCCTCTTTGGGAATGCATTAATCGGTGATGTCTAAATACTTTTAGAAAGTACATATGACTCGGAAAAATCACATTGGTGCTTGCCGGGATCGAACCCGCGCCCTCATGCATGAGAGGCGGGCCTTTTAACCACTAGGCCACCACTGACTTCACTGACACTGTGTGTTTGCCACTAACTACTACATATTTGTATGAACTTCGTTAAATCCTTACACTCGTACAACGTCAATCTATACTACTTATAAATTAATTTTCTTTACTTTCAAACAATCCATTTTCTATTAAAATCCATTTAATTTTACAGCTACATGTATTATATTAATAATTTCCAAGTAGAATCTTCTAGTTCATAACAAATGCATAGTTCGTAAAGGGTAACTGGTAGATCGATAGAGTAAGCCCGATCTCGCTACACGCCCACGTCGGTGCAACACTTAATATATACAGACAGCCAGACGAATATTACACGCGCCATAATGAAGTAACATATACGTATTGAAGATATTATTTGAGTAATATGAATATTACATAAGTAATATTAATGTATGATTACTATGAATTTAAATGTTCATACTATTATACATACGAATGGTTTTTACTTTTTCGTTTCTCGTTACGTGGATCTTAAAGAAACTTAATCTTCATATTATGTTATAAAATTTAGAATAGGCATCAAAATATAAATTTTTAAACAAACTTATTTTGTAGTGTATATTTGTGTTATTAAAATAACCTTTAACTTAATGCATATGAGTAATATGTTTTCTATTTCTATTCAAATAATCTATTTTATTATTTTTGTCTATCTGTTTTTCGTGATGGTAATTTCACGCGTAATTAGGTAGCATTATAAGTATTACTTTTTCTTAGAAATATTTGTTTATTATTAAATAAAAAATATATATTTTATTCTCATTGTTAAAGTCTCTGGCATAGCTAGTTAGAAAAACCATTAAGAATATCAAATTACAATTAGGAATTTCGAGTAAAATTTAATAATACAATACGGGTCAGATAATTACTAACACAAATGAAAAGTAATTGAATCAACATTGCCATTACACTAACTTTTTTTCATAAACTAGACTCTTTATATTAAATTGTTATTATTATGTATTTAACATTCAAGCAATAGAAAAAATATATTTAAATTACCATAAAAAAAATCAGTTATTAACGAGATACTTCAAAGGTTGCAGTTTGGAATCCTGATAATGTCATAAATTTTTTTAATAATAAAATAATCTAATGAGATCTAAGACTTTCGCTAGTTCTATTCATTTAAATGAAACTAATATTTTTTGGATATACTACGCGACTTTATTTTCAAAAAAAACTACATACTGACGACGTTTCGGCTACTTTTCAGCAACCGTGATCACGGAAATCTCGTCTGCCCGTGCCAGTGTAGTTTTTTTACGAAAATGAAGTCGCGTAGTATAATCCGAAAAATATTAGTTTCATTTAAATAACATAATCATATTCTGTTTAGCAACATCCACTTCATCAGCGTCGGTAGCGGCGACATCAACACAACACGACGTGAAGCGAGAATACGAAGACGATAGACCTAAAAAACGGGTCTCCATCATGTCACCAGAAGACGAGAAGACCAGGGTCAAGAAGAAGACCATGACGGTACGCTTCCAAGAAGACAAGACTGACGACGGAACACAGAAGATTACATCACCAGGTAAGAAGGTTATATAGAATAATATGAAAAAGAGACGATTCCTCTTAGCATTCCATGTATTCACCGTGCGAGTGCCGGGTCCATCGTTGTAGTGAGAGGAGCTTCAACAGTGACTGGGACTTGCGACCCAGGTGTAGGTTTAAGGGACCCTATCTAACGCACGTTAAATGCTCACCTCCACCGTCCAAGCTCCTCTCTATGTAATAATAATGATATATATTTTGAATTAATAATTAAATTATTCCACTCAGTATGAATTAAAGAGACCACGAAGAAGTTCAATAAATATAAATTCTTTTCATTTTTGGAGACTTTCTATACATCATCAGCTATTTCATTCAGTCAGAAATATACACGTGATTATATAACTACTAGTCAAGAATATGGTCATAGACAATAAACTATTCTTTTTTTCCTGAACTTTTTCAAAAAATAAATTAAATTAGAAATTGAGGTTATTTTATTAATATTAACAAATAAAAAAAATATTCTTTAATATATACGTGTTTTTCACATAAATTACATACGTGTTGTTAATTTAAACTTTTAAGTGTCATGACATTAGCGACTTTCAGAAAACAAGTAGGTACTGCATCATCGAAATGTCGCGACCAGTTAAAAAAAATACCTAAAAAATATAATAATGTCGAAACAACCGAAAATATCACAAAATACTTAAAAATAATTTTATGCAAAATAAAAGATTATTTCGTCTTAAAATATATGAGTGTTCAAAATGTCATTTCAACGATAGCGTATCTATGTATGTATTGTTGGGGAGTTCATTATTTTTAATTAGCAGCATATTTTCATAGCATTTAGTATATTCGTATATATAAATCTCTTATTTAATATACTTTTTTTATATTTTTTGTTTTAAAATACGTCCTGCATCGTTACATTGACCTCACATATTAATTTTTGATATAATTTATTATTATTTTTTGGGATGGAAAACTAATTAGCACGACCTTGGGTTTTTATAAACATTTTTGGACGCTCTTTGTCGCGATGTCACTCTGACATTAAGTTTATTTTTTTTACCAATCTCTGGGTGGTATATATTCGGTATTTTATTTAATTAAATTTCAAAAATATATATCCTGTTTGGTATATAAATTTTAAAAAATCAGACTTTATTATATATTCATATGTTTATAAATAACGCTTATAAAAATAATATTTATATTTAAACATTGGTCATAATAACATCGAGACGATCTCGTCATAACTTATTATTAACTATACAGTCTTGTGAAATGTAATGAGTTGAATTATAATGAAAAAAAATATATAATAACTTTCTTACATTATATGTATGAAACAGGATTCCATACGACAGGTTCCTCACATTGTATGTCTTGCTCATTATTATTGAACTTTATACAAAAATAAATTATTAAGGTCTTCATTGCCTATAAAACATATTTAAATGAAGGTTTTTTTTAATATCACATGTATACATGTATACGTTCAGAGCATAATGCACCTTATGTACAACAAATTTAGGTACAATTCACGAAAATGGAAAATAAAGAGTAATTTTGGAAACGTGATTTAAATATTAATAAATATATATATTATATAAAAACAGTTTGTAATAAAAATATTATTTAAGTCTCGTTAATATGTATGAGGACGGGTCGGGACTCGGTTCCTAAGATTTTAATATAAAATACAAATTACATTAATATACGAGTGTCATAATCTTATCTTTTTAATGAATTACATATTTGAGATGAAAAAAATTTATCAGCGAATTTGTTTTTGCCGTTAAAAAAAAAATATGATTATAAAGGTGTTTAGAAATAAACGAATCGTTTAGAAACAGATAGACCGAGATTAGATTTACATTTTTATTGTTCAATTAAGTTTAGAAATGTATAAAAAATATTTTTTTTATTTAGATTATAGAATATACAAGACATTACATCGTAAATATGGTAATAAAAATATATAACCTACATTTTATATTTAAATTTGTATAAGAATTTAAAAAAAAATGATTTATATGAATCACAATTAACTTTTTTTTACAAAAAAAAACGAGTTTCCATATCGAGTTATGCAAACTCGTTTTAAATTAGTTATATGTATATATTCAATTTATTACAAAGAGATTGTACGGTAAACATTTCTTAACATAAGAATCATTATAAATACGAAGTTTCTTAGAACAATGGCTAGCTCTCAAGACAATAATTTCGTGTTTCCTTTCATAGTTTAAAAATGAAATAGACAATAAGCAGATAATCGTTTTAAAATCGATGCATACAAATATATAGATTAAACATGATATATCGATTCCATAATCGATTTTATATACATTAATTTTTTTTACGTTAATTTAAATATAAATTTGTATTAATGAATATTAATCTGTTTATAGAATAATAGATTACAAGGCGTTACTCAGAATAGGCTTTCGATAAAACTATGATTCACGCACTTTCTATAAACTATGATAAATTAGTTATACGTCGTTTATTTGTTTGACTTTTTTGTATCGATAATTTGTCAAAATAATATTAAAATCGGTATTAAAAAATATCTAATGATCGATACTAAACCATAATTCATTATTTATTTAAGTATAAATATTCAAATAGAAATGTCATTTTAATTGACGTTCAGTGACAACACTATGACGAATCTTTATGTATTGACGTATATGTGTGTGTGTGTGTGTGTGTGTGTGTGTGTGTGTGTGTGTGTGTGTGTGTGTGTGTGTGTGTGTGTGTGTGTGTGTAAAAGTTATGGTAGTGTGTGTAATGTTATATTATATAACGTATTTCAAATACATTTTATACATAATAGCTTTGTTATTTCGTCTCCATATAAACGTCGACTGAATACCAGGTTCGCGGAATTCTAACAAAAAGGGATACTAAGTTTTCGCTTTATATATTATATGACTTACCACTTATGCATATATGTATATTTTCAAACAATTCATTGCGATCCAAGACGTTAAAAAATGTAATGTGACGTTAGAACAATACAAGGAAATAATTTACTATAGACTAATTAAGATGTTTGGATTATTATTTATGTGTATATTTTTTGTTGTTCTAGAAAATAACTAGAGTCTTAAAAAATATTTAAAAAAACGCTTTTATTCCACTCGACAAACTCCTTCGTGGTTCCTCCACACAGTAGGTATTTAAGATTATAATTCGTCCAACAAATAAAAACGTTGACGTTATCAGAATATTCCACGATTCCAGTGCGAATGAAGCCATAGTATAAAAAAAAACATAAAAGTATCCTCGAAGTTAAAATAATAATTTAAAAAACTAAATGAAAAATAAGTTAAATGTTAATAGTGATAAAAATCATATTTCTTTGTATATAAATTGAAGTATATAAGTAAATGATACACACGTAGTCGACCAATCAAAAGCGATTCTCTTACATCTGTTTATTAAAAACTATCTGCGCCCCGCGGTGTTACCCGCGGAATTCCGGGATGTAAAGTAGCCTCTGTTATTCCTGGACGTCAGCTTCCTGTATACATAATTTTATCAAAATACTTTCAGCCGTTTGAGCGTGAAGAAGTTACAAACATACACACACACTCACAAACTTTCGCAATTATAATATTAGTAGGATTGATTGATACATATTAATTTGTTTCCAGGCCCAAACACAAACCAGCAGGTCCACACACAGACAAACCACGGCGAATCAAAAAACGACAGCGAAATGAAGGGCGGCATCAAAGTGGTTCAACTGGCCGTGCTTCAGAAACAGAACCAGGCGAACAATGAACACGATGACTCTGACGGTGAGGTGCTAGGACTCGTTGTAACATTAATATATGAAATAATAATCATATCAATAAAACTCAGAGTATTTAGACACCACTGATATACGGTGAAGGAAAATATCGTGAGGAAACCCGGACTTATAGTTTCACAATTATAAGTTTGAAATCACTAACCCGTCTTGAGTAAGCGTGGTGATTAATGCTCAAACCTTCTCCATGTGAGAAAGAGGCCTTTGCTCAGCAGTGGGCGCTGATAGGCTGATGATGACGCGACTTTATCCCTACTAATATTATAAATGCGAAAGTAACTCTGTCTGTCTATTAAGCTTTCACGCCTAAACCACTGAACTGATTTTAATGAAATTTGGTACAGATATAGAGTTGACCGTGAGAAAGAACATAGAATAGTTTTTATCCCAGACTTTTGAAAGGTTCTCTTGGAAACGCTATATAACTAGTTTTTGATAAAAACTACATACTCCCGACGTTTCGGCTACTTTTCAGCAACAGTGAGTGAAAGACGAGATGTGAGTGCCATAATCACGGTTGCTGAAGGCAAAAATCTTAGATATCATTCATTATAATATTCACTTTTTCTTGAATTATCAATATTTTATTGGGAGACACTTGTTACAATAGTGAGAGACAAGGAACGACTACATACACACACACACACACACACACACACACACACACACACACACAAACAGAGATTAAAAAGTATTGCGCATCTTTTCGCGTTAAAATAGATGGCGCTGCATGTACAATATGAGAATGTAAGATTATAAAATTTACTTATTTTCAACAGTAACACGAACATAACAAGCATATACATAAGAAATGAGAATATCTAATATATTAGATGTTTAATTGTTTATGTTGTTCCAGACAAGGCAGGCAAGCTGGTGATGGATGATGATGAGGAGACGGACTCCAGCGGCTCTATATCAGACTCGGCGGCCAACGAGTCGCAGGACGGCCGGCCGCACGTCTGTGATATATGTGACGTCAGGTGAGTACATATGTATGATAAAATATGACGTCATCACACAACTAAACTGTTCAGCTAAGAGATTACTTGGGGAAGTTAAGCAATCTATCAGTCAGAAACGAAGTTTAGTTAGTCACAAAATAACCTTGCTTGACTCGACGCTCCTGTCAAAACAGAACAAAATATTAAAACTACAACACTACTACAAATTCTGAAATTAGCGAGTGGTGGTGGCCTAGTGGTTAAAGGGCACGCCTCTCGTGCACGAGGGCGAGGCTTCGATCCTGGCCAAGACCAATGTGATTTTTACAAGTCATATTATGTACTTTCTATCAGTATTTAGACATCCAGTGGTGTCAGTGACAGACGATAAAGGAAAACATCGTAAGGAAACCTGGACTTATAACTTCACAATTATAAGTTTGAATTCACCAACCCATCTTGAGCAAGCGTGGTGATTAATACTCAATCCTTCTCCATGTGAGAAAGAGGCTTTTGCTCAGCAGTGGGCTCTGATAGGCTGATTATATAGTTCCTTATAATACCAGTATCTAACAATCATGGCCTTCCCTTCCAGTATAACCCTGTATGTATGTTTGTCCCCAGGTTCGCCCGGTCGTCCCACCTGTCCCGACACCGCCTCACACACACCGGCGAGAGACCCTTCACATGCGGGGGATGCGGACGATCCTTCGCTCGCTCCGACAAACTGAGGGTGCACACTAAAATATGCGAACGGGTACGTACAATACGCATATACAAGTTAATACCTAGAAGAAGATTTAAAACAACGATATCAAGTAAACTTGTTTAGCAATAGAATAGTCTGTTGAAAATATAATATTTACCAACGCAAGCGAACATTATCATTTATAAAAAATATGATTAATCTTGATAGGAGGATCCAACAGTGGACATGGCCAACGAATCAGTGAAACGCGAGAACAATTCTGAGGTGATGTCAGGGATGGTGCGAACCACTCACCGGGAGTCCGGCCACTTAGTGTTCACACCCAGCGGTGACGTCATGCTGCCACCTCGGCCCGGCAACCCTGTGGTACTCAACTCGACCCTGGAACCCATCAGGAACGAACTCAACGCCTCAGACCTTGTAGACCCGCCGCGCAGAGGACGCGGCAGACCCAGGAAGACCCCACTACCACTCACGCCTAAGATCAAGAAGAGGAGGGGACGACCGCCCAAGACATCACTCGGTAACTGACATGTTTATTTTATTATTGTTAGTGTGAAAAGAAGGAGGAATGATATGAGTGGACTTTTGAGGGCTATGAAGTTTGGAAGATCTGTAAAATCTAATACATTGGCTAGGTAACAACGAATACTAAATGGGACCATTTAGTATTCGTTGGAGTGACTAGAACAGTGGGAAAGTGATGGAATGTCTACAAACAGTTTGAGAGTAATGGAGTTACTATGAACAATATGATCGTGTAAATTGTCACTATGAATAGTGACATTATATTTTGATGTCCAACAATGTGAATATGTTCCAGATATGGAAGGCTGTGTGCTGACTGGCGGGTCAGTGTCGGGCAGCGCGCTGGCCGGACACCAGCTAATGCTGAAGAGGAAGCGAGGACGCCCGCCGAAGAACTACTTCCTGTCACAGCCGGGTATGACACATACATACATACATCAACACATATATACATACATACATCAACACATATATAGTTATATATATAAACATATCGTCTGGCATATTAAACCTATGAAATTGGTTACACATTGTTTATGTTTACAATTTCTTTATTGACAATGTTAGTCATATTAAATTATATACAACATTATTAAAAGCTATTAAATACTTCGCTATTTAAATTTAATATATATTTAATTCTGGATATGACATCCAATGCCGCAGAATAATTCTGAATTATTATTTATAGAACCATGAATATTTTTAAATAGTGTGTGTGTGGCCTAAGCGACGCTTTGTTTGTATTCCCCATATAACAATAGTCGTGTGCACATAGCTATGATGTTGCTGTGTTTCCATAGGTATGGATATGGCAATCCAGTACAGCATTGCGGCAGAAATGAACAACATTTGTTAGTAAATACATTTAATAGCATGAACTAACCGGGGACTACTGACTACTGGCAACACTAACACATGCCTTTATAGTTTATACTAGTATATAGCGGTGAAGGACTATGACGGCTTAGTAATAATTGTATTGGAATGCATGAATTTATAAACGGCTTTTGTGTACTATAAATGTTATAAAATAATTTTATTATGAAATGTAATACTTAATTTCTAAGAAATATCAATCAATTTTGAAATTGTTTTAGGTCTTTGGAATTGTTAGTTTTAACTCACTGTCATTGAAAAAGTATATTATTATATGAAAGTACATTCAAAAATAATAAATTTTTATTAACAGATCATATTATAAAAACGATTTATCAAGTTGTCAATTAATTCTGTTTAACCATTATTTGTCACAAAAACTATTATCTTAATTAAAAATGAGTCGTATAAAAACATGTTAATCACAACCATAACATAAATATCATTAATTGATAGGGACAATATTTGTTTATTTTGTTACATAACTCCACCCTGTTTTGCCTGCTTTGCTATGTAATAGTTAAATGTGTTTAATAATAATTAATAAGGTATTAAAATACTAACATGGACGGTCAAAGATGTTTTAAGTAAATTAAATTATTTGGAATAATACCTTAAAATATAAAACGTCAGAAACAAATAAGCATGAATCAGGTTGCGGGATAACTCTGTGTAGTCAAGTACAGCTTAAGTAATATAAGGCACGTTACAGACGGACGACCCAACGAGAACTACAACGCGACCAACCTGCCGTTCGGAGACTTCTCGTACCTGACCGAGATGATGTACAACCCGCTGGCCTACCCCTACGTGACCGTGGACCCCGACCGGAACGTGGACGCCGACGCCGCGGACACGTCGCGCGGGACCATCGACGTGTCCGACACCAGCTCCGACGACGACTCCGAGGCCGACCGGCGCCGCGTCATGACGGTCGGCGACTGCCAGATAGTGAAGCTGCCGCCGGCCGACGAGCGTGACGAGCGTGACGAGTCGCCGCCCGACGACCTACCGCCGCCCACCAGCTCCGTCACCATCACGCCCATCACCACCGTCGGCGACTGCACGCTGCGGCCACACAACGCATAAGGACCCCCCCTCCCCATCCCTCCCCTCTCCCCGCGCCCGTAGTCGCCGTCTTCCCTATCCCCGTGGTAGCATGATCTCGTGGCCTCTCAATGTTCTCGTGCCATGTACACGCGGCACCTCAGTGTCTTATGAATCTTGTATCAATGTCGCTGTAGCGTTATGTCTTCCTAACTGTTTAGTGTTAAACGGAACCGTCGCTGCGTGTCCCGCTCGGCGCTCGTTCCATAAGTCGTCGCGGCCTAAATGCTACTACAATGATCGTTGAGACGTCTCCAGCGGACGTGCATTTAACCGGTGATGTTATTTATTCGAGCGGAAATTTTATTCGTAATCGTGAAGCTTTACAAGTAGAACGTAAAAAACTTGGCATCGGTGTGATGTTTTCACAAGTAGAGTAACAGCGGCGCCGGCCCCTCGGTCACTGTGAGTACTACGGACGGCTGAACGTACAACAATACTAGAACAACGTAAAAATACGTTGACTTCACCTCGGGTACACGCAGCGGATCACGGACCGACGCCCCAATATATATAATCTGAGCCATATTATAATAATGCTAGTTTAAGGATCTATATTAATATGTATGTAGAGTATTTTCCTAGTATCACACGCATGCCATGTTTTTATCGTTAGACAACAGATATACTCATTCAGACACAATCGTTGAACAAATGTCACAATAAATATAAAACAACATTCTACACGTAAACCTCCATACTGCCAATGTACACAGACTCATCGCGCGTCATTCACGACAATAGACTGCGAACGTTAGTTTCCGTGCATAATGTTGTATATTATGATATACATATAATATTCCCCTATAGATGTATCATATTTTCAGAAACTCTACATAGAGGAGTAATACATATTTACTAAGTGTAATGGTGAAACGTAGTTTTATGGAATGTACTGTGTTGCCTTCAGCGTATTTCAAATTCAATGGTACCCACTAAAGCGTCCATACATGTTGGCTGTACGAAGTGTTCCTTCCATATCAAAACACTTGCGTGAATTAAAAAAAAAAACTGTCAAAAGTAACGTCAATGTCTGTCAGACGTGACAGATGTGCGTGAAGCGCGCTATTTCTAAATATTGATATAATTATAATGCTAATTATATTATACGTGTTAACAATGTAATTAATTCGCTTCGTGATGCGTGCCTTACCGGTGTACGCTTTAGTGAGCATCGCTCTATGACACGCGATGTAACGACGTGTTCAGGATTATCAGTTTCATAATATTAACCACAGATAACAATTATTTTAGAATCGAAAATATTTTTGGGTAGATATAATTATAATAAGTAGCGTCTGATTGGCTGTCTATATTCAATATATTAATCGTATAAGTGACCGGCTCGCAAGCGGACGCAAGTCTTTTGGAGTTATTTTGCTATGATAAGTATGTTAAAGTAATCGTGTAGTGAGCACGCGCTATTTCGCCTTTCCATGTCTAAATGTATTAATCTCTGTGAATATTAGAAACGTAGAGTCTTAGATAAAAATATTCTAAATATTATAACTCGGCAACACCACACAAACAAGTGATACGATGTTAGCTAATTATTTTTAGCAGAACATTATATAATAACATATATTTCTTTAATCATTTTGCCTGTATCGTGTAATCGTAGAGTAATGGTATTTAACCCCAGTTCGCGCGGCGGCTGTGAGACAGCTGCTATGTTCCTTTACGTTACGTTGTACTCGTCGTGTCGCGCGTCAGTGCACGCGGGGCACAGTATTAGCTCGCTACTATGACTATGTTTTTAAGTAATTCGGTTCGTCTGTACAGTAGTATAGTTCCTAACATGTAATCGATACAAACTGTAACCCTTCGACTAATCGTAGCTGATTATATTTCTTTTAGTGTTTAAGTTTATATTCGGAGATCAAACTATTATTACGTAGTGCCGTACTAGTACGTCGTAGTTACGTTAAGGTACGCTTTCTTTGACGGCCGTCGTTTACGTATTTGATGGAAGACTGCTCTGTAACCTTTTCTATATTATCGGTTAGTTATTTTAACGGGAGACCGATTCTATTATGTATACTTCAATAAGCCCAAGAGGTTATTGTCATGAGTCTCAAACGGCGAACTATTGTAACTGAGTGTTAATTTACAAAAGAATCTGTATTTTTATAACTAAGAATAAGTTGTATGATTATTTACTCCGTAACTCGTATCCCACATGCAGTAGGTTAGTTCGTGTTTAAGTTACAACGGCCCTATTGGCTTTGTGTTGTCGTTAAGTTTAGCGTAACGGGAGTCGCTCGCTCGGCCAGCATCTACACTCACATACCAACCTGAATAATAATAACAATTATATATGATACTATATTATGCAAGATTATACTTCAATATGAAACTTTCTTCCGTTCGTGAACATGATAGATGTTGGCTGACAAGTTAAAGTCTTAGTTTGGCAATAAAGGATTATTAATGGAGTGTTGGCAGCGTGGTCGCCGGTTGTTCGCATTTACTTATTTGTTTTAACTTTATATTGTTTGTTAAGGGCGGTACAGGCGTTTATAATCATATATATATAATAATTTTATCGCATTTATTTAATGTCTCTCAATGGGACCTGTATTGCAATATTTTCGGTCCACTGCCATTTTAGCTGTGCCGCCGCCCTAAGTCACATCGTGAATCGTTTGTACACATATTGAATGTTTATTTTATATTTTATAATTGCGATGCTTATTTTCCTATGTAGCTTATAATGATTTTACTTAAACGATCTTTATAATCGATCATTATTTATATGCACGATGATTCCTAAACCTAATGACAATTTGGCGAGATTAATTTGTATGACAAAAAGGGAATAATTATATTTTGGTGAGTATATTGTTTCGAGAGTCGCGGCCGTATGTTTAGTTTTTAAATGAGATGTTTTTTTTATTATATTGTATTGTGAAATGGCTATCATTTTACGTTGTGATCATGTGAGTGCAAAATTGTTTACTATTTTAACCAGTTTCATTGACCTTCGTCAATTTAAGGGCAGCAGTTATTCTAACAAGTGTTTAGTCCTGCATAGTCCGAGAGCAGTATTTTTTAGCTGTAGTCTTTATTATTATAAACTTTTTTTTATTATTATTTTAACATTTATGAAATTCGATCGTTAGTTAATTTCTAACAATGAAATATTTAATAAAGAAATCACAAAATTTATATTCGACTTTAATTTTCACTTCTCTCTATTGAATTTTAAGTGATTCATATATATGTATATAATCTATCCCCGCAAGTTAACCCTCTTTAACATGCAGTCAAAGCCAAAGGCAACAATTTGTAGAATATATGAGTTTTTGAAGTGATACTAGTTATGCGACTTCAAAAATGGTTGCGTTAAACGTTTAACGCTTCTTTATGAAAACAGAGAGTGAAAGGGGGAATGACGATCGAATGCATGCAGGCAATCAATTGTGACTTGTAAGTAATGTTAATAAATGTTGTACTAAAGAAACACAAAACTATTCCTTAAAAATCAAATTCTACCCCATCCGGCTTTCATTCCAACATAACGAAGCCTCACTTCTTCCGCGCAGAGGGACTCCAGGGAAGCAATAAAAAGCAAACTCTAGAACACAGAACTAACAATTTTTCTTCTGCTTCTTTGTCCCTCTCTTCAAATAAATCTAAACTACAATGGTTGTTTGTGTTTATTAGTAGTATTTTTATGGCAAAAACAGACTAGGAGACAGCCTACTTGATGGGCAGTAGTTCCGTCGCCCATATACATCTGGAACATAGTTTTGCAGATGTGTTGCCATACTTAAGATAAAAGAAAGGATGAAGGACCAGTACGTTAAAGAGCATTGGCCTTGGTCTGAACTGAGAGTTGTGTTGTGGATGTCGCTTGCACATGCTAAGGATCCATAGTTGCAGGGTATCCCTGGACAATACAGCAATAAGAAACACTCAACACCTCAATACAGATTAACATTAATACAGGATAGAAGGTCATTACACACATCAACATCCCGAGAGAGTAGTAGGTGGGAGAAAGTAAAGGGCAACCTGTTCTCTCACTCATCGGACCAAACGCGGCATTAAAACTTAAAAGCTACTTCACGCCGATCTTATATAAGATAATGGTACTTCCCCAGTCGAGCCAGCCTATATCCTAGCTAAAGTTGTATGACCACAGATAGGACTTCCGCCTAAAACTGAAAACTAAAATACATGATATTGATGAAAAAGCCACAACATTTTATCAACATGCTTCATAGATGGCGCTATACATTTTTCCTAAGATATTTTAAATCGCTGTTATAAGTACCCGTTTCGTCAGTATACGTAACTGAAGCTGCCTTTTATCTTTTGGGTCCATTATATTCAAATAAATATATATCTTTCCATAAACATATTATCTTCAAAGATATTTATTAACAACTTTTATATTTTTTAAACCCTGTTTTATTTAGATTATAGTTAACTTGTATAAGATTACCTTTTATATACATATAAATATTTGTTAAGTCTTTTAGGTATTTTTAAAGAACAATAGCACTTGAGAAATCATGAGGTACTTCGGAAACATAAACAAACACTTGACTATTAATTATATATCATTGTTTATTGGTTTATAAACAGATATTATATTCACTATTTGTAGAACACATGATAAATGTAAACAGCATTTTCAGTGACTTAAATTATATCTTAAGTAATTTAATAATAGAAAATATATATGTAGGTACTTTAGTTATTTATAAATTAAACTGTTGCGAAGTGAATTGTTGTTGAATATTATTTTACATATACATAATTCATATTATACATGTTTTTGAGGAGCTTCAGGTAATTGAAAAAATCTCCACCCTTTTTCAGCTCCGATAATCTTATGGATCGTATGAATTTTCGAAAAAAATATTTTTTTTTTTAACCACAAACTAAATAAAAATTCATTAATTTTGTACAATACCATTTATTCATATAAATATAGATATTTGGATAAGCATACTAGTATTGTTAGACACAGCACTAGCTAATGACTAAATATATTTATAAGAACATACTTAAAATTAAATGTATACATTGAAGTGAGTTAGGTCCCGGGCGGGGGCGGAGGGCCACTCCACTGGGGCTTCGGTCCGGACATGTTGTAATTGGAACCGAACATCGGCACGTGTTGGCGGTACGGCGGTATAGCTGGCATTCGGGATCTGCCGAACGGATTGCCGTTCATGAACGGAATGAACGGATTGAATGTGGGGAAGAATGGTGAGTTGGGATCGACTGGGTGTTGCGGCGTCCTCGTATGGTCGTCATAAGGTCTAGTATTTCTGATGAAGGTGCAAGGATTTCTTCTGAAGCCGGTTCCTCTATAGTTTCCTCCGAAGCGGCTGCTCGATTCTGTCGGTCGCTGGTGTCTCTTGGCTTCGAGTAGCCTCCTCTGCTGGTTGTCCGAGCTCCCTCCGTCCCCGGCCTCCTCTTGTTTGTGTTGTCTCTGTTCCTTCCTGGCTCTATTCGCCCGCCTCTCCTCCTCGTCGTCAGAGTAATCCACGTGGCTCGGAGGAGGCTCGATATCGTTCAGCCACGATGCATCTGAGCCTTTGACTCTGTAATAGTTAAATATTCTTTTAATTTTGTAATTCAGATTATATTTTAGAGTTAAATTATTAATATAGGCATCAAAAATAACATCTTCATTACAACTGAGGTGAATAATGTTGCTGTTCCACAAAAGCATTTAACTCTAAAGCAATATATATATATATATACAAATGATGTATGATTTCTAAAACTTCCATAATCAGATCATAAAGTATACATCACTTCAAAATGTATAGAAACTTTAGTGAGAAAAGAATTATATATTGAAATTTATATACAAATTAGAATATGCAATTTTTAAAATAGTTATGTAGGGTAGGACACATAACTAACTTCATGAGTTCAGCCAGGAACACGTAGCTGGTGTGCGAGCTGCGCGGCGCTATGTACACATCCGCGCCTGTTACAACGCCTCGCTCGCGGACGTGCTCCAACGAATTAAAACGAACACAGTAATGAGGTTCTGTTACCTGGAAAATAAAGATTTATTAATATCATTTAACTATAGATATGAAGAATTTCCTAACTATAGGGCATAGAAGGCTCTATGGTCTAAGACCAAAAAAAAAGTAACTGTATGATAAAAATATATTGACTATAAGACTGCTGAGGTTTCTGCGTACATTAACATAAGAAAATTTAAATATTGTGTATAGAAGGTGATACTTAGAAGATATAACCAATTCAAATATGATAATTATTATTTTATCTAGACATAGTATCGACAAAATTTTTAATTAAGTCAGTCTCTGTCTAACAATTTAAATATTAATGTAATTTATTTCAAAAATCTCTCAAAGCTATATTTGATACGCAATAGCACATTTAATTATTAAGATGTAAGTAAAGTAATATGGCAAAGACATTTTTTGGCATTTGGCAACTTCATTGATTCAATGAAAAAACATGACACCACATTTCTATAAGCGCCAAATTTAAATCTAATTGACAAGTAAATACATATAAAATAAAGTAGTAATAAAATGATAGTTAAAGTTACTAACCGGTCCAAAAACATCAAATACTTTGCCCAATGCTTTGGCACCGTTATCCAAAAAGAGTACACTATCAAGATCCACAGCTGGGGTCGCTTCGAAAGCACGAACTATAACTGGAAAATAAATAAATACAAGCATGAAAATTAATCGCTGACAATTAGTCATATAATATAACCACAACAATTAATCATCTCTTACCTAATCTATCAACTATGCTAGCAATTTTTCCAATTTTTATAGTTTCCTGGGCCGGCAGACTAATGGCAAGATCCTCTATTGGTGGCAGGTCATCTAAACCTAGTTCACCATGAACTTTGGGAGTTTCTAACTTACCGGGACGATTACTACCTTCCTGTTCATCGCTGAAAGTTACAATTATATTTTAATTAAAATCAAACTGCTATAAGGCCCCAGAATCTTATAATTATTTATAAAAAAAAATTATTACAAGAAAAAATGACAAAAAATTTAAACAGATATCAAATATCCTTTGCAAAAATCTTAGAATATCTCAACCTCATCAGATAAAATAAAATACAATGTTTTCCATACATTAACAATTAATATATTCAAGGAAGAGAGAAAGTGGCACAAAAAACATTTTGCATTCCGATTAAGTAGAATTGCAAAAGTAGAACTGTAGCAGACTATAAAAGTTAAAACAAAATAGAAGAATTATTAAATTTATTACTTACAACCTATTATGTAATAAATTTTGCTTATACAATTGAAAAAGTAATTTTAAATAGTAATTCAAAGAAAAGCTTACCATGTAGTAATTAGTTCTTAATATAATTCAGTATGTTAATACATTTTTTCTTTTTATTTTGGAAGATAATGTAACTTTGTAATTAACTTTATAAAATATAAACATTGCATATTTAACATTAATTAGGCACTAACATATAATTTTCTTTATTTTATAGAACACTTAAAATTAATTATATCTTTTAAACAATGTTTTCTTATGAAGAGAGAAACTACTTACACTTTATTATTGATTAGTAATATAAAAATTATTTAACCAAACAGCAATCACTAATAAAAATATGATTATTTATAATATAATACACAAATAGCATTAAAATCTCTATATAAATATGTAACTGTACTTGCTCTTAAAATCAAGAAGTATATATTTTTAATACATATAAACAAATGACTTTACCCGCTAGAAAGTTCCTCAATATCCTTCACGGAATCTATATCGCTGGAATCATCTGAGCTCGAGTCGGAGTCGCTGTCCAGTTCGCGGTACTCGGTCACATCGTACTCCATAACACCGCTCTCTGAACTATCGATGATCATGTGTCTCATGGTCACCACATTCTCACTACTACCTTCAGCCAGCGGTCCGTGGGCACAGGCATTGATAATGTTATTCTTCAAAACCATTTCACTTAACTCGACAGCATCAGAATCATCGTGTGCAGTGTGCTCGTTCGATCTAGTATCCTCCGAATCCGATTCCGAGCCATATTCAGCTATTAAACTGAGCGACACGTTTTTATTGTTACTCTGATCAAGGTTTTCCATCACAATCAATGGACAATTCCGCGTGGACGATATTATTGTATTCAGATTCTCATAAAGCTTATAAATCAAGAATCAGCACGTTTATGTTTTTATGCATTATTACTTATTGTAATAATAAATAAAGATAGCTACCTAATAAATAAAGAAAATTAAAACAAAGCATGTAATGGTGAAATGCAGAAAAACACTATATATGACGTTATAAAATGTTGCCACTTCTGAGTTTTCAGCTTTCTCGATCTACGAGACCCGGGAGCTATATAGGTACAAATCAATTCTGTCAGTGTCATGAAAATGTTACAGAATATGAAAATTAAATGTAGATATTATAATTTTTATCATGAAAAAATCTTCCGTCTCTATAAAATATTTCTAAATATTACCCTGAATAATATTATAACCCCTTTATCAGAAATCAAATCGTATTTTTCCCATAAATTTGCTTCTCAAAAATAAGGAAACGGTAAAGACCTAATAAGAACTGTTCAATTTTAACCATCCACAATCCCCATTGGTAAAAACAGAACTTATTTTTTGAAAGATTTCCTTATAGTTGTTGAATCTTTAAAAAAAAAATCGGTTCTAGAAGGTTTGATTAAACACAATGTAAAACGCACTGACCATTAATAATTTATTTTCATTATATTATATATACGATATAAAATACGATACAAGTTGAGAATAATTATAAATTATTTACATATTAAAGTTAACTTTACTAAAGATGTTTGTCTTCTGATCTGGAACAGCCTCCTTGTGGACAAGGCTCGGAAGGGACTCCGAGACTGCCTGAAAATATACTTCTGCAGAATTATTAATAATAAGAAAAGTTATATAAATAACTTAAATATATACTATTAGTTATTACCTAAATTAATGAAACTAACATGTCTGCATAATGACAATGAATTATAAAAGTAGCACAATTTGTTAGCTAGTTGAAATATAGCAATGAAATTATTACATTTATTTAAAATTACTTTATTGGAAATGGAAATACAGTCTTTATTATATGGAATAATAAATGTTTCACAATATTCATACAGATTTTAGTTCAGTTCTGATGAAATTATTTGATTACATGAAATATATTAGTATTTAACTATATAATATATATATATATATATATATAGTGGATGATGGAACAACATTCTGAAAATGTACTTTTTATTATTCAATTTTCATCAATACAATACACTTTCAATATTTTTTACTCCTCCTTAATTACATTTACAGTAATTAAACTACAGTGAATGGTTTCTACAAGTTTTAATTATGATATAAGTTCGGGCAGGAATTGAAATAGACTATGTTCTTTAATGAATGAATATTATTATAATAAATATACTATTGGTACACTACTCTCCAAATGTAACATACATGTACATGCTTTACAAAACTATATACTTTATTGGACAATTGATAACAATTTCTTATCTACACAGTGTTGCATCAATTTGTTGTAGAGACGGCAGCGCTAGCTTTAACTTCCTCCGATAAGCCGGATCCGATGTGATTGGATTGTGTTCAAGATATATGGTAGCCAACTTCTTGTTCTCTTGAAGGTAATCAACTGATGACCATTCAGATATTTGATTGTTATTTAACTGAAGAAAAAAAATACATAAACTAATTAAATATTAAAATATAGGAATTTAGTATTTTCTTTAATACAAAGATTAGTTTTAACACAATGTCTAAAAAAAAAGGGATAATACATAAAAGATATAGAATTTGAACCAAAACAATTAATGTTTAATTAAATGTACATTATAGCAATTGTGAACTTAAATAAAGAAAATTTCCATATAACAATTAATAAGTTAAATTAAATAACTGTCATATTCACTCACCCAAAGTTCCTCTAACTCGGTCATATGTCTCACATTTTCAATGACTGTTATCCTGTTCATAGCCAGATCTAATGTTTGCAACTTAACCTGGTTCGACAGGTTTTCTATGGAGCTGATGCCGTTTTCTGATATGTACAACTGTTCCAGGTTCGTTAAATGTTCAAGATTCTCAATCCTTGTAAGACGGTTACTTTGCAGGACGATTATTTCTAAATTCACGAGATCTTCGAGATTCTGTATTTTAGTTATTTTATTTTTACCGAGATATAGCTCTTTCAATGTCGTCATGCCTTCTAGGTTCTTGATTTCCTATAAATATATATTTTTTTATAACTATTTACTGATATTATGGATGAGAATGTCTGTTTTGTTTTCAGTATGTCTTATCTACTTAAGTATATGATAAAATTATTGCAATAATCAATAATAATAATGCATAATATCAATATTATGGAAAGGGAAAAGAATAGGTTAAGTTTGAGCTAATTATAAATGTTATTAGAAGTATAAAACTTACTCGTATGCGATTGTCTCCGAGTTCCAGCAACTCTAACTTTGGTAAATGGTTGACATTTTTGATTTCTGTTATTTTATTTGAGCTTATAAAAAGCTTACGAAGTTTCAATAGTTTTTCAAGTCCGGTTATTTCTTTGATCCTATTAAACGACAGATCCAAGATTCTGGAAAACATGAAATTTGAAAATCACTAAGGTTACAACAAACATTTTTGTTTTTGATGCTTTTAGTATGAAATTAATATAATATATGTGATGATTTATAATTTGACTTTAAGAATGTTCAAATATCAGGACCAAAACTACATATTTTCAGTTTTCTTTTAACAAATATAATTAATATGGACAATTTATAGTTTGAAAGCACTTTGCTCTATGTGGTTGCTCTAGTTTGAATTATATGTTAAATTTTAAAACATTAATTTCAATCATTCATTAAGGTGTTATATACTTACTCCAGATTCACCAAGTTGTCCAGATTTTCGATGACAACTATTTGATTGTCATAAAGTTCAAGTTCCACTAATTTGTGCAGAGTATCTAAACCTTCTATTTTCTTTATTAAGTTCCATCTTAAGTACAATCTGAAAAAACATAAAAATTCACTTTAAATATACTAAAACAACTACCACTTTGTTTGAAATTAAGTTATCCCAGACAGAAGTGACAAGATTTGTCTGAGAAGCCTAATAAACTCATATTTTCACTGGGAAAATCCAGTCAGTGTTATGACTCATAATATTTCACCAACCTTTCCAAATTCTTAAGAGGCTCAAGGTTTTCGATTTTTCCAATTCTGCCGTGGTTGAGATCGAGGATATCAGTATTTTCGTTCACTACAATTAATTCTTGAGTGTCTTCTTCAACTGGTGGCGGAGTCACTGGAGGCTGGGGTGATTTGTTATCTCCGTTTCTCATTTCAGCATTATTAGGGTTTACTACAGCCTTCGTGAGTTCATTGTCTTCGTTATTAGACATAGGAACATCTTTGTTATCTAAAAATTAGTGATTTCACAATATAAACACGTAATAAATTATCTCTAAAACACTTACTGTAAATTATGAAAAATAATTAGATTCTCACCTGCCATATTAGTTATGTATTATGGTTTAATAGTATTACAGTAGATGCTTGCTCAGTGATTTTTGTGTAAATGTACGACAAAAATCAAAAGTTCCGTAATTTCTCTTAACCGGTGCAAATAACAAATTAAAATAATCGTCACAATTGTCAGTTGCGAACGTTGCTGTCAAAAGTCCTAATTGGAAAAAGAAAGTCTAGGTACTTCTATATTTTCAGCGAAAACTGTGGATGAAAATCTGTGATGTATAAAAAATGCTTAAAATATTCATATGTTATAAGGAACTAGGAAGTCTAATGTATCTTGTACAACTTTTCTAATATCAATTAGTACCTAGCTGAATCCAACAAAAAATAAATATAAAATCGTCTGTTACAAAGTTTACTATAAAATCAATTAAATAATATGTTCTTAATTTGGATTTGTGTAACATAAATACCAACCAACAAATAAATTGTGTAATTATCAATCGTGTAAGATAAATTTGGAGAACAAAATATTTAAATATTTAAAGTCATCATTTTCTAATAAGAATCTATTGTAATTAAACGTCTGAAGTAATTATGTTTTTTAGCATAACTATTTTTTTATTATAACTATTATTACTTTTATCATAATTCTGTAACTGTTTTTTTAGTAAAGATGATATAAATTATGTTGTGTGTCCTGCTTAAAATATTGTGTAAACATTTAAAATAAGTTGTACACAAAACATCAGTGTAGTGTAAATTATGAAATATATGTTTCTATAATGTTGTTAAAAATAATAAATGTTAAGTGAGTATGATTTTTTTTTGTAATTTCTTTAATTTATTTCCTTGGTTTAAAAATGAAATGAATTTTTTTTATAATTAGTGTAATTTAATAGGGTTTGTTTAAGGGTATTTTTTTAAAACACACTAAAAATTACCATAAAGCTACAATTGTCTTTTTAATTTTAAATAATCCTATTAGCCGTTTTATAAAAGTATAAGTAGTGTTTAGTGACATAACATGTGTCGCGTAGTTGTCTACTTTATACTTCATTTTTGCAAGTTGCACTGACGTTACGTACTGTCCAGTATATAACTACCTACTTACTGAGATTGATTGAGTCGGGAAGTCGTGTTTTAAATTTCAATTTAAACTGGCAAAAAGTTGCAACGTTGCTGCTAATTTTTTTTATAGTCAACTGAAACTAAAAGTTTAGTTTCAATTCGATCTTTTGATTTATGAGTAGAAATTGAGATTCCGGCTAATCTAGAGAATATAACGAAGAGAAATATTAAAATGACTACAACCTCAAACCTAACGGTGGCTTCGCCGAATATAAAATATACCGACGATTATATATTTTCCCAGTATGAATATCAGGAAACTCTTGTTAATACGGTGGATAACAAGTTAGTGGTGAGTTGAAAGCTTGTAATATATATAAATTAACAATAGGATTTCATGCCGGGCGCCGTATCGATCGATTGATTTTTCTGGCAACTTATAGAAATATTCCTGCTTCTAATATAATTTTAACACTAAGATTTGTAAAAAAACATTTTTTCGTGTATAACAAAATCTTATTTCAAACTGGCGGTAGTTTAATATATTATAAATTTAGATATGTTCTAAGAGTTGACTTCTTAATTAATATGCAATGATAAACCAATTTTTTTTTCTAAACCTAGGCAAAGCCCTACAGTACATCACTATCAATTCGAACTGATCGAAGAGTGGGAAAAGTTGGTGTTATGTTGGTGGGTTGGGGCGGCAACAATGGATCAACATTCACAGCTGCCGTTATTGCTAACAGAGAGAAGCTGACTTGGAACACCAAAGATGGAGAGATGGATTCTAATTGGTAAGTTTAAGTTGGCAGAATCTTATAAGATCTTTGCAAAGTAATAATATTGCTGATGTGGCAGTATAATGCTTTGAGAAATATAAGTAAATAATATTGTAATATAAATTATATAAATTGTAATGTTCTTTATTTTGTTTAGGTATGGTTCTATAACTCAAGCATCCACAGTTCGTCTCGGTATTGATGAGAGGGGTATGGACGTGTATGTTCCTATGTCACAGTTGCTGCCAATGGTCGATCCTAATGATTTGGGTAAATATTTACTTAATATTATTAATTAGTTTCAATAATATATATCTCGACATAAGTAGACATTTTTTTTTATTCTCATGAGGGTAGGTATAGCAAAAATTAAAAATACATATTAAAGAACAAGAAACAGCAATTATTATAGGATTTCAATATATTTATTTATTTTATTTTATTATATTGTTGTAAGTGTATAATACTCTTATGTATTAATTTCATGTATTAAACATTAATAGATGTGTTAACCAACTCATAATGACAATGCCGTCATCTTTGAAAAAATTCAGTGGTCAATGTACATCTTTGTATACAATTTTAATCTAGTTGGTAATATATTCATATATACATATAGTTATACACTTTTAATCTATATTAATAATGATGCTTTGCTAGGAGACTCGTTAATAAATATGCCAACAATTTATTTTTAATGAAATTGCTTCAATGAGTGTTCACTTTATCTAAAATAAATGTGTTTTTATACTGCATTTAAAACATTTTCCGTACAATGAGTGTAAGGTAAAAAGAAAACTTAGATTTGCATACTTGATTTGTATGATTGCTAGTAATTTATTAAATTATCAAAAAAATGATTATCTTTTCATGAAACATATTTTCTATTACTAAATCGGACATTCTCTGATATTGTTTTAGAATTTTTATTGTGAAATACAAACTATGAAAAATTATTCTTAAGTAACTGATGAGTGAGGGTAATTAGCAATAATTTTCAAATTGAAATAGAGATTGTGATAATTGACTGAGAGTTTAGAATCTTTTAATACTCATAGACTTGTGTTTGAGAGAGTTCATATTATTTTAGTGTTTTTCTTTTAATACTGCTTGGTTTAGTAATGGAGAAAAGTTTTTTTTTTTGTAATGTATATGTAATGCTGTTAGCCCTGCGGCTGTTACAGTGTCACCGGTAGAGAAAATTGAAAAGTTATTATCATTTTCATTAGTTAAATAAAATTAAAACAATTCAAGATTCATAATTTGTTAGGAATTTTTGTTTGTCCTTGTGCTATTGAATCTTAGTGAGGTAGCTTCATTGAGATCTGAAAATTTAACAAGAATTTTGTAATTATTTGTATTGATATAATGATATTTCATGTTTTTAGAAACATCGCACTTCTGTCTATACATAGGATTAGCTCTGAATAATAGTTATGTGAACAAATGAGATTTATTTATTCAAATTTATTCTATAAATATTCCATGACAGTTGACTTGACGTGGACTTACCACGTGTTTTATTTATAACTAAATACCGATAGTTTGTAATTTTCCACTTGTACGTATTCGTATTTCGTATTATCTTAACGAAATATCTGTAAGTTATTTCTGTACTTCGATAACGCGGAACTTATATTAAGGGTTCTACTTTGAGCCATACCTGTTTTTTCTAGCAATAAACAAGAACTAGTTATATCTCCAATCAGATATGTATATAGGATCTTTTGTTTCATAATAGAACATAACTTATAATATATTATGATAAAGATTGAGTCTCTTAACAATAAAAACTAAAATAAAACGCAGGGACGAATTTAAAGTTGAACACGTTAAAAAACAATACTACCCTCGAACAAAAAAAAGCATATAAGTATTTGGACATATTATGTAGGTACACAAGACTAGACTTTAGCGAAATCTATAAGGAAACGCTAATATATCAAAGAATACAATAATAATATTATATATATGGTAACCAGTTATAGATGGATGGGATATAAGTCCCATGAATCTAGCAGACGCCATGGTGCGCGCCAAGGTCATAGACTACGACCTGCAGCAGAAGCTGCGCAAGAAGATGCAGCACATGAAACCCCGACCAGCTATATACGATCCGGATTTCATAGCTGCCAACCAGGTGAGAATTTATTTATGAAGTGTCTGTGAACAACATTACTCTGTGGAAAGTGTTATTGACATACGACTTTATTATCTCAAAATCCTTTAAGATGAAAAACGAAGAAACAAGGAAAAACTTAACGTAAACTTGTATAGAAATTCAAATATTAGTTTTTGGGTAACACATAAACCAATACATATTCTGCTATTTTATCTGTGTTTGTGTTAGTCTGTCACTCCGCGGGTTTACTTTAGGAATGTAGTGACGTCATATCGGTGACGTAATAACGGCTTATGTAACATTGCTTCATTATTGAGTTAGAATATAATTATGCTTATATTATTTTAATAACAAAGAGTTTTAATATGTATTGATACGGTCCTTGGAATTAATATTCAATTTATTTATTTTCTTCTCCTGTTCCACCTGTGTGTTTAATATCAAATTATCGACAAGTTTTATTCATATTTCTTTTACGTATACAACTCGTAAATGTTACGATAATAATAAAAACTTTTCGGGGGGTATAATGTTAAACTAAATCACAGATACACCTAGTAGGACTTATTTTTCATATGAATACTATTTTATTATTGTTTTTTATAATGATATTACTTAATTTAACGTAATTTATTTACTGTATACTATAAGTTCGTACAATTATGTTGATTTAAACTGTAATAGTGTTCAGTCACGCGATCCACTATACTCATACAATCAGCGTGGGTATATTATATTCTCCGTATTTGGGGGTCTATTATCATTGGTTACATATTATATATATTGCATACCTTTATTAACATATAATATATGTCTAATATATTTAAGGTATATAATAGCTTTATTGAAACAAAATGTCGGTATTTTTGATATATTTAAGTCAATTAGTGACGTATATGTATATATATCCAGCTAAGAATCGTCACTATTTTTCATATATTTTGTTTAATTTGACTAAAGACGTTTCTGAAAGCATTAGTAACGCTTAATACTGTTTTTAACTTAAAGTTTGAATGTTTATCGTACGTAAATCTACCTCTAAACATAGAAGATTTATGTTAGTTAGAAGCTGTTATTGTTCTGTTTGTTGAATGAAACTTATAGTACTAGAAATAGAATTTAGTATTTAGGATTCAATGTGTTTTTTACTATGGCGTGAGGATAAAAACGGATTAATTATATGCCGAGTAAATAGATTAGTATTTGTTGGCCTTGAACAGAGTTAAACGTGGGTGATACATGATACAATTTGCGTTAGTGTTGCCAGTATTAAATTTAACAAGTATATTAAGGGTAACAAAATATTTTGACATTGGCATAATATTCCACGATTTCAATGCGAATGAAGACATAGTACAATTTTTTTAAATAAATTAAGGGTATATATATATTTATTATATGGTAATATAGTGGAAATTGTTTACAACTCGAAGAAAATTGAAACACACGTGTTACAAAGCGTTTTGTGTGAAAAAAATCTTTTTACAAATATGTATGTAATAGAAAATAAATAAATTGTGAAATTTTCATAAAAATGAAATTTTATTACGCATTATGTAAGGCATCGGCAATATATGAATGTTCTCACATAATTGCATCATGTTTTTTTATATGAATTGTGAAATTGATTTAAAAGCATGAAAGCACTTATAATAAAATAGTGAATAAAAAAAACTGTGCAATAATTTATGTTCAACTTTTTTGTTTATTTGACAACTAGCTTTCCGCCCGCAGCTTCGCCCGCGTGGAGTTCGGTTATATCGCGTTTCCAAGAGAACCTTTCAAAAGTCTGTGATAAAAACTATCCTATGTTCTTTCTCAATATCAACTCCATCTCTGTACCAAATTTCATTAAAATCAGTTCTGTAGTTTAGGTGTGAAAGCGTAAGAGACAGACAGAGTTACTTTCGCATTTATAATATTAGTAGGGATTATAATTTCGTAGATATTTTTATATTTCTTTGGCTTAATTCGCATACGTTACGTGGAATATTTTGCCAATGTCAACGTTTTTATTTGTTGGCCGAATTATCTTGAAAACTGTATGGAGGAAAAATAATAGACATTTCGTTTTATATCACTTTGTTACATTGAAAAAAAAAGTATTTGTGAAAATAATTGTGGATAATTTTAATAATAAAATAAATAATACCTACTAGTCTATTCGCAATAAGGACGAAATAATTTTCTGAAAAAATTTATTCTTTATATTAGACTCTGATTTTAAAACCGGAATAATTACAGATAATTTATAAATCATTGTATATTTTTAATATAAGAAAAACATACTCTTTTTTCTAATTTCACATTGACAACTTTTAAATCTAGACCCAAGAAACCAAATGTCAAAATAAAAAATATATTGTCCGGCAAAATTAAAAAAAAAAATGGTTTGTTATCACATAAAAAATTAAAATAAAAGTCCTTGTCATTGATTTCTGTTCAGATGTTTTATAAACACGGTGGAGTTGATTGAAATGCTCTCGTTTTACGAATGTTTGAATCTTTTTTCAATAACAAGTACCGTGTTACAGTTTCTTTTGAACTATTGTTTGTTTGTCACTGTTCACCGTCTCATTCATGACAATTGTTATGTATTACTAGAATTATTTAAATACGAATTATGAAGAATTTTGACATGAATATATAAGATATTGATCTTTAGAAATATAAAGAAATATTATTTGTTGCGAATTTTTGTTTATTAAATATGAATAGTTTATTTTTGATATAAATTATAATTTGTAAATATTTTTTTCCAATTAAATGTCTTGTATGATGCTAAAGCCGTGCTGGATGTTTTTAATATTTTTTATTATAAATGTTTTATAATTATGCTTATTTAGTATAGAAGATGAATATGAAAATTTCAGAACGTATTTTTAATATATTTTTTTATTTACCGCCATAATTTATAACAGTAATCGGGAAATGTAAAACTTTTACGATTTTTGTTATTTTATAGTTAAGATAAAATATTATGAATAGTCGCTTGTAATAATATCACTAGTTTTTTAAATATTATTCATGATTAAATAAACGTCTTAATTCCATTCGACACAGTCATTCGTGTTTTCACCCAGTACTCAATATTTTAATTCATTCAACATATAAAAACGTTGACATTGGCAAAATATTCCACTGTTCACGTGCGAATGTCGCCATAACATAAAAAAATATTAAATAAGATCATATATTTTTATCGAATGTAGTGTTGCAGAACCATCGATAGTTTTACTATCGATAGTTGACCTCTAAAACTAATCAGAACATCTATAGTATCGTCACATACTATTATATTATCGATAGTTTCGATGGCACTTCCTAAACAATACTATTTCGATTCTAATGTTTTATTTCTGGTGGCAGGCTGATCGTGCATTAAACCTCATCCGCGGCACTCGTCACGAACAGTACCTTCAGATAAGGGCTGACATCAAAGACTTCAGAAGCAAGAACAAGTTGGATAAAGTCATTGTGTTGTGGACAGCGAACACTGAAAGGTAATATATATGGTTCAACATAAAATGGTTTTAATTAATCATCTATAGATTTATAATGAATTTTGGTAGCGTCCATTGTAATTTGGACTGTGTATTTTTTTAACGTTAATTATAAACTAATCTTTGTGTGTTTTCTTCGATATTAATATGTAGGTCGATGATTATGAAATATTTTTTATATATAGATTATTTTTTCAATGCCTGAAACAATCCTAATTGAAATAATGTAAATTGTTTAAACTTACATTTCTGTGTTATATTTATTAATAAATTATCTTCCACCATAAAGTATTGATGGTTAACGCGAGAGCCACAGTATTAAACTAGTTTTTGACTCCGACTGCAACTGGTTGAACCACACAGAGAAAACTGTATGAAGTTTATTGAAATACTAGATCCGGAATCAATGTAAACATTCTCATGAATTTCGATTTATACTTTTAGTAGCTTTTCAATATATATAGTTCAAAAAACTCAAATTATTGTTTTAAATTTAAATATTTAATAAAATATATATATGGAAGATTAATTTGCGAGTTAAAGGCTAAAAAAAGCTGTTAGTTTTCGTTACTAAAAATAACAACAAAAAATCCATTTGCATACTTAAACCAACAAAGCTTATATTTGAAATAGTTGAGGTTTTTTAAGACTTTTTTATCTGTATCTCTTAATTTGTCTAGCAATTTTTCAAGATAGCATTTACAAAATATTAAAAACACATATAAATAGCACTGTAAAAACTATTTCTGTAATGTGTATAAAATAAAAAAAAATATTACACGAGTGTCACTTAAATATTCTAAATAAATAACATGTAATGCAGTAAAGACAACAATCTCACATATTTATAGAAAAATGTTTATTTATTTGCGTATGTTTTTTTGTTGTCTTATAAGTTCTTTTTTATATTGAAAATTTAATCTACTTATTTACATATAATGAAAATTTATTCCACTTGTGCTATGACATGTAAAATATATAAAACTAGCTTTCCGCCCGCATCTTCACCCGCGTGGAGTTCGGTTGTATCCCGTTTCCAAGAGAACCTTCCAAAAATCGTTGATAAAAACTATTTTACTAAGTTTCATTAAAATCAGTTCAGTTTAATTAAATTTCATTAAAATCAGTTCAGTGGTTTAGGCGTGAAAGCGTTACAGACAGACAAACATAGTTACTTTCGCATTTACAATCTTAGTAGGGATGGTAATGTATTTTTTATGTTGAGTCTACATTTATGTAGTTTAAGCTTATATATGTTTTAATTTTTAATAATATTTTTAGATTCTGTGAAGTAACTCCAGGTGTTCATGATACGGCTGAGAACTTGGAGAAGGCTTTACAGCAGAATGTATCCGAGGTGTCTCCTTCAACTATCTTCGCTATGGCAGCTGTCGATGAAGGGGTACGGAGATTATATTATTCATACACAAACATGCATACATTCATCAAAGAGCTATTATTAGCTATTAGATTAGTTATTGATTCTGTGATGTATTTTATTGACATCTCTAAATATTAAATTAGTAAAAGTTATACTTTGTTTGATGAATGTAAAATTAGTTTATAAAAATGGGGAAATTTGTTAGATAAGATTTATAAATTGATAAATCAGTGACTGATAAATATATTACAGAAAATGAATAGGGTTCATTGAATTTTGTATAGAATATATTGCAAGCATAAAAAAATACTAGCGAGGAATAATTGTTTATGTTTAGAGAGGAATTGTTTAAGTCTCTAAAACTACAGAACTGAATGTTTGAAAAATGTAACTTATGAATTAAATAAGTTATGAATAATAAATAATATTATTAATTGTATAAAAATGTTAAGTAGTACAATTTATATTTGTCTGTGTGTAACTTTTACACAAAAACCTTTGAATGTGTTTGTAATATACAAAACTCAACAATCAATAGCGTAAACTTCTTCCTGGCAAGTTCCAAGCTTTACAACTACGCAAATTATATAATGATATATATTAAATTCATCCTGAAATTCTGTTTAGTGTGCGAGACTCACGATACCTTATAATTTTTTATGAAGTGACGTGACAGGCGTTAGATGGCGCTGTTTTTAATAACACTATTTTCTCGACAAGTCAAAACTCAATAGACACTCAAAGAGATACAAAGGTACTATTTCTAATATACATGTTCATGTTTCAGTGCTGCTACATCAACGGCTCGCCCCAGAACACGTTGGTCCCTGGGTTAGTAGAACTCGCTGAGCGGCGCGGGGTCTTCGTGGCTGGTGATGACTTCAAGTCCGGACAAACCAAGCTCAAATCAGTGCTGGTAGACTTCCTGGTCACAGCCGGTGAGTTTTATACTATATTGAATATTAATAATGTTATTATAATGGATAAGAGTAAAGACGAATAATATATGTAATATTTGTTCGATAAGCCAATAGTTTAGACAGCCTTTATAAGTTGGCGTGATAATTACCACCACCAACCACGCGTTCATATTTTTACCTTAAATAGACGGTTTATTAACATGTGCTGAGATTTATTGAAGAGAAAGTTGTGAAACATCTTTGATTACATCGTCGATACAAACATATATTAAGTGTACAGGTTTCTTTATAACTGATTTGCTAGGTATATTATTTATTAAGGTGTAGTCACATTAATTATTTCGATTTTTCATTCATTTTATGTATCAATGCTAATATTAATAGATGACGTAGTGCAAGATTAAGCAATGTGTCTATTAATGAAGATCTACATTCCAATTTTATAATCTTCATTCTGAATAAGCACTTTCACAAAAGTATTGCCCTACATCTAAGTTCTAACCTATTTTCAAACAAAATTTATCTGGTTAGGGAAACATTCAACAAGGAGATTAAAAGGTTCAATTTCAGATTCTTTTCTTCCATACAGAAAATCTGATTTAAATTAAACAGTTGCTAAAATTACATCTTTCCAAATTTTCAATTTGTTAGTAGTTTTATCTATAAGTAAGGCCCTCAAAATTAATTCCATTTCGAGGTAATGTCCTTAAAAGTGAAAAAGAATTTTGTGCTAGAAAAGTTTTGAATATTTTAGTTTGCTTCTAAATTTATTCCCATGTACAAGTTGGATATATTAAGATTTTTGCTTGCAACTTTAATTTCATCTCGGTCAAGTATTGCATCATATCAATTAAGAATGCAAGTTCAGCCAGGCACTGAAGATCTTGCATTTTATTTTATAGTTCGGAGGTGTCGATGTTAAGTAATTTTTTTAGAAGTATCTAAAAAAGATTTTTCACATTAACTTCCGAAAATATCACTGTCTGTACTTTTTCTATGTAATGGTCCAAGTCTAGTATTTCTGCCATAATTGAAAATCATTTCAATTGCAATCAATAGAAACTCAATACATCAATTTTTATCGTTTAATTTTTTTTTTAAATACATAGTTACATTAAATATATAAGGTATTTGAAGGTACAATTTACAAATGCTGGATGATTTACAAAATATTAACATTTCGTCGTATTTCTTATATATTTATTAATACAGAGAAAAATACATATATTTCTATGAAATTATTACTTAATTACGTACTTAATTACAGGTCTGAAACCTGTATCCATAGTGAGCTACAATCATCTAGGTAACAACGACGGAAAGAACCTCTCCGCTCCCAAACAGTTCCGCTCTAAAGAGGTAATGCTAAACATTAATGAACTCAATAAATAAAACTTATTTGTTTTCCTAATGTTTATAAAGTTAGTTAGATATTAAGGTTCAATATTTGAGAAGTTCTAAGTGGTCTGATTATCATGAACTTAGAACATATAAAACTACCAATAGGATAATTCCGCGTATCTGTATTGGAAGCAAATTATTATCAGAGGAAAGTTTCAGCTGAAATATTTTCTAAATTAACGACTTTTAAAGTAATTTTTTCACAATGAGTAAAAATTTAACACTAAATAATTACTTAAACTTTCTTTTGATAATATTCTTCCAATATATATACTACTAGCTTTATGCCCACGGCTTCACCCGCATCGAGTTCGGTTACATCGCGTTTCCAAGAGAACCTTTCAAAAGTCTGGGACAAAAACTATCCTGTTCTTTCTCAATGTCAACTCTATCTCTGTACCAAATTTCATTAAAATCAGTTCAGTGGTTTAGGCTTGAAAGCGTAACAGACAGACAGACAGACAGACAGAGTTAGTTTCGCATTTGTAATATTAGTAGGGATATAATTATAATGTAACATTTCCAGATCACCAAGAGCAACGTGGTGGACGACATGGTGGAGGCGAACCGTCTGCTGTACGCGGAGGGGGAGAAGCCCGACCACGTGGTCGTTATTAAATACGTGCCGTATGTGGGTCAGTATATACACGCACACACACACATACACACACACACACACACACACACACATGTACATACAATAAATTATAGAGTATGAGGTCCTTTTAAAATGTAATTCCTTCCCTTTTTCGATCTCATAATCTATGAAGATTTATTATTCAATGATTAAAAGCTAAATGTAATTCTATTTATGATATTTAATTATATTATTTAACAGACTGTATATATCTCACAAGTTGTTTTTCTCACGTGGTCATTAATATCTATACAGTTTCAAAATTATACATCTAGTACATAGAAATTAATTTTGTTAGCACATTTTTAAACATTTTTTAAAAAGAACTAGGTATTTCAAATTTGAAACGAAATTTGAAACGAACCTACTAGGGCTGCCTCCGACACAAGTTTCAAGAATGAACTGATGTTAGTTCTGGACAGACCCAAGTCTTTTAGTAATTTATTGAAAGATTCAGTCGTTATACCTCTCGCTCCGATTTCTACCTCGTACATGATCTTAGTTCTATAAATGTTTAATACATGATGTATTAATAAATTGATTGATTACCAAAGAGGGTTGATGTCAGGCAGGCGGCCGGTCGTAAAAACGAATAGCCAAGACTATTCACTACATGTAAGACAGGCCCTGGCTGAAGCGGGGAAATTGTCAGGAAGAAGAAGATGTATTAATAAATATGAATATCATTTCTAGGTGACTCCAAGCGCGCCATGGATGAATACACGTCTAAGATCTTGCTGCACGGAACCAATACTATCGCTGTACATAATACGTGCGAGGACTCTCTACTGGCCACGCCGCTTATACTGGACCTGGTGCTGTTAGCGGAGCTGTTTACACGGGTCAGCTTCAGGAGGGATGAGGCTGAAGGTGAGATATATATATATGTATATATATACAGGGTGACTGGTGAATTACTATCAATACTTGAGGACGTGATATTTGATTATCATATATGACAAAATAAAAATTAATATAACATTAAATATTAATAAACTTCTAGGTAAAGTTAACCAAAAGTTATGTAATTAATTACGCATCGTGTGAACACCCTACAGATTAGGTATACACACACACACACACACACGCGTGCGGCGGCGTGGTGTTGTTTCAGCACGCCGCCGCACGCGTACACACTTGGAACAGTTGGAACGTGTCCACATTTTATTTATTTATACGGAAATTTGGTCAAAAAATAAGTACCTATTTTTTTTATATAATTCGAATGAGAATCATGTACCGAGTATTCTCCTTAAATATTGATAGTGATTCTCCAGTCACTCTCTCTCTATATATATAGATAGATAGAGAGAGAGAGAGAGAGAGGTAGAGAGAGGACTGCTCGTCAACAGAAGATTGTTAAAAGACAAAAACAGATGGAGTTAATCCCTACTAATATTATAAATGCGAAAGTAACTCCGTCTGTCTCTTACGCTTTCACGCCTAAACCACTGAACTGATTTTAAAATTTTAAATTTGGTACAGATATAGAGTTGACCTTGAGAAAGAACATAGGATAGTTTTAATCCCAGACTTTTTAAAGGTTCTTGGAATCGCGATATAACCGAACTCCACGCGGGCGAAGCTGCGGACGGAAAGCTAGTGTAAATATAAAAACGTCCTCAACAAATAAAATACAGCATCTCTGTGGGCATCATAATATAAATATTGAGCAAGTTGAGTTATAGAAGTTAAAGATAACTTTTATTTTCTTCGTTTCTTTATACTTTTTTGTCCCATGTTGTTGAATATCAAATATAGGATGTTTATTTGAAATTCAACATACACGATTTCGTTTCTAACATCTATTACATATTATATATCTGTATTAAGGCTTTGTATGAGATATAACAGAAATAGTTAGTGGTGGCCTAGTTGTTAAAAGGCCCGCCTCTCATGCACGAGGGCGCGGGTTCGATCCTGAAAAGTACCAATGTGATTTTTCCGACTCATATGTATTTTCTAAGACTATTTAGACATCACTGATTAATGCATTCCCGAAGAGTGTGATTTCAGGCAGGCGGCCGGTCGTAAAAAAATAATCCAAAACTGTTCACAACATGTAGGCAGACCCTGGTTAAAGCTGGGAAATTGCCGGGAAGAAGAAAATGATATAACAGGAGAAGCCATAGAGTTTAGTATCGAATGTAGTATTTATATTTTATCCTTAATATTCTCTGGTATGTGTTACAGAGTGGAGCCCCATGCACGCGGTTCTCTCCCCGCTGGCGTACTTATTGAAGGCGCCACTAGTGCCGGCCGGCGCGCCCGTAGTCAACGCCTTGTTCAAACAGCGAGCCAACATAGAGAACCTACTGCGAGCTTGTCTGTCCCTACCACCCATACATCACTTGCAACTAGAACACAAGGTCGATATTACGTATAATTACACTATTTTTCTTTCAATGACAAATTCTTATATATTTTTTTCAATATTTAATTATGACATTTGTCAATCAGTTTTAAATTAAAGTGAGCAAATATAAAAAGTTAAGTGAAAAGCAAAATGAACTGCTAACACCAGTACAACATATAAACTACTTACAAAGTAATAATCTTAAAATAGCCGTAGAAATAACTGCTAACACAATATTAACATTTAAATTCTTGAACGATGTCACCCTGACAAATGAAAAGTGAATCGACGTCTCTTTGCACACTGCTTCTATATGGTTTTTTTTGGAAGTTCTTTACTATATGTATGCCATAAGTATCATAAATATTATTTAATGGCAAAGTTACATTTTTGTGAATTCATTTTAAGACGTAACAGCAATTACATAATCGTTTCTAATTCGTCTGTGTTGTCTTTGGATGGGGTTCATAGAGTAATTTATACTGTATATAATCATTTGGTTACTTACCGGTAGCGACATCTATAGTTTGCAACATGAGGTTTCCTACACAATACAACTTGTCGGTCTTGATCCTTTAGTGAAGACATTCAATTTGGACTACATGTATGTGAAATAATCAACAACGTCCATCAAACTATTATGTGGATTTTTAATTATAATTATCTTCCAGGTACCGTTCTTGATGAAGGATCTTCGTTCAGGCGCCATGTTCGAGTCGCCGCCCAAGAAACAGAAGATTTCCCACCAGAACGGAGATCACTGAAGAATAAAACTACCATCATTATAATTAATATCACCAATTATTATTTAGTTCATTGTTTCTCACTACCGATCTTTATTTCTAAGCACAAAGCGTCAAACGCCTCTTGCACACAATTTTTCTTTGAACAGTATTATTACTAGATATTTTGTGTTACATCTGATTCTTATAAACTGTTTTGTTATAAATGAAACGTTAATATATATTTTTGTCCGGAGCATGTAATGTTCCCAGAGATGCAGTATTTTGTTTGTTAAGGAAGGTTTTATGTTTGCAGGAACTGATTCTTTTTGTCGTTCTATTAATGATCTATTAGAGGGCAGTATTATAATGATTAGTGAAAACTTTAATTTTACAAAAAATATTTTTTAATTACTCGAAGTAATGTAAATCCTTAGAATAGAATTTTGATGGATATTTACATTAAGAAATATAATTTGTAAAAATTTTACTATTACATGTTCCTACATCCTTAATACCCGATATCTGTCTTACAAATATTTTTTATGTATTAATTAAAGTTTGAATATAGTATTATGTGCCGAAATTGTAAATGTTCACAACTCTGTACTTAAATATGGTGTGTGAAAACAATTCAACTGCCAAAATATGAAAGAAATCTCTTTACCTATGTATTAATCGAATCTTGTGTGATCTGAAATTACTTAAAAATTTATAAGTTCTTGTGTTTACCAAAAGATGTGATTTTTTTTTAGTATTAAAATATAAATGTTACAATGAATGCATTTACATATTTTTAGGTAGATTTACTGGAGTTCAAGTTCAAAACTAATGCTGTTATATTATGAAATATTAAAAAAAAAATATTCAGAATAGTAGTATTGATGGGTTTATAGGAAAATATTATTTATTGAAATAACATCAAGGTTCTGATCGGAACGAACTGCTTATACACAAAACCTGTCAATACTAAGAATAAAAATATGTGTAGAATTTATCTGAATTATACTGATATATATATGGCACTTGTATTGAAATAAATACAATGATTGGAACTCTTTGTTTTATTTCAATGAAAATAGAAGTTTTGTTTATGGATGAAACGTTCCCGAACCATTCTAAATCATCCTGAAATGATTAGTGATTTTTTACATTTTTAGTTTCAGTATTCGGTTCTTACTGACCAATGAAATGAAAGTTTAACAAAAATTGTGTTACCCTCGCGTCGGTTCAAGGAATATAAGATGAGCTATTAAATTATACTTTATTTACAAAACACACTAACTTTTTAAAGAACATAATTAGAACAAGTTGACTTCTTGGTAAATCTTGATTATTTTCAGTGCCCCCAAAATAATGAATAGGTAATTACATATAAAGATGCTATTAAAATATTCTCCCTTCCACGATGCATAACACCACTCCAAATCCCTTAGTGAATACAACTCCTCTTAATTTTTGTTAAAGAATATTTAATTTAACTTTAGTCAGTGGTGGCCTAGTGGTTAAAGGGTCCGCCTCTCGTTGCCGAGGGCGCCGGATCAAGCCTGGCAAGTACCAATGTGACTTTTCGGAGTCATATGTACTTTCTGAGAGTATTTAGACACCACTGACATACGGTGAAGGAAAACATCATGAGGAAACCTGGACTTATAGTTTCACAATTATAAGTTTGAAATCACCAACCCGTTTTGAGCGAGCGTGGTGATTAATGCTCAAACCTTCTCCATGTGAGAAAGAGGCCTTTGGTCAGCAGTGGGCGCAGATAGGCTGATGACGACGACGACGATTTAATTTAACTTATATGATAATGTAAGGATAAGTTATTAATAAAATCTTATATATTGATTATAAAATATATTTTGGTTAATATCTACCTATTAATAGTTTTAGCGTTTAAACCTTTCAAGTTAACATTAGATTATGGCTGCTGAAGTGAAGAAATTTTACTATGACCTACATCAAATACTCTACAGTTACATTATTTGTAGCTTCTTTTGTGTTCAACGTTTTTGAATTGTAGGAACGATACTAAATTTTATAACATTTTTCGTTAAGTCAAGCAAAACCTTGTGTATAAATAATACGTTATTTATATAACATATAAAAAAAGTTAAAACTACTTTTTTTTATATAGCCAAAATTGCGGACTTGACTTTTTCGTCGTCATTTCTTCAAAAATATCTTTTCTCAAAATTGTTTTTTTTAAAAAGATTTTAATTCACACACACATTCGTGCGGTGCTCAATTTTCGAATTTTCAGTTTCGATCGTCAAGATATTTTTGCTTATTCCAGGTTTTAAACATTAATAACCAAAATTGAACAAATGGCTGTTATTTATACTATCATATAGTGCCGCAAGTTGTGCTTCGACACCTTTTCGTTCCAACATGTTACCTTATCATTAAGTACCTTAAGGTAGCAAAAATTACAAGCCGCAACTCGTATGTTTCCACAGGAATGTATTTTAAGTACCCTTTAGTGGAGTGAGAAACTAAGCTTCAGCAGAATGGGTTTGTAAGGTAGTCATCAATTATGCCCAAAAAATCTTAATTGCTCCTCATAATGTCTTTCAAATCTTTTTCAATTTTCATCCCCAGAACAGCGAGCACATATTTGATATACTTCTCACGTGATGCAAAATGCTTATGTTGAAAAGTTGAGGGATATTTGATATGCTTTTCCCGTGATGCAAAATGCTTTTGTTGAAAAGTTACGGAATATTTGATATGTTTTCCCGTGATGCAAAATGCTTTTGTTGAAAAGTTGGGGGATATTTGATATTTTTTCACGTGATGCAAAATGCTTACGTTGAAAAGTTACGGAATATTTGATATGCTTTTCCCGTGATGCAAAATGCTTTTGTTGAAAAGTTACGGAATCTTAGCTGCAAGAATCCTTTCCCAAGTTTTGGTTTGAGTGCTAGTGTTATGAAAGGATACTTAATTTTAAAGTCCTTGTCATGGCTTGCTCCCTTACGTTTCAAATATTATAATGGAAGATGACCAGGATCATCATTTGAAATCTCCCATAATATTGTACCGAGAATGTAAATCTGGACCAAGTAAGCAGTGTCCCTAATTTATATCCATTTGAAGTCGACCTGAAGAATAGAATAATTTTTTTTTTCGCTTGATAATAATTATTTTGCTGCATAGAGACATTCAACTACATAAATGCGTTATATAAATAATTGCTTCAAGATCTCATAAAACGTTGTCGCTCTAAAAATACAGAAGACAGAAAGTTTTGTAAAAACACAAGTCGAAATAAAAGATCACGTCGGATTAATCATATATTTTTTATTTTCAGTTAAGCATAGAATAGTACAGTATCTCAAGTTCTCCCAGTCTAGTCGACAATATTCACGCACCAGCCATTCAACGAGAAGTAACAGTTACATTGGTGTTCACGATACACGAACAACTTATATAAACAAGTGTTGTTAATTATACAAACCAATAACATTACGAGCCACGCGACACGGAACATTGTGCTTAAAATAAAATATTTGTTCAGACGACCTTGAGAAACAATAACGGTCTTTTAATTTCATACTTCACAATAATTACACGTCTTGTAACATATTTTGTCATGCGATAAGTATGATTCGTAATAGTTTCTCTCGCCTTTAATATAAGTTAATACAAACTCGCAAGCAACCAAATGTGATGTCATTTAATAGAACATACGTCCACATGCTTTGAGATATGGAATGATTAATAATTAACTAAAAATACAACCTAAATATATCAAAATACGAATTAAATACTTTTAAAATAATACATTAGACGCAGCCCGCGCAGGCACAACACAACGCGTTAGAAAATTAAGTAACATTGAGTACAGTCACATAACAACGAATAGTAACACGGGTACAACACTATCACCGGCGGTACATATATGGAGCGGAAGTATCGCGCGTGACGTCACTAAAATATCGGTGCAAAATCTCTAATAGGTACTACGACTATTTAGAATAGTTGTGGACACTTCCCTCCTTTACATAGATTTTTTTTTAAATTTAAATATATATAAAGTCTTTTCATCTACAGTTAACGATAATTTCATAACCGATCTTTTTATAATATACACATTAAAATTTTTGTTTCAGTGCTCTTTATTAATATTTCATTATATAATTTATTATATAAAATTCGTTGGCTACCTAAACGTGAGTCAGCATTGAGAGAATAGGATCTACTAAGGGATTGGAATATATCTTACATGAACATGAATATATTCTCATCGTGAGAGGATCTATAATGACTTGTGTGTAGTTTATATTAACAATAATATCGTTTAGAACGCTAACCGACACATTAACGCGCCCTCCGTCCGCTAGGTGGAGACACGAGTAACAAAACATTCAAGGTCTCCGATATATAATCACTAATTATATTAAATGACTTCGTCAAAATTTTATACAAGTAGAGTTCACGCGAAACCACTACAAGGACCGTTGAAGCAACTCTCGAGACTAATCCCAATATAATATCAATAGCAAATAATTTAATGGATTCATCGTGAGTCTCGCTTCAACAGTCCGTATTATACATTCACAATTCCGCGTAAGGATGCATTGTTACAAATCACGACAAAAAATAGATCTAGAGAGTTAACTAGCAACCTAACTAGACCGATAGACCGAGCTGCCTCAGTCTAGACTATAGGGCGTCTAGAGACGTCTGGGGCGACTCTCCACTACATTAAATTCCTCACGTGCGTTAGAGCAGGATAACTCAGATATAACTACAGTATGATTATTGCTTTTAATTTAGCATTCGGTGACATTAGCGATGACGTAATTTTAATTATAATGAGCGCGCCATCTGTTGGCGGCCACCGACACCGCGTCACAAACATTCCTCTAGGATAATTCAATAATAAAGTGTCACCAAACATCACCACTACATAACATTCTGTAGACACAAGCGTTAAACATTTTTTTTAATTTAAGATCCTTATATAATTTATATGGAGAAATATACCGATTATATGAATAATTTTGAAAAATACAAGGCTAGTATTAATATAGTAATATAATTATAATTTTTATAAGTTTGAGTATGTACAAGTTGCTCGCCTCTCCTGCTCCCCATCACTATCATCCCAGCGCCCGACTATCGTTTAGAACGAACCGCATCAATTCCATTTTAATCAACCAGAACGAGTGTTACTGTTAAGTTATCCTTACTATGATAAATGGCATAATATTGACAAACAACAGGAATGTTAATCTTCAAGAAAATATAAACTTAAAAATACTAGAAAAAAATACTAAAAGACATTAAACTTAATAAATAGCACGAATACAAAGAAAACACATTATTAACATAATATTATAAAAACATCAAGTCAACGATCAAACAATGGATGTACATACAACTAATTAAACAAATTGTATCGGAAATTAATTTCAAATTATTCATAATCATACAACATTATCAGTGACTCGTGTTAGTGTGTGTGTGTGTATGTGAGTGTGTGTGTGCGCGTCAGTTGAGCGGCAGACAGAACATGTGCTGCAGCAGCGTGGGCTTGCGCGGCAACTCCGAGCACACCGAGTCGTAGTCAGACGACGACGACTCCGCCACGTACCCGTGCGCCTGTGGACATATATATGTATGTATATAGGGATGTCCTTACTAATATTATAAATGGGAAAATAACTCTGACTGTCTGTCTGTTACGCTTTCACGCCTAAACCACTCAACTGATTTTAATGAAATTTGGTACAGAGATGGAGTTGACCTTGAGAGAGAACATAAGATAGTTTTTATCCCAGACTTTTGAAAGGTTGAAAGGAAACGCGATATAACCAAACTCCACGCCAGCGAGGCTGCGGGCAGAAAGCTAGTACATTATATATGTATGTACGAAGCGTGTGTGTGTGTGTGTCACCTGCGTGTGTAGCGGATGGTAGGGATGCAGGCGGCAGGCGTGTTGTCACACGCAGTCCTCGAGCGACATCAGCAGCGGGTTGACGTACTCGAAGCCCTCGAACTCGGACTGGTCGATGTCCGCGATCACCGTGCTGGGACCAAACAGAATACAATAATAAAGTTATCGTTACATCAAGATAATAATATAGCTGTTACAATTGTTGTATATTTAAAGTGAGTGGGGATAGAGTAGTTGCGTTCACATCCTACATAAAAATAATCATTGCATACTCTACACATAAAATAGATAAACCTACATAGTATTTTTGTATATTATATAATCTAATTCATAAATCATTCGATACGACTGTACAAAGATGTATAATTCTATTCTATGTATGAACTGTTAAAAGCGCCACCTAGCCATATTAAATAGGAACATCAACCGGTCGCTACTAGCGCCGCCTTCCGGCCTGTGTCGTAGTAAGCAATACTACTCGCTGTTTATTCTCATACAATCTCGTCACAGCAATATTCGTGTTGTATTCAGAAAATATTCGTATAATATGAGCATATGCATGTTGTGTTATGATTTGAAAGTCACTGCTGGTCGAAAACTGATTCGATTAACACTATTACAACTGAACATTTGTTTGTAAAGCGATTATTTATTTTAACCGGGTTACCGTTTGGAAATATTTTCGATATCTTATTTTGATAACTTTGTGTGGGTTAGTGTCTGGGGGGGTTTGTTTGTCTGAGCATGTGTGTATGTCTGCCTTTCTGAGTGTGCATGTATGGGCGTGTGCATATGTGTGTGTGCCTTTCTGAGCGCGCGCGCGAGTGTCTGTGTCTGTGTGTGTGTGATTGTCTGTGTGTGTGTGTGTACACGTACTGATCGTCGGGCGTAAGGTGCACGGGCTCGTCGGTGAACTCCGGCGGGAAGTTGGCGAGGTCCCTCTCCCCCTCCAGGCGCGGCTTGAACGGCGGCACAACCTGCTTCTGTTCCAACTGGAATAATAACATTACATTATAAGTATAGAAATTATAAAGGGATATATCCATAATACTATAACTAATATGTACAATCACAATTAAAATTAATTATTTTATTATCAGCTATAGGTCTTAATCCACTGGATTATGATGTAGCGCCAGTTTTAGAGAGCATCGTTCTAAACGCCATGATAATCATTAGTGTTTCAACCACTCCATACCATTGGAAGTTAAGGCATTTACCACCGAAGGACTTGTGCTTGATAACTGATCTCAACACTGAATGGACTGTATGAGCTATTGAAGATACTTGAAATATGTCTAATAATTGCATATTAGCAGTGACTAATACACGGTAGTATTAATTATATGGCAACACTGTCTTTATATAAACATATATATACTATTAAGTTGGTCTCAATACCATTTCCCACTCGATGCTCTTGAAGAATGGATGGTTGACGATGTCCAAGAAGCCGTTGTCTCCACAGCCGAGCCTCTCCACGGGACTCTTGTTGAGGAAGCCCTTCAACACGGACGCAGCCTTCACCGACAACGAGCGAGGGATACGGATCGTCTTCTCGAGGATCACCTGGGGGCATCACATGTATGTTATTAATTAATAAAGTTCATAATATTATTCATAGTATAGACAATACATTCTGTCACACAGAGGACAATATAATTGACATATATATCTAAAGTTTAGACTGAACCTATGTACATGTTGAAATAATTGCTATTGAAATTGACAAAATATTTTCCTTTTATAGAAAAAACGGACTAAAAAATCCCATTGTAAGTCCAAAAAAAAAACACATTGACAAATAAAAATAGAATTAAATTGGAGACCGACGTTTAGGCAGCCATGGAGTTATACATAAATGGAATTTATTTAATATTACATAATCAAATATAAGAGAGAGAGGAGCTTGGACAGTGGAGGTGAGCGTTTAACGAGCGTTGGATAGGGACCCTTTAAACCTACACCTGGGTCACAAGTCCCAGGTCACTGTTGAAGCTCCTCTCACTACAACGATGGACCCGACACCCGCACGGTAAATACATTGAATGCTAAGAGTTTTCGTCTCTACAAAATATCTGTTTGTAGTACTGACTTGGAAGAGGTAGTCCTCAGTATTCTGGTCAGGGTTGTCAGCGGCGTGTGCGATGTCGAAGGGCGACCTCCCGGCCAGCATCTCGTACGTGAGCACCCCTAGCGCCCACCAGTCCACTGAGAACCCGTACTCCTCACCCCTGAGGATCTCTGGCGCTATGTAGTTAGGTGTTCCGCAGAATGTAGACGTCGTATCTCCAGGACGAACTCCCTCCTACAATATAAACATATGACAAATAAGGAAATGTTTTCTTTAATTAGCCTAATGCCTTAATAATGGAAATAAAATGTTTATATAAAATTTCCCTTAGTAGGACCATATTGTTATTTATATATGAATGTACTCGATGTATGTCTAAATAAATTTTCTTCTTCTACCTGGCAATTTCCCGGCTATAGCCAGAGTCTGCCTTACATGTTGTCAATAGTTTTGGCTAATTGTTTTTACGACCAGCCGCCTGCCTGACATCTACCCTCTTTGGGAATGCATTAATTAGTGATGTCTAAATATTCTTAGAAAGTACATACGATTCGGAAAAATCACATTGGTACTTGCCCGGGCCAGGATCGAACCTGCGTCTTCGTGCATGAGAGGCGGGCCTTCTAACCATTAGGCCACCACTGACTTAGCGTCTAAATAAATTTGCATGTGTGGGTGGTATATCTATGTGTGTGTGTGCGCGTGTGTGTGTGCGCGTGTGTACATGTGTGTGTGTGTGTGTGACGTCACGCACCTTACACATGCCGTAGTCAGTAAGCTTGATGTGTCCCTCATGGTCGAGCAGTACGTTGTCCAGTTTAAGGTCACGGTAGATGACCCCTCGCTCGTGAAGGAAGTGCAGCGCCAGAGAGATCTCGGCGGCGTAGAAACGAGCGTGCTCCTCGGGCAGACGGCGCTGACGCTGCATGTGGAACCTGGAGACAGAGATAGATAGAGATACAGAGAGATATTAGGAGATGAGATTAGTAAGAGTTCACTTTGTATTGGCTTATTGTTAATTCCTACTACTGAGTGTAGGTAGATGTATGTACCTCGTCTTAGTGAGTGATGTCGCTCATACTACACACATGTTTTCGAATATATTAAAAACATTCTTATTCACTACTGTAATAAACATCCAATTAAGAAGATTCCAAGATTATTTAATTATTTTGTAAACTTCTGTTATGTGGCCTCGTTTATCTGATGAAGAAAATACACATAACGTATGAGCGAGCTATTAGTAGATTAGCCCGAATTATAGAATCTAAAGCAATAGCATCTTCAATAGAATACATATCATCATCATCAGCCTATCAGAGCCGACTGCTGAGTAAACGCCTCTTTGTCACATGGAGAAGGTTTGAGCATTAATCACCACGCTTGCTCAAGACGGGTTGTTGATTTCAAACTTATAATTGTGAAACTATAAGTCCAGGTTTCCTCGCGATGTTTCCCGTCACCGTATGTCAGTGGTGTCTAAATACTCTCAGAAAGTACAAGTGACTCCGAAAAATCACATTGGTAGTTGCCAGGTTTGAACACGCGCCTTCGGCAACGAGAGGCGGGCCCTTTAACCACTTAGAATACATATTCAGCTATGTGTATTAAATACTCACATAAGATCTCCTCCGCGAACGAATTCTATGACGAAGAACAGTCTGCTAGGAGTTTGGAAGCAGGAGTGTAGCCCCACCAAAAACGGATGGTTGGAGGCTGTTTCAAACACGTGCTTCTCTGTCTGAACCCAGTCGATATCCTCATCATCAGTCACTAGAGCCTTCTTGATCACCTTCATGGCGTACACGCGTTTCGTTCGCTTCAATTCAACCATGAGCACCTAGATATATCGAAGTTAGATCAAACTCTGTCAATCGTTTTGGATTCTATTCGAATGATGTTTGATTTAATTACGGTGCTAAATATTTTATAGCAAATATAAATTGTTATAAACTATAGTCCAACAATAAATAATTTTTATTTTTATCGAATATTTTTTGATATAAATATCTCATAAAATTTGTATAGACCAAATAATCTAAAAAATTTCAACAGTCAGTCAAATCTGATGAGTCTCTTTGGATTCTACTCGAATGATGTTTGCTTCAATTATGTTGCTAAATATTCTGTAGCAAATATAAATTGTTATAAACTATGGTCCAACAATGAACAATTTTTATTTTTATCCTAATATCTTATGAAATTTGTATAGACCAAATAGCCTAACCTATATTTAACTGTCAGTATAGGTCATATATGACAAGTCTCGTTCATACCTTAGCGTATGATCCTCTCCCGATAACTCTTATCAGCTCGAAGTCATCCAGAGAGTACTGCCTCTGAGAGCCGGGCTCCAGGTCCTCGTTACGGACCGGGGCCGGCGCGGGCGGAGTCTCCGGCAAGGGTTCTGGATCAGCTCGAGATCTGTCGAAGGAAATTAAACTATATTAATGGGATACCCAAGTTTGATCTTATATAAAGATCTGCTTTTGAAGGGAATTTGTTTATTTTTATTACGTGATAGTACAAAATAATTCAAGTATTTCTTGTAATATGTAATCATTTGCTATATTACGTGTTTGGGATTCAGAAGTTTGTTAGTCCAAGTTTGAAATTATGCAACTAAGCCGATATCTGTTATTAAAAAAGAAGGTACCATAAATCGGTAAAATAGTGTGCCAAAGTGGGCAATAATGCCCTTCTGTGGGTGCTGCAGTCCCAAAGGAAGGCGGCAAAAGACTCAGAAGAAAAATTGGAGCCTTATGTAAAGGCCTGGGGGATGACTTATAATACTATATAGCTTGGGTAAGTTATAGTGATTTTTCAGTAAGTGAAAAAGTAGGGGTGATAGAAAATAAATTATTTTCAAAGTGGACAAACAATAGACAAAATAAGTTTGGGAACATAATGTAATCTAAGAGTTTATGAAGTATTCATTTATGTTTGGGAACCCCTGTCTTACACCTGTCTTACAGCTGTACTAACCTAACAGAGGACCGTAATCCAAGAGTGCCCTCTCCGTTCGCGTCCTCCTTGACCTCGATGGGGTCCACGTGCTCGTTGGAGCACGGCTTCTGCACCAGCTTATGACACTTCTTGTGGACCAACAGCTTACATTGGATACACTTGAAACCCTGACGGCCCAGACCCCAGATACGGTCTTGGCAGAAGGCACAAAAGGCGCGCTATACGAAAATTAAGTATTTTAAATCACACCATACATTTTTACACTATTTTCTTCATGTTTTTTTCTATTTGTACTCACTCTATTAAACCGTTTCGCTTGAAATATATGTCCATTAACTCTATAAAGCTTCCTCCATCGTCTAGCTCCTCGTCTGTAGATGCTTCCTGAAAGATATTTATTATTATAATTCTGGACATCGCTTCTTAAGATGACGCCAACTTTTTAAAAGGCTATTGTACTTTTAAAATGTAATTTTCGAATGTATTTCTATAAATTTAGGTAGCCATATTTCCTTTACAATCTTGTCCATTAATTTATTAATATTGAACCAGTTAATACATTTTTAACTGTCAGAAAAAAGGTGAATGTCAAAGAACGTGCAGTTTATTTACAACTAGACACTTCAAGGACTCATGTGATAGGATAAATTACAAAATCAGCAATTGACAATAAAACTATCGAAGAATAGCTGAAATAATGATTTTATAGCTATGTTGCAAAAATTATTTATGCATTCATGTGATTATGTGCACAAAGTGCATGTATATTATATGTGTATAGCTTTAATAAATATTTAAGCTTGAAATTATAACGTACAAAGACATTGACCTAGTAACTCGACAGTATCATCTAGACCGAAATATTAAATACTCTTACATGCTGAATAATTCCAAAGCGTTCAAAGAGAAATGATCCTTTTGATCAAGTTACAAACTCCTTTTAAAATTCTAATTTTATATACAGGATACTAAGTGCCAAATTCGCATGAACATCATCAATGATACAAGTATGTATTTGTATGTATGTACGAAAAATTTCAGTTCAAAGCGGAGATGTTTCTGTATAAATTAATCCTGTGTTATTACGAGCCAACTTTCCCAAAACAATTTGCGCTTTTAAAATGATTTATTCTGTTTAATTTTCACATAAACGAGTCGAAACTTTTAAATACTTTGAAGCGGTATCGACGAAAAAAACAAACGCCGATTAAAAGCTTTATGAAGTTTTGTATCAAAAGTTGTATAAAAACGTGCGTTTATTAATTCCGGTAGTTTAAAAGTGTTGTGTGAAACGCCTTTATGTGAACGTGAATTAATTACAACATTTGTTTACTTTGATAATTATATAATATATATATTGACACTAACTTAATATCGTTTTTTTATTAACTTGAAGATATGTTAATTTTATTTTTTATTTCTTTACCATATGTATGAATAAAAATTACAAATAGCAAGTATTTATATCGAATATCCGACTATAATAAATATAAATTCTAATTTTTAAATTAAAATTAAACTTATTAGATATATATATTTTATTGTCCAGTCTATATGGGTTGTTTGACGAGCGTGGTTACTCTACGAGTATTTTATTTGACACATATGTATATATTTATTATAAAGATGAAACAATTGTACAACTTACTGTCTTCCCCGGCACATGGCATACCCGGCGCCGGCGGCACGTTCGGGAACACTGTAACAAACAGACACACAACCATTATTATATATACATATATAATATTTCATATTAGCATGTTGAATAATACAATCATAGCTATACGGTTTTAAGAAGTCGAAGTATCTTTGTATTTTTATGTTACCCCTTCAATGAATGTCAAATAATTTTAGTCAAATCGTCATGATCGAAGACTACAATAATATTTTTTGAATTATATTAAACCGTATTTTTCTATAGGATCATAATTCTATGGTAGATATTGTTAACGAAAAATCGATACATTTGTATTAACTAAACAAAGTACATAATTATTCTATTTAAAGGTACATTTCTCGAAAGTTACTTTATGTTGAATCAACATACTTTACTTTTTAAAATAATGTAAAAATATTTACATAAATCTCATTTGTATGTATGTTTAAAAGTCGTGTAAATATTTTAAAATATACGTATGCTATCCATTTTAGAGTTAAAGCTTTTTGTGTTCTATAAAAATGAAAAAAAAATCTTTTAATTAAAAATGTTTGAGTGTGTCGAAAGTTTGCTAAGAAAATAAAAAAACATTTATTCCAACGAGAAGGTCGTACGGAATGTTGAAGTTTTAACTATTTAAATTGCATTCCGGTATTGTAATTGCAAATAACATAATAGGCAATTGAAAATAAAAAAAAGGGGTCCAAGTATCCGTTAAATTGAGAGTCATCTGGTGGGGTACTTGGGGCAATTGCGTTTCCGATCATTTGGGGGATCATTAAGGACCCTCTCTAATTGAAATTAATAACTCAGTGAAGGAAGATGACGATTTAAAAAGTTCAATTCAACTGATGTCTGGATTTTTATAGTAAAATCCGGAATCAAGTCATGTATTAATAATGATTATATCGGAATCCATTATCCGATCTATGTTTAGAGTTGTTGTTTCTCGCTAATGCCTTTCCAATCTTTTAGTATCTTTACTTAGACTTCTAATTGTTATTGATGACTTAAAACGTCTCCGAGCGAACGTTAATAGATTTAGGTCCTGTTTTCTTTTATAACGAAATCTTTTGAAGGTAATGATATCTAAGACTTTCACGAGTATTCATTGAAATAAAACGACTATGTGATGATTTAGTTTTTTCCAATGTTCTATATAATAAAAATCTCAATAATTTAAACGGAACTTATATTTTCGAATTAACTACGCATTTTTATTATTTTAAATGACATACTCCCGTCGTTTCGGTTCCTTTTCAGCAACCGTGATAATGGGCAGACGAGATGAAAATGTGTAAATCCTAAAATATTAGTTTTATTTCTTTTAAAGATTACTCAATATAATAACCACATGTCTCAACAATAAGATCAAAAAGACGATGTAATATAAGATAAAGGAAATATAAAAGGAAAAATGAGGACAAGAAAGCAATCTGTTTAATGCATTTCAAACAAAACAAGTAACTGTATGATTGGTTGCTGTAATAAACGGACTTGGCATTATTATTACCATTGTTTAAAACTATTTTTACATAACTTTACTAAACTCATTTATGAAAACAAGAATATAATGTCTTTAAGGATATGCTTTATTCGTTGATGGGAACATTTATTGGAGTTTTTGTTGTTAAAGTGTGTTAGAAAAATTTGTAGATTAATCCATAGAGGTATGTTTATATGTCTTCCAATATTTAGGACTAGACGATACAAAAAACCAGTAACTTTCATCTCGTCTGTCTGAAATTATCGTTACTGAAAAGTAGATATAAAATAATACAAAAACCGTTGTGTAAGAAAAACTTCACGCGAAGATCTAAGATATTAAAATCAGTGATTTTATATTTACATGTATATATAAAAAAGCTGTATTAAATAATATAATGGTATATTAAACGTCGTATTCATTACTTATGATATAAATGAGATTGTATTTGACGCTCTTTATTCTGTGAATTGTTTGGGAGATACGTTTCAGTACAAGACGAATACACAAAGAATTATATGAAACCCACCCTCACCGACTCACTAACTGACAGCCTGTTGTTCAGAACTTATTCTGTCATTTGTTCATAAGGAATTATTTCACAAATGAATTTATCAACGACGGAACAAAGAGATTTTTATTTTTTTTACTAGTTTTTGCCCGCGACTTCGTCTGCGTTAATTACAGAATTAGGGATGTATAACTGACCGGGCGAACTCTGTTTCTCTTTAAAGACAGTAGATACGAAGATTTTGGATTTGATTTTTTTTCTTTTCAATCGTATCAAGAGTATCCTATATCTTTTCCCTTGGTCTAAGCTATCTATCCACCAATTTTCATCCAAGTCCGTACAGCCCTTCTTGAGTTATAAATAGTGTACCTACTCGTAACACGACTTTCTTGTACATATATATAAAGATATTTAATATTTTATGTCGTTTTTAAATAATCATTATATGTAGTTATATATAATCGTCAACAAAGGTTTGTAATTTCAAAGTATAAATTACAATGCATTATTCGTATTTAAAGCACTATTTTTATTCTGAAAATTATATGAACGAGGACTAGAAGAAATTTATTATAAAAATGATTTTGATTTTACACAAATTATTTCAAAAGAAGTATGAAATTATAGATTCTCAGAATATTTTACACATACGCATAAATTTTTATTTTAATATTTTTTGCAATGGGAATATTAAAATGCTTGTAATTTATGATTGTCTTATCATACAAAGATATAACGATGAATTTTTCAAATAATATGCGACATTCGAATAAATGATATCATAGAAACTACTCTAAGAATTTTATTAATTTATTTCATTGTTTCTTAATATATGATATGCAGGCGACTTTCGTTGTATTACGAGTGAAATGCTTCATCTAAGTCGCTACAGCGCGGTCTATTTCTATTTTCACACACAATATATAATGCAGTTGTTGTGGAACTATCGATTTTGACTCCGTAACTTAATGTACTGTGAAATATAAGTAATGCTGGTTTTATTTATAACTTTGTTTGTATACGACCTTAATATGAAAATGGATTTTGAAAGATTTTCTATTGAATTGACGTTGGAAAAAGATTATTATTCAATAATGGAATGTAATTCATATGTATGTATATATTATGGATGGCTAGGATTTTAAAATTAATCTAATTGTATATACTTTGATGGAAACTCATTTTCTGTATCGAAATTTGTAACGCATAAAGCCATAAAATAAAATGTATTTGCTCTTTACGTGTCTGAAGTATAATCGTTTATTATATCTATCATACAACCTACTAAAAGACTTGAGCCTTTTCAGAACTCACATTACTTCATTCTCGGAACGTACTTCGAAGGCAGCCCTAGTAGGTTCGTTTCAAATTTGGTAGAGATAGGAGCTTGGACAGTGGAGGTGATCGTTTAACGCGCGTTAGATAAGGGGCCCCTTAAACCTACACCTGGGTCGTAAGTCCCAGGCACTGTTGAAGCTCCTCTCACTACAACGATGGACCCGGCACACGCACACCCGAAAACATACAATGATGACAAGTTTCGTCTTTCTTTGTTATAGAAATGTACTCATATTTGAAGTACCACAAAAAATAATATACATACATATTATCAGCTTAACAAAGTCCACTGCTGAGCAAATGCCTCTTCTCACATGGAGAAGGTTTGAACATTATTCACCACGCTTGCTCAAGACGGGTTGGTGATTTCAAACTTGTAATTGTGAAACTATAAGTCCAGGTTTCCTCACGATGTTTTCCAATATACATACATGTTTGCTACATTTATCATCACTTACAAGTGACGCATTATCAGATAAATAATTAAAATTAACCCGATTTAAATCGCAACACATTGTACGATTAATTTCCATATAGAAGTTGTAAATGTACAGTAAAGAAAATTACTAGCGGACAAACAGCGCTGAATTAAAGCGGCTCTCGTAAGAAAATGATCATAGGACTTAACATAGATCCAAATGAGAATGAGGAACGTGAAAGTAAAAGTACGTTTATTATAATGAGATTGTTTGAACAGCTTTGATCGAGCGCTTTAAAGCGACAGCCGCTTGATGGTTGAAATAATTAGAGATTTTTATAGTAATGCTTATGAAATTTTGGTCTGTAGTATTAATTAAGTTGAGGAAAGTCAAGCTATGAAGTGGTACTGTCAAACATATGAGACAAAACTTCTCAGCATTCCATGGATTCACCGTGCGGGTCCGGGTGCCGGGTATATTGAAAAAATCCAATACAGTAAACTTTAAATGTTTCTTTTTTAATTAAAATAAAAATAAAGTTTAATATGTATGTATGTACAAGAGTATTTTCAGAAAAAATTAAACATTTTAGTTAGTTATATAATATTTTTTATGAAATAGTATAACAATATAATATTAATATTGATGCACAATAATTTACAATTAATGATAATATATATATGTATGATTCATAAAATGACGAAGTATACATATACAATACTTTATTTGTACAGGATATACAAACAAACAGCCTTCGTTAATCGGTTATTAGCGACAAATACAACACTAGTGTTACATTGATTGTCAATAAACAAACCGTTTCCCATCCCTAATGCCTGTAAGCCCTAGTTATGCGCTGTCACATATATTATGATTCGCTGTGATTTATGTATTATATGTCATTATTGTATACTGGATTGTTTGTTAATGTTTAATTCAATTAACCAGAAATTACATATAATATTAATGACATAACTTTGTTTGAATCTTTAATTTACTGAATAAAATACATTTTACGAAGTGAATTTTTATGTCTTTTTTTGTCTCCAGTACTTGTGTTTGTAATAATAATTTTTTTTGGTTGTCGTAAAAATAATTATCAAAAAAGACATGTATGTAAATAAATGTATGTATGTAAATAAAATTATTGAATAAAAACTAAAACTAAATTAATAAATTCAATACAAATTAATATAAAAGTAACGATGCATCGTTCAATTTACATGCATGCAAACTAGTTCATGAACGCGTAGATGGCGTGTAGCGATACCGTAGCAGGTCCGTAGCCCGTAGCACATAACGTAGCCGCCTAC